CATGGGCATGGGCATGGCTTGTGCCCAACTTTTTTAATCTTAGGACATGGTTTGGTGTCGGACGGACGCTGCGGACATCGCGCTGTTGCCGTGTTGGTCGTTCTGCGATCGGTCAAGTCCAGATCGGCACTGGTGGTGATGTAAGGCTTCCCACGCTAATCAACCTTCGTCGTCGCCGTCGGGTGGCCTCAGAGGAATGTTGAATTGTTAATAGACTAATATGAGATATTGTACGAGTCAATGAACAATATAACAACCTATTTCTTTCCATTACCACGCCCTGCCTTCCCTTTTCCCTTCGTCGCTATTGTTTCCACTCCACACATTATCTTTGCTTTTTTGGCCAGCGGTGCTTTGCTCTGCGCCAGCGCCCAAGTTGCTATTGATCTATTGTGCGCGTGCCGCCGCATTCCGAGCTTGGGGTTTTGTTCTCGGCTTCGACTGTTATTCCCCAACCTGTTCTCTGTCCTTTGCGTCGCGGGGGAGCAGAGCCACAGGAATTGGATAGATGGGATACTCGGCTTCCAAATTAGCAGAACCTGACGCATGATAGTATGGATGGATCACAGGCCTGCTTGCCTGATTGCATCAAGCAATCAGGCATGCCATCAAGCAAACGGGCATGTGCTCGATTCTGCGCACTTCATGAGCTTGTGGGCTAGTAAGGGAGTTATAAGGACGAAATAATGTGTCCTAGAAACTTAGATCACGGCAGCGCTGCAACATATAAGCTTGGAATTTAAGCAATCGAGATGCGGACGCATGCCCGTTTGTCGGATGGGATCAATTTGGACTTCGAGCCCGACCAGCACACATTGTAGCCTCGTGTGCATTGAACGATGGAGGTGTAGGGGTGAGGTGTAGTCCTAAGCCATGAATCTGAGACCTTTCCGTGACTTTGAGATGCTTCCTTTCTCCCAAGTGTCAGTTATCATTGACTGCATAGAGGAAAGCTCAGCGGTGAGGTCAATCACATCTCCGCAGAGCCCCGTAGAACAATCACGGCGCGAAAAGCCCACATAATTTTGTATCTGAATCAAGTTATAACACTCCCACGCGGTCCGATTTGGTGAAAGCCCGCGTCGAAGCAGCATCAGTAACGTAGTGCGTGGCAAATCTCGCGAGACATCATTGCCAAGGGCATTGGTAGGCCTGACATGCTTAAATACAGCCCATAGAGAAGCCTACAACGAGTAAATACAAATTATCTATGGCCTGAGGCATGCCAAAATGTTGGCTTGGCATGCCCGCAAACGGGCATGCATGCCTGATTGCATCAATTTCACGCCAAACCTGTCAAATGCCCATCAAATGCCCGTTTGCGCGGGCGAATGCCCGTTTGGCATGCCCAAAACGTCGGTCTCGACTCTGATGGTGCCCAGCGGCGACAGTCAAGTGTGAAAAGAACCAAATTCAAGATCCGGGCAAGACCTGCGAAATATCAGGAACTAATCGTGACACAGTACCAATAGTGTCTTGGCAAATGGACGGTAGGCTGAGCATTCGCGTTGCCGGGAGGTACCGAGGGTGGTATGACCCACGGGCGCCTGCTGAATCCTGCCGAAGATCCTACGGGTATCAACGGCAGAGGCTTACAGGAGGTAGGCGGGGTTGCGTACGTGAAATTGACTCGCTGATTTTCCGTCGGGATGATTGCTATTGGAGGACAAGACGAGATGCAAGAGAAGGACCGTCCATCACGGACCTCTGTACAATTTTATCCGCGAATGCGCAGGCGAGGATCCCGTACCGCCCGGCAACAGAGGAACATCGGGGGAACAACTTGTCCCGCTTTAAATTTAGCAAGGAACTCACTGGTCGCTGTGTTGTGATCCGGTGCCGACAAATAATGATGACATGATAGTCTTCAGGGGGCGCACACGACTGGCCCGGATTGTGGAAGCGCAATGGGGGCAAGAAGAGAGCATGACGATAAATTAGCGGGAATACTGTTAGAATTGGGCTAGGGCAATTAATTGATTCATTCACATCTTCACATAGATCAGGATACAGGGCTGCGAAATGTCCGAACTCACTGCCTGCCCTCGAATCCGAAAGCGCGGTGCGTTTCCGCGAATGATGAGTAATTATAAATTTGACGACAAATCAACTACGAACTGCATGGCGCTTGCAGGTCAAGAGAAACTTGGTTTCTGGCACGTGCCGTGTTTAGTTCCGGATAAGCGCCAAGGGCGGAGCATGTCACAATGCATTTTCAAGAGTGATGAGTAATTCGACCTTTGAAACCACCAAATGGGTTTCAACCACCGGTTGGGTTGCGCTTGTGTCGTGGACACACTCACCTCGTGGCACGTGCCCGTGTTTAGTTCCGGACAAGTGCCAAGAGCGGAGTCCGGCCCGGTACCTGAGCCTAGCAAGATCCGATCAGTGGCGATGCACTCCTCAACCTTGAACCAGACCTGACAAGCGGTATCAAACCAGTTGCACCGGATTGACGTCATGGCTTGCGACTGGGTAGGTGACGACGTCAGGATCTGCGCTTTGCTGGTTTGCAATGCAGTTGAACCGGGGAGCGAGCGAGGTAGCTTTTGGGCTTCTGGATCCAGAGGCAACACAGATGCCCGGGTCGCGGAACGTCCCATCAGCGTGAGACCAACCCAAATCGAGGGGCGATCACGCTGCGCAGAGGATGGAAATAGCACTGTACATATTTAGACTGGAAAAGCAGCGAGCGAGCATACACGCATCTCTGCGCACGATTCACACCCGCGATCTCGCATCCCGCAAGTGATTCAGACGAGAAATTGCCGGCAACAACGCGTCCGCACGGATCAACACCGCAGTACACCCGGACACGCACTGACGTTCCCAGGCCTCGAGATCACGAGAACCCCGCACGAGCAGCAACAGACGCCGTGCAGAGGTGCAATGACAGGTTTCGCCGAGCCACTGGGAGCTTTGAAGGAACGAACGCGCTGGGCGGTGGCTCGCCATCAGTGGCGTGAGCTCCGAGTCAGCGGAGCTTATCGAAGGAGGACCGACCAAATCAGCCCTGGCAAGTGCACGCACAGGCAGGGTGATATCGCCGCAGCACTAGGCGCCAAGGAAGCTTGGTGGCGGGTCACGCGCCCTGCCTGGATGCAGGGAGACGGCGGTGGGCTGCGATTGGGAAGGTCTCGCGGGCTGCGCTTGAAGAATGCAACCAGTCGCGATGAGGATCTGCAGACCCTGGCTTCCGGGGAACAGCCGTTGCCTGGACGGTTTTCGAGCCGGCAATGACCGGGGCGATCAATGTCCCGTTTGTCTCGAGAGCTGAGGTTTCTGAGCTTGTGTGTTCTGGCAACGCCTCGGAGAAACCACACCTGCGAAAGCCTAAACCCTCTTGTCATCACAATAATGAATCAACAAGCGCGCACACAAAGCGATGTCTCACCCACTCGATCTGCTTATCACGACAGCCGAGGACGCCGAGCAGCGTGCTTGGATCGGCGTTGACGCGCGAGTTTCGTTCGAGACAAGCGCTTGATCTGGCACGCACGGTGGACCAGCCATTTTTGTCCCACCGCACCAAAATAACCACACAATAGCATGGCACTGCCCGTCAGCTGATCCCCATCGATCAGGGATGCCTGTGCGCGAACACGTTCTTTGTGGGCGTAGCGCACAGGCCCGGAACGATGCGATGCAAGATGGCGAGCCGGCTCGGCGCACAAGCTGTGCCGGATCCGGGGTATCCCCAGCTGGTCGTGTGGGCGAGAAGGCCGGTGCAGGTGCGCGAGAGCACACAGCGCGTGCGGGGAAACATGGCGTTTGTGGACGCCGGGGAGCCGGAAGGAGGAAACTGCCCACGCTGGGATGAGACACGCCTGCGAGACGGACAGCTGATTGTATCACGCTCCACCCTCAGCTGGTGGGAAGAGTCAGAGTCGGGGCTTGGTATACGCCAAAGTTTTGGATTGACGCCGTGCGAGAGGTTGATATCCGGGAGATGCGGTCTCTTGACTGGGGCATGCGTTCAATGCAATAGGACGAGGATGCGCATGCGCGCAGCAGCAGCTGCGTCGCTGCGAAAGGAGTGACGCTACCGTCACAAGCTGTCACAGATGATCCTCCATCGCACGTGTCCCGATAAGGCTAATCAGCGCCCCTCGGCGCGACGAGCGGCTTGATTAGGAAGAAGCAGCAACCGAACCGGCCTCGAGGCGGAGGTTCCGTGGTGCGGCGGGAGCGCGTATCAAACGAGGCGAGCTTACGGGATTAGGAAGACTGCGCAGGCGAGCGCAAGGCGGACGAATTTGTCCCCGGAAGCCAGAATCAGAGAACATGCGCAGGTCACATGCAGCGTGGGCAGCCTTGCGGCTTGTTTACTAGTGCGAAATCCAGAGTCGCACGATGCCCCAAAATCTACGCGGTCTGGTTCTTAAGAGGGTAACTCTGCAGACCGTTTCGAGAGAAGCTGATAGGCGTACGCTTTGCGGTCCGCCTCTGGACGCACCGTTTGCGCGTGCATACAATGCGGCCGCCCCAGAATTAGCTTAGCATTGCTTGCTGGCGACCCCAAGTCGTTCTGGGACTGTTCGAGAGTCGAGACACCGGAGGCTGTACTAAGACGCTTCACGAGAGTCACTTTGGAGTGCTGGGAACCGAGTGCCAGAACACGTTCACCGCCACGCGGCTGCAAAAGGAAGGCGGTGCGGTGTCTATTCTGGATTCCCTAGACGCTGAATGATTCATTTCGACAAACACGACTACGGCTCGGGCGGCTCGCGTGCCGGAGAAAGAGAGAGAGAGGGCCCTTTGACCAGCACGTGTACGAGCTGGTTCGCGCTTGCTGTCAAAGGAACCACCGTGCGATCAGACAAAGGCCAAAGCGAACTCGTGCAGCGATAGAGCTCGAAGCGCAGCAAGCGAGAGGCACAAGGCGGGGGTCGTGGCGAGCCATCTCCCTTTGTGTTTACCCACGGGGATCAAACGACCGCGAAATGAAAGGGATCAATGATGGGATGAATCTTATCTAATCATCCGACGATTATCTACCCCGCGTCCTGTCCACTCCCACATGATAATCACAAGCTTGTTCAGGAACCAATAGGCACCCGGAGAAACCTCGTCGCCTGGCAAAACGGGCCGGATTGGCTGTACAGGACTGGCTGATCATATCATCTGCATCTTCGACCGTGGGCTTAGCTCCGATCCCACTGGATGGACCGGATTAGATTACAGAGAAGGTCGCGGGCCGACTCATCCTGGGCCGGGAGATGGATGGATCGATAATCGCATCGTTGCCTGGGATTCGTTCAAGATAATGGATCATGAACGTTTGGAAGTGTCAGCTGTGCTGGGAATTCGGAATCAAGTTCCCGGCATGGAAGGAAGAAAGGGAAGGAGGCGCCGAGAGCGCCATCCTGCATGGAACTTCCTCCATGGTTCATCCGAAAATCTGACCTTCCCGTGGGGGTGGATCTTGCATCTCCCGGCTCGTCCGCTGGATTTGAAAAGAAAAAACATCCCGTTTTTCTCCGTTCGCCCCAAAGAAGCGCTGACAGACCGCGGATGACTAACGCGCGAGGGAGAACTGCGGAGGTCCCGGTGTTTCAGACTTGACCCGAGCGAGATCATCCGATGGCGGGAGAGATGACGCAGCCTTACCGACGGATTACTGAGCCCGCACTAGGATGATGATTGAGACGTGCTGAGTGAGACTAGTCTGCAGACGGAAACTCATCTGCAGACAGACTCTCTGCCCGCGGGCGAGACAGCACAGAAACGGCGCGGAAAGCTAGTTTTCCAGCGCGCTTGGTCTTCTGGGCGTGTGTGGCTGAGCCATGAGGAGGGGGACAACACACACTGCGCCTTTGCGATAACCGCGGGCACACAATCTACACGAGCCGCTGTCGAAGTTCCGAGACTGACTCAGAGGGCCAACCGAGCCAGCTCACATTCCAAATCGGGTCTTGCCGCATTGGGCCGTCTACCGCTTGGCCTATATAAGAACGTTGACAATCGGCTCTCGAATCACCCCGACTCACCCCGCAGTCACCCTTGAGCTGAGCCATCTGTACTCGCCCACAATGTCGTCTCCGACGCGCCGACAGCTATCCTACGACTTCCCATCCTCCGCGTCTTCTTCATCCTCCTCAACCCACTCTGCCTCCTCGCGCCGAACTCGCCCACGCTCGCCAGTGCGGCCTCGATGGGAAACAGCCTCGCCTGTGCGGTATCTGGAGGAGGAGGATGAGGAGATGGATTACGATGCGTATGGCTACCCCCGCATCCCCTCAAACCCACCCGAGCCCTACACCACCCTGCCCCGCACGGGCAACCAGTGGGTCCGCCCACCATCACCCACAACTCCCTCCTACTACACTGGCTTCTCGCCCTATCCTCCTGCGTACCAATCTTGGATGCCTGGAAGCGCCGACTCCGACACGAGTGCCCTCTCCGCCGCTGCCTCCGAGAAAGAGCATACGCACCACCCCCTGTCTCCGTTCTGCCACGCGCCAAATGCGAAGATTCGCAAGTCTGCCCGGCGACGCAGTCTCGACGAGCCGAAACCTGTCCGCGAAGAGCTCGCGCCTGCCCGCTCGTCCTTTGACTCGCCCAGACCTGCCTACCTGTATCCGACATACCAGCCGCGAGTCGACGAGGAGGAAGACGACGTTACGGGGGACGAGGAACCGACTGTGGTCGCGGACAAGGAGAACGTTTCCCCCTCGAGCCACTCTCCGTCCTCTCTGCGCCGCCACTGGGCAGCGCTCAGCTTGCGGGTGCGATTCGGCGTCTTTCGCGCGAAGCGGAGAATGCGGGACCGAGTGCTGAGCTTGTGAGCTCGCTTCTTTCGCGCCGTACCACCTAGCCGGCCATCCACGCATATATCGCTCGCATTGCACTCTCTGTTCGCCGTCTCACGCATTCCATCTGCTATGTATACCACACATCCATTTGCATTCGCATTCGCATTCGCACCCATCTTGTTATCGTACCCCCGCGGAACCCCTTCTTGTATGCACTCCTCCATGTAGCCTCCTCTCTTTATGACGCCTGTCCACTTTTGGACGCGTCGCATTGTACGCTGTCCGCACGACATTCACCACATATGTACTACTTCCAGCCGCTGCATCACACATTGTACACTTTACCCATAGCCATAACCAACCAATGTAGACTTGCGGGCTCGATGCCTGATGCAATCCAATCAAATACTGCACATTCAATTTGGGGTCGTCCGACGGGATCGAATAAGCAGCGAGTGGCGGTGGAGTCGCTGCCGCTCCATGGTAGAGTATACGTATGCTCGCTCCTCCGGAGCGCGTGTGAGTGGAGGTCGGGCTCCCGCTGTCAGCCATCATCCGATTCGCGGCGACGCAGAGAAAAAAAAAGTATACGAGGTCGTATGACGTCACGCGTCCGATCCGCTCTCCCCGACCTGAATCCACTCCCATTTTTTTTGGCTATTCTATGTATTCGTGTCAAACCAAACCCGATCGCGAGCACACGACGTCCGGTCCGGGCATGGAAGGTAAACCAGAGAAAAACAAACGAGCGCATTACTTGAGCGCGGCCCGCTGAGGCTTGTTAGGGGTTGGGTGTAAGTTGGGGCTGCGCGGACGATCCGCGGCGGAGTCCTCGCTGGATTCTTAGGAGGGAGAAGAGAAGGAGGAGCTCGGGTGCACACAATACATTACAGTACTAGTGCATGGTGCGCTCGCGTCGGTCAGGGGCTTGTGCGAACTCTGCATGCGCGCCGATTCGGAACCCCATCGAGCTCGAATGCATCGGCCTTCCATGTGACAAGTGGGATGCTAAGCTTTAGAATTCACGGAAGGGCTGCTGAAAATCAGGAGCGGATAGAATGAATTGAGGACCCCAGTTTCTGACGCGTCTTCAAGTCAGCTCTTCCAAGTGATCGTTGACAGTCCATCCAATTCGTGGTGCCCGGCCAGAATTGCTGATTCCATGTCGCCATCTTCATTCGCCCGGAAACTAATGCCGAGGTGGTACGTAGGTAAGTAGATACATGGATTGAATGAACGAGAATCCTCGGGTGTCGAACAAGCTCGGAGCGGACAGGCAGACGCATCTTGTCTCGGTCGCGAAAAGCGCAAGCTGCTACCCTCATCTCACTATGTACATCGACACATGAAGGCTCAGCGGCTCGATGTCCATTGCGGCGCTTGGCGCGACGCTCTGACGCGCTTTCTGACCCGCAGTTGGCCTATGATGATGAAAGGAGACAACTAGGCTACGTCACTCACTGCACGACGACTGCGGCTGATTCGTCTCACGCCGCAGCAGCGCGGGGCAGGTGCTGATGCTGTGCCACCGTACGACACCGGCGCGGCGAGCAGATGACCTGCCGCACGGCCCTGGGATGGATGTATGCGCGGAGACACAGCAGAGTGAAGACCTCCGCTGTTTCCCAATCGGGGTGATTAGGCCACACGGACAGATTTGCCCACCACACGGGCGCAGAAGCCGGGGTTTATGTATCTATCAGGAAGGATGTCGGGACGCGGTCACACAGGCTCGGGTCAGGATCGGTTCGCGGGTGGGTCGCCGATAACATCGGAGCACGATCAAGGCGGGAGTGAATCAACAAAGACCGTGTCATTTGGCAGCGGGAGACATGAGAGAGTAGAATAGGGTGAGGTCAGCGCATGAACGTGTTGCTACAGACAGAAGGCAGACCGACGTAAAAAGCCAAGGGGGATGGACGCGCAAGCACTCAGCAAGGCTGACCTTGTGACCATTGCCCAGAATCAATGCCACAAAACACGCGTCCGAATATCGCCGCCAAGATCATACGAGTAGAGCTTGCATCAGCCCGAGGAAAGATGTCCGTCATGAGGTCGCAGCGCCAGCGCGTAAATACACACTACGCACCAGAAGACGACGCCCTGTCAGCCGCAAGGCGGTGCCTCGAGCCAGCTCATCCGTGATCGGCGCGGGGACGACGCTGATACCAAGAACGCGAGTGACTCGGTATTGACATGTACTTCGTGCGGAGCGGGTACATCAGTCGGAGGAAAGGAGTGTCCGCTGCTGCTGGAGTTTGTGCACGTGATTTGATAAGATCAGTCCAGCCTAAAAACTTGCAGTGTGGACAATTTCATATGCTACTGTTCGAAAGAAAGACTCGGGTGCTTCAAGAGCGAGCCGCAGGGCGAAGAGAGAAAGGCGGAGCTGTAAGTGGGATAGACTTGTACACATTCGCGGGTATCAGTAATAAAGCAGGGGTATGAGATTCTTGACTGAGGACTGAGTGCGCACAACCTAACAGATCATGCTACGCTTCAAGGAAATCGAAGAGTCAGTCGAGAGAGCCAACCAGCCTGTTTGAGTATGTTCTGGGGTAGTTGCTTGATTTGAGAGCCTCCACGAACTGGGTACTGGAAGGCGTGCCATAGAGGTCGCACATCACTGTCTCATGAAGTGGCATACACTAATACAGAGACCTGCTCGTGAGCTTCGGGTTGTCGGGACTCCAAGACGGAACCTTATATTGCCCATGGCATCGGAGAGATACTGCCATCGATAACATGCACATAAGGACCTTCGCCCGCTCAACCAGCAATTATGCTCATCACAGACAAAAATTATGTTTTATCTGCGCAGTCAACCTCTTGTTCACGGGTAAAATTTAAGTTTTCAATATTTGCTGGGCTTCTCGCTTCCAAGGTTCGACTTTGCACTAAGTCAATAAATCACGACCAAGAGCAAATCCCGAACTTCGTCGCATGCGCGCAGGTCCCGCGATTGCGATGGCACCGCCACCCAGCGCAGGTCATTCGATCAGAGACCGGGCCGGATTCACCCCGGTTGGCCCGGCCTCAATAAGCACGTGGATGGAACTCACCGCGTCGTTAGACCCACCAATCGGAAGATCGGAGACAGAGACAAAAGAACTGAGCCGGGAATCGCGAAGTCCGACTGACTAGTGCACATTGCGGACCGATGCATGTTATGGAAGCTACCGTGTGCGGGTTTCCCATATCGAATGGCGATAGGTCGGGTTGAAGGGATCATCGAGGCAGTAAGGGTAACTAGATTGATGTCCGGAGTCAAAGGGTGAGATGCAGAGGCATGCATAATGTAAGATAAGATACGAGAGGGAAGGATCATGCGCCTGCAAGCATGTGCTGGAAGGGAGCGAGAGCCAAGGGTCGTGTTAGAAGACCCTGCGGTCTGGACCGTAAAAATTCGGGGTTAGGCTTTGTTGGGAGAGAAAAGCCTGACTTTCGAAGAGCGTGGAGGGGAGTCGACGTCCATCTCATGGTCAGGCTTCGACGCTGGTGGCGACTGAGGTAGCGAACGGGTATGGGTTACGGTTCCGGAAGGCAGTGGTGTGCCAAGGCGAAAAAGTAACACAACTGCTCGATCCTCCTCAAGCCATCTGAAGGTGAAGAAGATCCCGAGGCATGCGTAGTTGCGGATGTAAGAAAGGTGATACGTGCACACGTCGGCTCTCCTCGTTGTCAGCTTCCCGTTGCCTGGCACCACCCAACCCCACATTCCCATCCCTACGCGCGAAGATCTCGTCCCCACGCACGCTCAGTTGCCAATCCAGCCGCTTCATGAACTCCCACTCGATGCCAGTGGACGTTCTTCAGCATGTAGTATCTGCTGGTGAAGATCACTGTGCCGAGAAGCACGCGCTCCAGGGTCTATTTTCAGCGGACGCCGTGGATCGAGGCAACGAGCAAAGGGGTGGATGGGAATGCGTCACTGCGAGTCTGCGACCACTCGACGAGGGCTGTGTATTTGCACGTGTGGAGTGCGGGTGCTCGTGCGCGGCCACGTGGTCCATCACAGATGAGCGTAAGGTAAGGTATGCCGCATTAGGATCCAACACCCCTTACTAAGCTGATGTGACTGTCACGGTAACGGTAACGGTCACACATTCAAATCTCGCTGGCCGCAAGTTTTTTTTCGAGTACATACTACATTAGCAAGAAGATCAGGATTTAGATACATTAGTTTTGAGTGTTTGGAATTGCCTCTTTGGCTTGCCTCAGCATGTCCGGAGGAAGAGTTCGATGCCCATGATACAGTAAGTGGACAAAATGATTGACTGATCAGTTCTCTTTGATTAAAAATGGGCTTTCCAGGCTCTTAGAGCTCATATCATCCTAGGGTCTCTAAGAACAAAATGTAGCCTTGGGCCTGTAGAATAGTCCACTGAGCCCCTGAAGTTGTTGCAAAATTATTTGTAGAGATATACTACCAATTATCAATGACTGGTTTTACAATAAAGACAACATTTTGCTTCTGTGGCCAGCCTTGAGTCCTGACTTCAATGTCATCTAGCACATGTAGGACCCTCTCAAACATATAGTGAAAGGTCAGCACCCACTGCCATCAAGCAAGAAGTATTCCAGGCAGGGGTGGGCACATTTGAACATGGACAAGAGTTTCATTTACTACACTGTAATCTGGAGTTCTAGATATTCTACACATGGAAACTAATACTCTTAAGGTGCATTTCATTCCAATTGACCCTTGGGCAATATCAGCTCTGTGAGCCAGGACAATCAAAAAACTGATCAGTCAATCATTTTGTCCACTTACTGTATCTCTTATTGGCCCAAGCGGCCTGACTTCCTGTAAGACCCTCTGAATATGCATGGATGAAACGGGCAGCTCTGATCGAGAACCTGTTTGTGTGTGATCAGACAGCTGAAAAGAAAAATAAGTCACTACTTATACGCAACGGAGGATTTGTTCCTGCGGAACAGCATCGAGACAGGCCAAGACATTTGCACGCATCTCGGCTATGTTTGAGGTGGGAGGCGTTGATCGGTATCGATACTTGACATGGGGCTAGGTGGACTGTTTCCAGTTGCGGATCTGGCTGTAAAACCTTCCGAGCCTTTTCTAGACAGTTTTTGCGCGACTGGTAAGCCCGAGAAGTGCCTACCATGGCTCTGTGGTTGTGTTCAGTGCGTTTTTGGCGCCCGGATGTCTTTCTGCATTAGGAAATATTAAATCACGTGACCACTTATATAAGCAAACCAAATCTTGTCCTTGCCCAAGGTCAGATTCACGGAAACGCATTTCCAACACATTCTGCATTGAAAGAAAAAAGTTGAGAAAATCGGAAGATCACTCAGGTTTGAGGCTTATATTCAAAATTCCGCTCACATACAGATCTTATATAACATGTATCTGACTACTCTATGTGAGCTAATTGAGCAAATTTCGACTCGACGGGGCGGGATGTGGGCGGGGAGTCGGGCATGATGGTGTCACATCAATGCTTAGTAAGGGGTGTTGGATCCTAACACCTCAGTTACCACCGCCATCACGCGGTTCTCCCCCCGCGGGGTACCTACTGGGTACCCTCAGACGTCTTGCTGAGGGTACCCAGTAGGTACCCCCTGGCGGGGGGTGGGGGGGCCATTTAGTCGATTTAGTAGCGGGGGCATATGCGGGGGTCAGGAGGAGGGGGGGTGTATGTAGCATGTGACTTGTCCATAAGAGCGGGTAGCTGGGCGGGAAAAAAAAATCCAATCACATGACGCGCTGCATGGGCGGGATGGCGGGATAAAAAAAATCACGTGATGCGCTGCACCAAATATTACCAAAATGCTGGCAGGGGTTGGCGGCATCATTGGCGGGGTCACTACCACCCCCCGCACACCATGGCGGGCAGTGGGCGCATTATCACGTGACTTTTTGGGCGCCTTTTTTGCAGCATTTGGCATGATTTTGGAAATGCTGCTTGATACATTGCATGCTGTGGCAGACAATGGGCGCAAAATCACGTGATTTTCCGCCCAAAAAAATGGAAGACTCCCCAAATCATCCCAGTATAATTTCCATAGGTAAATAGGCTAGTTAAACATGAACTTGAGCTTAGAAAAACCAAAATGCACCCTGCACAATGGGATTGGTGACACACTTGATCCCATCATTTGGCAGGGCCTGCCGCAGGGGCTGCCGCGGGGGGTGCCGCGGGGGGTGCCGCGGGGGGTGCCGCGGGGGGTGCCGCAGGGGGTGCCGCGGGGGGTGATGCGGGGGCTGCCCCAGGGGGTGCTGCGGGGGGGTGCTGCAGGGGCTGCCCCAGGGTTGGTCTGTTATGATCCATTTTTGTTCATTGAAGATCTTGTAGAGGTGAGCAGGGCAACAGGCCAACTGGGAATTTATAGGAAGACATTGAAATTGATGCAGGGGTCAGATGCGGGGCCCACTGCAAGGTCTACTGCAGGGGCAGGGGTGCATTATATCAAATTTCGATGTATCTATTCTGGCCATGGCCATAGAATGTCACATAATTATCCTTCAATTTGGCAGGGGTTTCTTGGTATGGTCTGCAGCTAAAGATATTTGATTCCCTTGTGCTTTAGCAGAGCCTGGGATATTGAAAACATGCAATAGCACCTGTATAATCTGTTTATGTAGGGTCAAATACAAGTTATGATTTGTTCATGTGTTGACCGGCAGGGTGGGTAGGTTGGCTGCACTGGGTCCACTGTCATCTCATTGATTTTTTGGTGCGCTCATTCTACATACATGGCTATTAGTCAATTGTTCACACTGTTAGCACAGTGTAATCTTACCCTGCAGCACATTGTACCACATGTCAAGTACACATTGAATGTCTCACTTCCTGACTGGGACTCATTGAAAATCAGAAGTTCTGTGATGCTTTGCAAATGATTTTCTCAAGCTGCAACATGAACAGATGGAACATAGCGGATTTGACATGCCCTCAATTCATTCCTGGGTCGTATATAAGAGGATGAACTAACTCACTAATAAGTTGTCTCACAATAGCCAGAGATTGAGCATGAATTCAGATTTCATATACAAAATTCTTTCCACTTAGAGCTTGGATACTTGCAAGACAAACTGCAGAAACATACATGATTGCTTTTGCTACTGGGACTGTATACGTTCTTGCCATAACTCACTGCCTGCAACTCTACCTGCACCCCCACTGGCACCCCTGCAGGCACCCCCCGCCAAACTGGCACCCCCCACTGCACCCCCGCATGCACCCCCGCCAGGCTGACACCCCCTGCCACACCCCCCGCTGCACCGGTGCCTTGCCCCTGCCATCTTCTCATATGTAAGATTACATAATCTGACAGCTCGGAACACGTCAAGTCACCAGCCAATCAGAACCTGTATAAACGTCGTACCTAAGTGTTTCCCGCTCTTCTGACACTGTTTCTACAGTTATGCAGCTGAAAACCATCGGAATAAGGTCTCCCTATGCTGTTCTTGTTGAATATGTAGGTATTTCATATCATTTGTCCATCCAAAATTCGAAACATGAAAACAGTTCACAGTTGCTCAAGGTTCCTACATAGATAATGGTTCAACATAGTTCACTTTGGGTATTGCAAAAAATATATTTTCTACAAATGAACAACTCAATACAGCTGAATGATATACCCCTTGGCAGTGTCTGAAACAAATTCTGAGAGCCCTGGACCCTGGAACCATTCAAAAACTTGAAATGGGTCCGAAAAATAGGGTCTTGATAAACATGAGATAGGGGCCAGTTTGAAGAGATGTAAGCCACTGGTCATGTTCAATGTGGTATTTGACAATGTTTCGGTGCCCTGCCCCTCACCAAATGGCCTCCTTTCCCACCAAAAAGTGCACATACACACTCAAACTTATAAAATCAATTGTCGGCCAGAAACAAGAGCAGGCAAGTTGTGTCACTGGAATTGGGTAAAGGTAACCTGGAAGTCACTCGGGTTGCAGTACAGAAGCTTTGGAAAGTGATCCTGTAGTTGATCCACATTGGGTAGGCTGGCAGAGGCTTGGGCACCCCCCGCGGCACCCCCCGCAGCAGCCCCCGCGGCAGCCCCCACCATCAACCCTGCCCCAGCCCCTGCAAGGATTGGATGGACAAAAGTGCTGCCTAATCAATTGTTAGTGTTCACAGTATTATCACATCCATTAAAGTGTCTAAATGGTGTGTAGACAAGGAATATGAAATCCATCAATCAACAATCCTAACACCTGTATCAGATATCCTGAAAATGGAGAGGAAGATTTGGGAGCAGACAGACTATCGGAAGCAAACAGACAGGGACAAGGAGCAGTAGCTATTCCTGGCGATCAATTTGGCTGCACATGGAAAACTCCCTTGGGGGATTTGCCAAACAAATCAAGTTGCGCATTTTTCAAACATTAAATTCGACCTAATAGCTTGAGCAGACCATGCCCAAATGTACCAAGTTATAACTTGTATTTGACCCTACATAGACAGATTATACAGGTGCTATTGCATGTTTTCAATATCCCAGGCTCTGCTAAAGCACAAGGGAATCAAATATCTTTAGCTGCAGACCATACCAAGAAACCCCTGCCAAATTGAAGGATAATTATGTGACATTCTATGGCCATGGCCAGAATAGATACATCGAAATTTGATATAATGCACCCCTGCCCCTGCAGTAGACCTTGCAGTGGGCCCCGCATCTGACCCCTGCATCAATTTCAATGTCTTCCTATAAATTCCCAGTTGGCCTGTTGCCCTGCTCACCTCTACAAGATCTTCAATGAACAAAAATGGATCATAACAGACCAACCCTGGGGCAGCCCCTGCAGCACCCCCCCGCAGCACCCCCTGGGGCAGCCCCCGCATCACCCCCCGCGGCACCCCCTGCGGCACCCCCCGCGGCACCCCCCGCGGCACCCCCCGCGGCACCCCCCGCGGCAGCCCCTGCGGCACCCCCCGCGGCACCCCCCGCGGCACCCCCCGCGGCACCCCCCGCGGCAGCCCCTGCGGCAGGCCCTGCCAAATGATGGGATCAAGTGTGTCACCAATCCCATTGTGCAGGGTGCATTTTGGTTTTTCTAAGCTCAAGTTCATGTTTAACTAGCCTATTTACCTATGGAAATTATACTGGGATGATTTGGGGAGTCTTCCATTTTTTTGGGCGGAAAATCACGTGATTTTGCGCCCATTGTCTGCCACAGCATGCAATGTATCAAGCAGCATTTCCAAAATCATGCCAAATGCTGCAAAAAAGGCGCCCAAAAAGTCACGTGATAATGCGCCCACTGCCCGCCATGGTGTGCGGGGGGTGGTAGTGACCCCGCCAATGATGCCGCCAACCCCTGCCAGCATTTTGGTAATATTTGGTGCAGCGCATCACGTGATTTTTTTTATCCCGCCATCCCGCCCATGCAGCGCGTCATGTGATTGGATTTTTTTTTCCCGCCCAGCTACCCGCTCTTATGGACAAGTCACATGCTACATACACCCCCCCTCCTCCTGACCCCCGCATATGCCCCCGCTACTAAATCGACTAAATGGCCCCCCCACCCCCCGCCAGGGGGTACCTACTGGGTACCCTCAGCAAGACGTCTGAGGGTACCCAGTAGGTACCCCGCGGGGGGAGAACCGCGTGATGGCGGTGGTAACTGAGGTGGATCCTAATGCGGCATACCTTAGGTATTTGACCGTATCTGAGATGCGTTCAGCAGGGTGAATGGCTAGTGATTCGTTTGCTCGGTCCGAAAGGTCTGTCATTCCCTTTTCCTCGTCTCGCATTGTGCGTGACGACTCGACGCCTGAGTCTTGGGACATTCCACCGTGGATGAGCTCGACATAGACCTCCTTGCGAAGCTTGTGATGTACACAGGGATGGTGCGACAACTCTTGTGCGGCCCGACCTAGCGCAACGCAACGCTGCTGGTCTCATGCGCGACGAGTAGAAACGTCGGGATTGTTAAAATGTTACCGCATCTCACCACTAGCCTAGCAGCAGCTCCATGAGTCACATCGTACGCGCGACGAATTTTCTTGAGCTTCGGCCACAACGCAGAGGATGATCGCGAGCAGGCCTCGAGGTTTACTAGCAAGGTCAACTTGCATGAAAAACAGGGTATCCAAAGCAAATTCTCTTCTCCTCTAGTCATGCGCTCCTGTTCCTAAATTATCGGTTCCTCATTGAAGGATTGGCAGGAGGATTCAAGTTACGAGTGCATGTCAGTACCCGCGCGATAACTTATTGATGAGTTGATCTTAATTTCAACTTCCCGATCTCAACTGATGATGTTGAGAGCGTCAGACGACCATGGGTCTGCTATAGACCTCATGAGGCTTAATATTCGGTCGCGTCGGACCCTGCGGTTTCGTATTAGGTATCTCTGTGCTGAAACAGTTACCGAGCTGTACGTATTCGCGAAGTGTCTGCGATGAACTCAGAAAGCTTTCTTAGCCCCGCATAAAAAAACCCGCACGCAGCAAACTGTCGTGTCTCTTCTCCCATCGTTCGCACAAATAGACGCCTATTTTGGCGTTCGTCGCATGCAGTATCGTGCGGGCTCAGACTGAAGGCCTGAAAGCCCGGGTACCTCGGTATTTTAAAGCCCGGCCGGCCCTGACTGATAGGCCGGACGCTCGGGCTCGGGCCTCTGTAATGCAAAGCCCTGGCCCCTTGAGCCCCGAGTGTTGAATTTCAAGGATATTTATGCAGAAATTAGCATGCTAGGCTCAGGGTCGGGCCTCACGGTTTCCTATTCTTAGCCCCCAAAAGCCGGCCAAAGCCCAGCTCGGTCACAATTTCCTATTTGGTGGGCCACCACGACATACACCGACTGCTCGGGGTATAGACTAAAGAGATATATAAGTTGGCATCTCCCAGTCTCATCCCACACCAATTCTTCAGCTGTGCAATAGAGCGAGATGGGCAACACAATCGCGCTCCCAGTCATCTGCACCGCATCCGCCTACTCCATTCCACTGCTGGCTCGGGCACTCTACCGGACCTGGACGTCCCTAGTGCGATTCATCGATGGCCCGGCGTCAGCGAACGTCGTCTTTGGCCATTCCATTGTGCTTTCGGTGCGCATGGCTCTTGCACCTCCTCCAATTTGCGGCCCCTGAATGACGACTGTCCAGGATATACCAGAGCAGGGGGACCAATGGCGAAAACGCTACGGCGCGACCTTCATGGCCAAGGGCCAGTTCTTGGTATGTGCATCTTGGAGCATCTTGCGAAATATCCGACGGATCGGAAACTCACCCGCTTGCGCAGGCAGATGACCTGCACACGACGGACCTGAAGGCTGTCGGCCATGTCCTCGGCCACGCCTCGGTGTACTCGAGAACGCCCGCGTTTCTCGGGAGCCTCGACCGTATCCTCGGCAAAGGACTGCTATCCGTCAGCCTGGATCCGCATAGACGTCAGGTTCGCATCCGCAGCTGCTAGAAATATCAGTGGTTGTTGACTCCTGCATTTTCACAGCGCAGAATTCTTGTAAGTCCGCGAATCGTGTACGCGACCGCGTCTGAGGCTTGCCCAAGAACCCTGCATTCAACCTCCAGCGAATCCGTCTGATGAACGAGATCTTCATGAACAATGCGATTCTCGTGGGTCTTGATTCGATGGCTGTGCTGTGTGGACGCGACTACTAATTGCGGCAGATGCGAGACTTGTTGATGGCAGATGTTGAAAAAGCGGGTGGATATGGAGGCCGGGAACAGCATGCTGATTCGCGGCGCGAAATGAGATCGCTGTCTGATTGATGGATCGCTGCACGTGCTCGGCATCATTCACGGCATATGACATTGTACTTTGTTGCTTGTGCTCTGTAAGGTTTATAAATGCTAGTTAATGTACACACTAGTTAGATATCATATTGTATGTATGTATTCTTGTTAACAAGCGTTGAGTTCCCCTGGTCCTGAAATTGATCGGTCACGTGCAGTTTCGATGAGTCAGCAAGGTCGCCGAAACACTTTCACGTGATCCAGTCTCATTATTGCGGACGCCCTGGGCAGGAATCAATGAGTGTCCTCCATAGGCATGTCATCGTTCAAGCTAATTAAGTAGTGCCACTGAGGATTTAGCCAAGTATCTACTACCCAAAGCGCAACAGTTTGAAGAATTCACAGTAACCTGATTATGTAGTCTTTGTCACTGCTGTACATTGCTGAGTACAAGGTAAACTGTAAATCTACCAGTCATCTGCATTTAAGTGTTGTGCACATTGGTACAATTCCAAAAATCTCGTGTTCAGAGTGCTCGACAGCATTACTTCGACTGCTCAGGCTTATTTCTACAAAGGTCTAGACAGGTTGCAATTTTCAAACAATATTTAATTTCTTCTGCCGGTTTGGAGTGGCACTGTTTTAATCTAATTGATTTAGGCATTTCTCGATGCCTTAGCAGAGTCCCTGGCGGTCTAGTTCCCGGGGATCGCTGCCTCCTGAGCTTATTCCAAGGGAAGCAAGCATCCAACCAGGTCGGAGTTGTACCATTGGACTACAAACTCAGCACTACTTAAGTAGCTTGAACGATGACATGCCTATGGAGGACACTCATTGATTCCTGCCCAGGGCGTCCGCAATAATGAGACTGGATCACGTGAAAGTGTTTCGGCGACCTTGCTGACTCATCGAAACTGCACGTGACCGATCAATTTCAGGACCAGGGGAACTCAACGCTTGTTAACAAGAATACATACATACAATATGATATCTAACTAGTGTGTACATTAACTAGCATTTATAAACCTTACAGAGCACAAGCAACAAAGTACAATGTCATATGCCGTGAATGATGCCGAGCACGTGCAGCGATCCATCAATCAGACAGCGATCTCATTTCGCGCCGCGAATCAGCATGCTGTTCCCGGCCTCCATAGGTGGAACGGCGACCATCAACCTCGCCGAGATGTTCCGTCAAGTCACGTTGAATATCATGGGACAGGCCGGTGTGTCCTGCTTGCCGCGAGTCCTAGAAATCCACATCGAGCGATCTGACAGGTTTTGGATACAACTTCAACTCGCTCGAGTCGGCCGGCAAGAATGAAGGGGATTTGGGAAAAGCCTTCCACATGTTGTTCCGCGGGCCGAACGCCAACTTGAACATTGCTGTGCAGCGCGCTCAGGGCGCGTTCCCCGCTCTCCAGTATCTGGTGGGTGTGTCCAGCGGCGGACAGGAGTCGTCGCTGACGCTCATTCTGACAGCCGCTGCCCGGCTGGCGCAATACGCAGTCCGGGATAAAAAGTACTGCGTGCCATGGGGGCGGAGCTGCTCGACAAGGCCAAAGCCGAGGCCCGGGTGCTCGGGGAGAAAGACCTGGGGTCGGGGCGGGATCTCCTCTCCATCCTCGTCAAGGCGAACATGTCCGCGGACATCCAGGACAGCCAACGTTTAAGCGACGATGAGGTCATATCCCGTACGTTCGCCCATCGAGCCGAATTCGACTGATTTTTGCTCACGATTGAAATTCCAGAGATTCCGACGTTCCTCCTCGCCGGCCACGATACCAGCAGCGTCGCGCTGGGCTGGGCCCTGCATGCGTTGGGGCACCATCCCGACATTCAAGACAAGCTTCGTCAGGAGCTCCTTTCCATTCACACGGACACACCGAGCATGGACGAGCTGAACGGGCTGCCCTATTTCGACTCCGTGTTGAAGGAGACGATGCGGCTGTATGCCCCCGTGCCCTTCGTTCAGCGCACCGCGCTGCAAGACGACGTGCTGCCGCTCAGCAAGCCGTACGTGGACCGGTGGGGCGTGTCTCACGAGAACCTTCCGTGCGTTCACCTCATTCCGCTCTGTGGAACTGTGTCGCGCGACTCACGGATGACAGCATCCCGAAAGGACAGATGATCACAATCCCGATTCTGGGCGTCAACACCGACACGCAGACTTGGGGCGACGATGCTCTCGAGTTCAAGTGCGTCGTTTCCCTCTTGCGCTATTAGATCGCGGTTTGATCTTTTCCGCTGTTTCCTTTTCCAGACCCGAGCGGTGGGGCAACTTGCCCGAGGCGGTACATGCCGTGCCCGGCGTATGGGGAAACCAGCTGACCTTCGTCGCGGGCGCCCATAGCTGCATCGGCTTCCAATTCTCGGTGTCCGAGTACGTCGAGTCCCCCTCCCCGCGCGCTCGATTGAACCCGTCGGTGCAGACAAAAGGCGATCCTGTTCAGTCTGCTCCGCGCTTCCGAATTCCTGCCGGATGCGCAGCCCGTCCGCCCGGTGATCGCTGCGCAGCTCTCGCGACCGGAATCGTTTGTCTCGGATGGGAAGGGTGGGCAGGTGTCGTCGGGCGGGCTGTCTGTTGTGCTCAAAGCCTATAAGGGATCTGCTCTGTGATTCCAAGTCACTATGCTGTCACAATTAGAAATAATTTGGTGCAATGGCCACCTTTTGAAAGAAATTCACAATCGCTATCTTGACTTTGCCATCTGATGCTGTCATCGACCATCTAGCGAACGACTTGTGCATTTCCAAAGCTCTTTCTACAGCTTCATCAGCATCAACATGCGACACCCGACCCGGACCTATCGCCCAGCAGAATCATTCACCGAGGATCTTCAGTGCAAGTCGCACCACACACTTTCCGTACTATCTTCGCGCTGTCCGTCGTTCGGCAGGAGGGAACAGCGGCGGAAAGATGGGCGCGGAATTTGTGGAACTTCGCTGTCTTCGATGCGGGATGAAATGGCTACGACACCGGCGCGAGAGGACCGTGTGTGCCATAGGAGTGTGTTATCCATATCGAATGGTGACAGGTTTCGCGTTGTAAGAATTATCGAGACAGTACGGGTAAATAGATTGATGTCCGGAGTCAGAAGGTGAGACGTAGAGGCATGCATAATGTAAGATAGGATACGGGAGGGAAGGACCAAGCCCACGGAGGCATGTAGTGGAGCCAAGGATGGTGTTATGAGACCATGATAGGTCGGGGTTGGGCTGTAGTCGGGAAGAAACGCCTCAGTTTCAAAGGGAGGGGAGGGGAGTCGACGTCCATCGCGTTCTCAGGCTTGGACGCTGATGGCGAATGGGGCAACGAACGGGCATGCGCTCCGGTCCCGGAATGCAGCGGTGTGCGCGGTGACAAGCTGACGCAAGTGCTCGTCGGGCTCGCCGCAAGATCAGGCATCTGCAGCGGGAGGGGATCCCGAGGCGCGCGCAAATGCGGATGCAAGAATTGGGTTACGCGCACATGCCGCCGGCCCTCCTCTGAACCAAGTTGCCGCAGCCGGGCACCCCCCACACCCATGATCCCGTCCCAGTGCGCGAGGATCTCGTCCTCCCGCACGCCAAGCTGCCAGTCTAACACCTCCAGGAACTCTCGCTCGATGCGCCCGATGTCCCGCGGGCCAAACACCCCGCTCACGAGGCCCCAGTGGACGTTTTTCAGCGTGCTGTCCTGCGTGTACTTGCTCGCGACAATCAGCGCGCCAAGGAACACGCGCTCCAGGGCCCATTCTTCGAGTGCAATGCTGAGATGCGGACGTGCGCGCACGACGTAGACCAAGGCGACGAGCGCGGCGGCGGGCTGGACTTCCGCTCGGCGGAGGACCATCTCGACGAAGGCTGTGAACTTGCGCGCGTGGAGCGTGCGCGCATGGTTGCGGCCACGTGGTGCATCGCGAGTGAGTGCGTATTGGACCGTTTCTGAGATGCATTCGGCGAGGTATTCTGCGAATGCAAGTGGGAATTTGATTGAGACCCAAGCGTAAAGAGTCCGGACGTACCGATGAAGGACTGCGAGATATCCATGTCGATAAGCTGTATCATTGCGGAAGAGTGAGAAGCCGGGTTCACAAGCGATGCAGGATGCATGGAACTTGATGCAGTGGCCGACGAAGAGGCCGACGAAAAAGAGGCGGATGTCCACGCAGCGTAATCGAAGCTGGCGTTGCTCATGACGGGGACAGAAGGGTTCGGGCACGCCCCATAGTCGTTGCAGTGAGGCGATTATATAAAGACGTGGCTGACTTGGCGGGGAGTCAAATGTGTACACAGTGAGGCGGAGCAGGCCTGCGCGCAGCAACGCCGCTTACGTGTCCGATCACGCTCTGACTTCGATCAATCAATTCAAAACCGTGACTTCGAGTACAGAGCGCGTCGCGGAGACTCGGAAGAGTCTACAGGTCGATTGTAATAAATTTCCTGATTGAAAGCCTTTCCGTCTCTTTTTATGGTTCTAGAGTTGAGGACCTGCTGCCTACGACATCCATACTTCCTAGCCAGTTTGACATGTGCTTCATTTTCTGAAGCGCACACCGGAGACTCCAATGATGTTCCTGCATACATAGTAAGCTCTGCTGACTACAGTTTCAAATTCGGGCACGAGTCTCCATTTGATCGATGCCCGATTTTCGCTCAATTCATTCTCACACCACCGGAAAGCAACCCGCACGCGTTTGATCCATCTCGTCAGCAGCAATACGCTCGAAGGATTAGACCACAAGTCCCTCCGCTAGGTCACTTTTCACATGTCACAGGGACGAGAGACGAAAGCAAGGCTTCGCAATAAAAGGCTGGGTTATTTTCGTTTGTGGGTGCTGAGAAAAGACAAATAGATTGAGGGCGAAGGGGAGAGGAATTCTCTTTGAAGAGGACGGGAAGAGTTCAAATGATGATTTGAGCGGTCCAGAGGGATAAGCCGATCCGTGATTACGGCGGATTCCCTTACAAATCGGCGAGGGACAAATATCCTGCACACGAAAGTGCCGCATGGTCAACGTGTGAATGTGTACATACATGAATGAACGGTTTCCTCCGCCGGCGTGTTGAGTTCTAAGTTTGATTTCTTGGTTCTTGGGTTGAAAGCAGAGGATCGATGATACCCTCGGCATATTAAACAAAACGTTGCAGTATTGAATGTATTCTAGCAAAGTATTTATTGAGTGGATGCCCTGCCAGTTTCTCCAAATCTAACGAATCGATCGGATCTTTTCCTGGACGAAGTCCATGTTCGGCCGCAACGGCGCGTCAAACGTCCAGCACATCTCCAGAACGCGCCACAGCTCGTCACAAACCAGACTCTGGTATGCTTCCCTCTGAGGGGCAAGCTCTTCAAGCGCTTTACGGTCGACAACCACTTTATTTGTTCTGCGGCGTGGTGTCTGCGAGGACTGAATCTGAGCGTCTGGTCAGAAACTGATGCGCGGTCTGCAGCCTCTTCTCACGAATAGCCCAAGGATACCGAAGGAGTAGACGTCAGAGGCGTCCGTAGGCACAGCCGGCTCGCCTTCTGGTGTTTCCGTCGCCAGGAGCTCGGGTGCTGTATAGTTGATCGTGCGCTTTCTCGGAATGAATCCCGCCTCAGAGATCAAACGGCCAACTCCAAAGTCACACAAGCGTGGTTTGCCTGTGCTGTCGACAAGCACATTCGACTGCCATGAGTATCATGAGATAGAGCTCCCTCCACGCCATTCGAATGCGGACATACCGGCCGCAGATCACCGTGTACGATTCCGGAACAGTGGAGGTAACTTACGCCGGCCGCCACCCCTCGGATCTGAAGCCCATGTCGTCAGTGTCCATTCAAACTCCGACGGCGGGAACGTGCTGACCAGGCTCAGTCGATCGACGTTTTGACTTCCAGATAGATATCTTCCGATGCTCCCGAATCGACAGAACGGGTAGACAAGGATGGGGCTCGGGCCAAGCTCCTCGGATAGGTTCAAGAGTGGGAGGATATTTTTGTGGTCGAGGCGTCTCCAAACCCGGGATTCAGCACGCAGCTTCTGCCGTCATGAAAAATGAATGAACGGTGAAGGTCCTTGAAGAAGAAGGCGCCGAATACCTGAAATAGACTGCTCAATGCGGCAGAGTCGTGGGGTTCATCTATGATACGGATCAGCTTGAGCGCCACCTACCGTCGACGTTTGGTCAAGCCCCTGGCGCTTCAACTGAAACACGTACTCTGACTGGGGCCTTGCCTTCTGCCTTCTGCCGCCCAGCAAAGATTGTCGAGTTGCCGATCGACGAAATCGGGAATGGAGAGCGGAGTGTCAATTGGGGCGCGCTGCTCGGAATGAAGGGGAAAGACTTGGCCTGTAAAAAAACAGAGACTTTCAGGACTTCATTGAGCGAGCTAGGTGAATGAGCTCGGCATACATTATCACAGGCCTCTTCAGCGCTCGAGGAAAACCGCTCGCTTCCGTTCGTAGACACGGGAGTGGACGCGCACGAGCGGCGGGCGAGTTCCGGACTTGTGATCATGAAATATGACATGCTCCAGCTGCGCCTCTCCAGCACATCCGAGTTTCTCTTGCCAGTCTCCCGATTTGGATAAAGGTCGTCCAAAATGACTTCTTCGTGTTCTCCGAAGACCTGTCAAAGAGCTGCGTGAGATCTTGCTCGGAGCGACTCGAGAGGTGAAGCTTGCGTCCAAAATCGTTTCGTCGTTCTCTTGAGTGAACATGGATGTGAGCTGATCAGAGGAATGTGGGAGGGAGTGTGACATGAAGGAGCGGATGGTGCCCCATTATCAGTTCCAACGGCTACATCCTCGCCGATACCGCGTTGCTTGCGCGGAAATTGATATTGCTGAAAAAGTCAGACCCTCCTGACACGCGGATTGAACGAGGTGCCGAGTGCTGATCGTGGCCGATTGCAGAGAGCAATCAATCTTACAATTGATTGGGCGGTTTTTGATCGCTGAGAGTAACTGTTTTTTGTTTACATTGATTGTCCAATTGAGGATATTGATCGAATGATCCATTGCAATGGAGTGTTCATTTTGCTCTTGAAGCCCCAGCACCAGTGGCAAACCACCGCGAAGGAACTCAGAGACTGGATAGCTTGTTTATCTCGGCGTTCAAAGCATTTCCGACTCTACGCCGGACGACAGAGCTGAACGTTACGAAACTCACGACCAAGTAAGCGTAGACAAGGACAAGCAGCTCCGCTTCATCAAAAACCGCCCAATTTTTTTTAGATCTTTTGTGCGGTGGCCATCATCACTTCATAGTTTGCTTCTCCGAGACGGTAGCCTGGACCGTCAGGCCGTCACAGCATCAAGTGTTCGGGACTCCGATACAACCTGGCAGGACTTTGACTCGCTGCTCCCTTCCTTAGTCCTCATGGTTCTCGCAGCACTCCGATTGTGCAGATCGTATTGTAACTAGAGGTGTGCAGGCCACGCTCGTTAAGTTTCCATGATATAACGATGCGGGGCTCCCATATTCCTCGTTTGGCTTGTCATCTGGCCTTTTCCCCTCTCCCCTCGCCTATTCGACCTCCTCCTCCTTTTTCGCTCCTCTGCTCAAGTGCTCACCCCCTACCCCACCAGACCTGCCTGCCATTTCTGGTCACCCCGCGTCCGCTACGAACCCTCACGAAAAGTGAAGATGCCCGCTTATGACGATGACGATTTCATATTTCCGGTTCGGATGCTCAAGCCGCGCTCGAACGGTCATTTGAGTCTTCGAATAGATTTTCAAGAACCTAGCTCATCGCCCCGCCTCGGTCTTGCCACGCGGATTGGATGCAGTTCCGGTCCCCCAACGTCCGTTTTCGACTCCGGTCTCCGTGCGTAAACCTCGTGTCTGTTGTGGGGTATAGCTGTGCTTACTCTTTTCTACTGCTGACAGCCTGCTGACAGCCCCGATTCCATCGCGCACAGAATGGGGGATGTCACCGATGAACCACCGTGCGTGTCGACGGCGCCACGCCCAGCATCCTCGCGACCGCCTCTTGCGAAACTCGTCATCGATCATGCCAGATCTGGACCACCTTCCCCTTCGGGAGCTTCTTCAGACGACTGCGCCGGTGGTAGCCCAACGGCTGGTCTTAGTCCTCGCTTGAAGAGAAGGTCGAATGTTTGGGCAGCTTTGACACCAGCGGGGAAAAAGAGGGCCTGTCATGCGATGGCTCCAAACTATCGTCCCAGCTCCCCATTCAGGGATCGGCCTGGGTCACCGCTGGGAAAACGTCCAGGATCACCGGTGTATTCTCCGTTCTCTCCCACAGTGTCAGTGATCATCTCTAATGTTGTTTGTGGGCTGACACTCCTCCACAGACCTCTACATGATGTATGTGCATTGGCAAGTAATCTTTTTGTCCGCTGGCGGTGACGTGACACCTATGCAGATGTCGGATATGGGCGAAGAGCTGGACTCTTCTGTATGTGAATTTCGACTCGTTGAAGCCTGCTTGCCGAAACTCTGTGTCACTGCAGGATCAATCACTTATAGCCGCCCTCGGCACTGATCTCGCTGGCCGGATCGACTCCGTCGGTAGATTCCCCATTGGTGCAGGGGGATACGGCCAAGTATATCGAGGGAAGCTTGACGGTCGGTTCAGTGTGAGTAGGTTGTACTTTCGCCAAACTTGCAATTGACCTGCATAGGTTGCAATCAAATGGATGTGGAGTCCTACGTGCGACATGTCGCGGGTGGGCTAGCTCGTTGCTCTTACCCAGTACACTCTGACCGAGCGGGTTTGCAGTACATGCGGAGGGAACTCGAAATTTCCATTGGCCTCAAGCATGAAAACATCCTGCCTTTGATCGGTTCATGTAGACTGGATGGCCACCCGGTGCTCATAACCCCGTTTATGAAGTTCGGAGATATCTGGAAATATCTATCCGGTAGCCATCAGAAAGTGTCGGGTCTATCCCTGGTGCGCTCGAATGAATCGTTTCTGTCCGATGCACTCAGTCCATGTTCCACAGATCTTGGACGTAGCATCCGGGCTGGCCTATCTGCACAGGCACAACATTGTGCACGCAGATTTGAAACCGGTGAGTGTCCATCTCATTTGAGAGCATTCGCACTGACCGGGATTCAGTCAAACGTCCTGGTAGACAAACATCATCGCGGATGCATCTGCGACATGGGGATATCTCATAATCCCACTGACCATCTGTTCACGACCCCGACTGCTCACGGTTCGTTTCCGCACATGGCTCCCGAGCTTTTGTTCTTGGACATTCATGGCCGCGACTACTCTGAAATGAAGGTGACTCAGGCATCGGACGTTTATTCGTTCGGGATCACGGCTCTGGAGGCAAGATCTGCGCGTCCTGTCTCCGATATGCATGCTGACCTTCCCGCCCCTGCTCAGATCTTGATTGGAAGGAAATTGGAAAACAGGTCACGCCGTGGCCAATCCTACATTACCAACGAGGATGACTTGAAGAAGCGCGAGCCCCGGCGTTGTGATTACCCGCAAGTTCCTGACCAGATCTGGAATATCCTGGTCAACTGCTGGGCGCGAAACCCGGCGTCTCGCCCCACCATCTTTTGGATTCGTCAGCAACTCACTGGCATTTCAGGCGATTCGGCAGTCAGGCGTGTCTCTCATGGCTCTTAGTAGCTACTCTTGCCATGAGATAGACTGTTTAATGGAAATCCCTAGTGGGTTTACAAGCCTCGCACACGCCAGCGGTTGCCACATTAACTTCAGAGTACCTGATTGAATTGGGAGATGCCTCAAAGGCTTCAGAGCTCTCATTCCTTCAGAAGCCTCGGCCATAAGATATAGGATGAGGTGCTAGTTCGTACCCCAGCAAACGGAATGCGAAAAATGGTTTGTACCCGGGTTCGCCACAGGAGCCATATCGGATTCACGTGTTCTCACTTGCCAAAACGTTCCCGAGTTGAGAGACCTCCCCGGTGCTTCCGGCGTATCGGGGGCGATCCCGAAAGCCCCACCTCATCTTATCGGCATCAGTCACTCAGCGGTCAAGGTGACCTGTGATCTGTCACGGCTTCCTCTCTACTGCTGCCCGACGATGAACTCAGACGAAGACGATGATCTTGCACGCGCAATCGCGCTCAGTCTCGAAGAGGCACACGATGAGAACCGCTCGAATGGTCGCACCCGCCATCCTGCGAAGGGCAAAGCGAAAACAAGGTCGATTCCGGCTGAGGTGGTGGTGATCAGCGACGACGAAGATGAAGAAGAGGCACAAGGCCGGAAATCCCAGGAGCGAGGAAAGGATAACAGATCAGACGTTCCCAAGAATCTTCCATCCGTTCAACCCATGGCATCATCTTCGAAGGCACCCGTCGCCGTGCCACCACCAGCGCAGTTTACACCACCGCAACCTACACCACTTACCGAGCCGACGCCGCCCACTGCCAATCTGCCTGCTGGCGCTGGACTTCTTTCACTGCTCGGGGACCGAGCGCAGATGGAACGCGAGCGCTTGGCGCGTCAGAAACGGCTCCGCGGGCCTTCCCCGCCCGCACCACCCCCGGTTTCAAGCGGAGAGGAAGACCTTGATGATGACGAGGAGGATGAAGACGAGGATATGTGGACTGCCAGCGAAGGAAGCTCGCGGAAACGCGTGCGATTGAACTCAGCTGGGGACTCGGCATCTCGGGGCGGTCCGTCGCAGCCACCGACGTTCCTCGACGGGGTGCTACGGAGAGTGGAGACAAAGTACGCTGAGGCGGGGCCAGGGGAAACTGGATTGGCGCCTGGAGTCCGGTTGAGCGAGCTCATCGGGCCCAAAGACGAGCTGGCGTTCGCGATTCTCTCGGCTTTCGTCATCGATCCATCGTGGATCTACTCGTTCTTCGATCCAACGACGCCAGTCATTCTTGTTGCGGACTCGAATACCACAATGGCCGAATCATCTTCCAGCAGGTGCATCCGAAACTGCTCTTCCTCTCGTCCCCTCCGCTGATTGCTCTTCCCAGACCTACGCTCAAGAACATCTTCCCGAATTGGGTTCGAGTATGCCCGCCCCTCGGCAACCGAGGGTGTATGCACATGAAGTACATGCTGTTTTTCAAGAAGACTGGAGCGCTGCGCGTCGTGATCAGCAGTGCGAATCTTGTGCCACATGATTGGCGCGACGTGGAGAATGTGCGTTTGTCTATTCAGCTGACTCTCCCGCTTACGCTTCCACACTGTAGTACGTATTCGTTCAGGATGTGCCACGACTCAGACCAGCGGCCGATTTTGTGCGTCTGCGCACGGGTGAGAAACCTGGGGAAGCGTTCCCGTCGGTGCTGGCCGGGGTTTTGCGGGCTACGGGTGTCGAAGCAGCGCTGGCTATCATGGAGCAGCAGGGTGTAAGCTCGTCATGTTTTCACCGGTCAATCTGCCCCGCTCATCCCCACCCAGCGCACGGATCTGCCACTACCGACACTGATTCCGTCGACCGTCGCTCGGGGCAAACCTAAGATTTCGGCACTGGAAAGCAAGTGGGATTGGTCGAGAGTGCGCGCTGCCTTGGTACCTAGTGTTCCGGGACGATGGGAAGGCTGGGCCGGGGATCGGGCGGTGCTCTTGTGCGCAACCCCTGCTCGCATCCCATGTCTCGTGGGCTGATTGGGATTCAGGAACGGCCAGACCCGTCTCTTGCGCGCGATACAGAACCTTGGATGTGGTTTGGACCCCGAGAAGGGAAAGCGGAAAACGGGAGATTGGGAGATCGAGCTAGATTGTCTGGTACGTGTGCTTGGGCCGGTTTCGGATCGTGCTGATGGTTGGTGCAGACATCGTCCATAGGCACATACACTCCACCTTGGACTGCCGTATTCCGGCTCTGCGCTGGTGGACGTTCGCGTGCGATCCAAGCGTGGCTAGACCGTGGACGGAAGAAAGTGCGTATCCTCGTCACCAACTTGTAGCACCGGCTGATTGGGATGCTTTGCTAGACACCGAAACAAGGCCCCACTCGCATCCTGTATCCGACTCTTGAGACGATCAAAGGCACGAAAATGGGCGAGCCGGGCGCAGGGACGATCTTTTGTCGGCGGGCCCAGTGGACGAAGATCAGCGGGATGGCTAGCGATGCATCTGGACTGGAGATTCATGACGTGCGGAGTAGAAGTGGACCATTAACGATGCATACAAAGGTGTGCCGGGCGTTGATTCATGGTTACTGGCGCGGTTAGGAGCTGACACTGGATAGATGATTCTGGGCACGTTGAAAGGGCCACCGGCAGACGATTCCGCGACGGAGAGTGACACAGACAGCGACATAGAGGTGATCGAGACCGGACCTATAGGCAAGCCCCGGTCCTGGCTGTATGTCGGATCGCACAACTTCACCCCCAGCGCTTGGGGCAGGCTCAGTGGCAGTGGCTTCAATCCTGTTCTTGAGGTGATGCGCATGCGCGTTTAGCCTGCGGGATGCTCGAGCTGATGATCCTTCTCAGGTGATGAACTACGAGCTGGGTGTGGTGATGCGCTTGGAGACGGAGGCGGAGGAGAACAAGGCTATTGCGTGGGCGCGGCCGACCAGGCGCTATGTGAAAGACGATGTTCCTTGGGTGCGTGTCTGGTGGTACCGGTATTTTTCGATACTCATCGTGGTACCCAGATCCAGGAAGAGAGCCCGTTCTTTGCCGAGTAGAGTCCCGATAGATATGATGGCACATCTAGATACTGGCAGCAGCTAGAAAACTACTTTTCTGCAGAAAGCGGGTGGATTCCGTATTCGCTCCTTCTGTGGCGAGTCTCAGCAAAGGGAGATCGAGAGCGGATAGCGTTGCAGACGTGCAGGTGACTAAGACAGGGTAGAAAAACGACAAGCACACAGCTCGTTACACTAGCTAGCCTTGCGTCTCATATATTCGAAGCACATCGAGCCGCTTGTCTCAAAACTCATCCGAATATAGCACGCATATACTGTCGTACCGTCCAGATTGATTCCACATATACTCAAACTTGTGCTTGGGTCTCAGCACTGAGGGAAAGAGTTCGTCCTGAATGTCAAGGCATCGGGCAAGCAGTGCGGCGGCTGAGGCAGTTCGGGTAACCTTGCTGCAGGGATGATCGGGAGTTTTCTGAAAGCTAAAATTCATGCGTCCTGACGAGGATGATAGGCTCTTAGAGTTGAGCGCTGAGCGCTTATCAGCCGGAAAGTAGCAGCCACTCAACGAGACTTCATCGTGGCATTGATGGCCTGATGTAACTGCACAGCCACAGGTCTCCCACGTTCTCTTTCTTGTATGAAGCGCCGTGCGGGTCTCTCTTGAGTCCTAAGGGTCGCACTATACGCTTGGTTGCAAAAATGAATCTTTCACATCGCTATTTACTGTGCGCTGGAGTTCATGCGGATGAACATTCCTCTTAGTTCTCCACGTCCGTTCCGGCAGCGGATTGGGGTCTCGAAGTGAGACCGATCATGTCTGACTGAGAACTGGCCGCGAGTCAGCCAGGGTAAGTCTCGCATTCCACGATCTCTCTTCTCCTTCTCTTACGCCTCTGATCCAATTCTCACGCCGGATGGAGCTCTCACAATTTTTCGGGTGCGATACAGCCCTACTCTCCATTCATGCACTCGCTCGCTCACCTGCGCAACCATCAGCGCGATCCTCGTCGGCTCATGGCTCAACAATGTGCTCTACGTCATCGAGATCGTTTCCGCTGTGGCGTACTTCTCGCGCACTCGAGGAGAAGGGACTGCGCCGACGAACAGATGGTGGATCCAAGGGAGCATTGGGGTATGTGTTGTGGTGGATACGGCAGCGTTAGTAGCGACGCATGCGGCGGTGTACTTGGTGAGCCGCTTTCTGCTTCTTTTGGATACACGCTGATCAGGATGTGCTAGTACTGTGTCTCGCACTGGGGTCAGAAAGTTCCGCACTGGCAGAATCCGTGTCTGGGCTAACATTTGATCGCTGCAGGAGACATCTCGTACCTCGCTGGTCAAGTACGTAGCGCCGGCTCATGGATCTACTGCGCTTGGTTCTTATCTTGCGTGCACTGCAGCACTGGCCCGTGCAAATGAACGCTTTCACGAACGCCATCAACGTGCTCGTCGGCCAGAATCTGCTTATCTTCCGATGCTGGAGAGCGTGAGTTTTTCCCAAGGTAGCTTCCCGTTCCGTGCCTCACCTATCTACGATCTCTGTCAGCACGCGAATGTGGTCGATATCGATACTCTTGTGGCTTTTGTCGCTTCTGACAGTTCGTCACTCTCTTTTGGCCCGGGGTGGGATCCGAAGTTATCAGTGTTGATATCACACCATACAGTTTGCAGCGACACTCAGTACCTTTGCGCTGTTAGTGGAATCTGGCGATCCCACAACGGCGGGGAATTTCCTGACGCGCATAGTGTGAGTGCCGGACCACTTTGTCAGGCATCTATTCAGCTGTGAGCTGTAGATTGTCTCTCGTCTCGGCCACAGTGACTGACATTGGCATTGCGGTCTGTGTGAGTGCCTCCCGCATGGCGTAGTGCCTGGTGCTCTGATGTACACATAGCTAATCGTTCAGCTCGTTAACATACACTCCGCGTCAGATTTCAACGGCACAAAAAGGCGCGTCGTGCTTCATATATCATAGTCCAGCCACATTTCCCGAGGCTGATGATCACTGATCCCAGTATCATCCGTCGACTCATTCTCAACGCGCTACGAACGGGCATAATCACTTCGATTGGGGCGTCGATTGCGCTGATATCGTTTCTCACCGACCGCGACTCGGGCATCCCGTTTGTCTTCGGGTTCTGTTTCGGGCGGATTTATACGCTCACGGTGCTGTATAACCTGCGCACCCAGTGGCAGATATCCGTCGACGATAGCTCGGTCGTCATGAGCTCTACGGATCAGGGTGCAGCACGGACTGGTACTGAGTGCAGTATCGGTGAGTGCCGCCAATATGCGAACTTCCAGCTCTGATACACTCATTTCGTGGAGATGTTCACCACGAAAAGATCGTGAGCGTGGATTTCCGGCTGACGGAGCCACACCGATGCTCGACTGAGGCGGATGGCGAGTCTCTGGTTTCAGCGCAGGGCATCTCCAGGTTCCGGTATGGGCCCGATGGCCGCCAGGACTAGCATCGGTCCCAGTGGTCACATTTGTAGACATCAGTAGGGAAAGATATCGGCCACATGGACAGCACAAGCTCGTGAGAAAGAGCTGGGTCAGATGTCAGCTAGTCAAATGCAAGCTTGGTCAGAAATTTAAGCTTGTCAAATATTGGTTTGGTCAGAAAGGACCAGCTCGTGAAATGAGCCTAGTCAGATAGATTTCCCGTGAAAAGAACCGAAGGTAAATATATTTGGACGTGCAATGAAACGATTCGCTAACTATAGAGAAGCGTGGGACAAGTGCTCCAAACAGAACGAGAGACCCAATAGAGGATGAGAGATGTATTCTGCCGGTCTAATCACCGCACACACGGCGGCGTTAACCTGACATATTGAGATACCTGAATGTAACGTCAGCGACGCGTCCAGCATCATAACAGGATGGCAAATCCATCATCAAAGAACTCGCATGAACTTGATGTCCAACTCGACTCAACTCGGGCACCAAGCTGAGTTCTATATTGATGCGACCTCGCATCGAAGGTTCAGATACACGTCGCACGGGGTGATACATCCTAGTCGCGTCTTGCATTCTCGAGCCGACCTGTCTCAGGGATGTGATGAAGAAAGGGGAGAAATAACGATGCTATAAGTGTATGATGGTGAGCCCGCCTTCTGTACGCGCCGCGGAGAGCCCGAGCGGGTAGACCATCTCGAAGTCCTCGCTCGTGCTCTGCGTGAGGATGAGAGAACCTGCGTGAGCAGCCGGGACACTGGGTCCTCACGGCTCCTGATTTCCGGGAATTTGGCTCCAACCTGAACCACTGTCGCTTGGCACAGATGTGGCACGATTGTCGTATGCGATCCGTTGCTCACCAGTGAGCAAAGGACGTAAATTATTTTGATTAACGAGCTTTTCGCGAGACATGAGGTATCGATTTCGGTTTCGATTTTACTTCGATGACATTCCCACGGTCGGTAGCTCAAAATATGATGGGGCCGCGGAGAGCTTGGTGCGCACGAGAAAAGAAGCAGTTTTATCTAAGAAGGGCATGAGATAGATTCACGGATCCGAGTAGAGGTGTGACTCCAGTAGGTGCTTTGGGTGACGGTCTTGGGTAAGGTCCAAAGTCGCCATCACTACTCCTCATCACAAGATCACGCATCGGCCCGGAAAACCTCCCGTGATGCAATCAATGTCTGCTTGTCAAAGACCTGGTCAATCACGCTGACGTCCTTCTCCTTGACTTGCTTCATCGCCCGCGCTGACCAAAAAAAAAAATGGACGGCGCGTTTTCTTGAATAGGATCAACTCGCATTGCGAGCCTTCCTCATTCCATGGGCCACCGCGTCAGACAGCCATCAAGGCATCCACAATCGATGCACGAGGCGATTGCCAATCAAGGACACGCGCACTGCAGCTCCAGCATCCTTCGCACGACGATAACTCTTGCCCCACTCTCCCATGGCCGACGCAATCCTCCAGTCCCTCACTGCCAGCGCGATCTTCGATCTCACCGGCGTTGTCGCCGTCGTCACGGGCGGAGGAACGGTGCGTGGCGGACGCCTGGGTTATATGTGAACGTCTTCATGCGAGGCTGAGCAGGGTATTGGGATGATGATCTCTTCCACGCTCGTTGCGAATGGCGCCACGGTGTACATCATTGGACCCAACCAAGCCGAACTGGATCGGTGCGGCCATGCATTGGCGGCATACGGATATCAGTATTGACGAGGCAGCAGAGTCTGTGCGAACTACAACGCGGCGAGCGAGAATGTGCCCTCGCGCGGGAGGATGCATGGGATTGAAGGGGATGTCCGGCACAAGGTGCGTCCTTTCCCTTCGTTCCTCCGTTATCACTCCATGCGAAACCGATCTCTCCCCAGAGCGAAGCCACGCGGCTGGCCGCCGCGATCGCCCAGCGCGAATCCCACGTGACGGTGCTCTTCAACAACGCGGGGGTCCACACCGGCCGGATCGCACGTCCGCCGCCCGGCTCGACCGCGGCGGACTACGTCGCAGCGGCCTTTGACGCAGTCTCGCAGCAGGACTTTGACGACTCGCTGCAGACCAACGCTGTCGGTCCATACTGGCTTACGTTCGCGTTTCTCCCGCTGCTCGAGGCGTGGAAGCAACAAGACGGGTACAAGCGCGGTAGATTCGTGCCCCAGATCGTCATGACTAGCTCCATGAACGGGTGGACCAAGGATGCAGCCACAGGGGGTCTGAGCTACCCGTACTTGTTCTCGAAGAGTGCGCTTGGGCATGCGACGGCGAGTCTTGCAAACGAGCTGCTGCCGCTGGGTATCCGAGTCAATGGAATCGCACCCGGTTTTTTTGCTACCAAAGTCAGTGGTCGTTTACTTTTCAGTTGGATCTTGGGGACTGAGTGTTTCCTATGCGCTCTGACAGATGACGACTCTCGCTGCCGATGAAAACGGAATGTCCGTACTTCCGGAAAACTTTCCCGCCGGTTTTGAGGTCCCCACCGAGTCGGGAGTAGGTTCACCGCGCGACATGGGAAGTTTGGCGCTGTTTCTCGTCGCGAACTGGTTTGTGAATGGAGAAACGGTCTTGATTGACGGCGGAGTGAGTCTTTTCATTGCGTAGTGACCGTCTCGCTCACACCTAGATCTAGACTCTGCTCAAAGCCCCATCTGCTTATTAGGAAAAGTTGTCATGGCAAACAGTGCATTGATGATATATGGATGATCAGGATGATTTTCCGGAAGAGTCCGATCTACAGGGTCCTTCCAACCCAACTAAAGTGTAAATGTCGATAGATCATCTACACATCGAGGTTCCATGAAAACAAGTCTCATTATCTTAATCAAGGAACCACTTTCAAAGTCGATCATTGTCCTGTAATGCATGTGCGGTGCATGTGAGATGGTGCGGCGATAGTCTTGACATTCAGGATACTCCAGAAGTGGTCGGAGTCGGATATCAGTGGATGAAGGTGACTTGAAAAACTTCCGGACCACACCGCACATTGAAGACGAAGTGTGACAAGCGAAGTTCTGACTCAGCAGCGATGATCGCTGGCGGTGTTCCTGTTGCTCACCATCGACTTGTTCATCAACCAAGTCCGTGTTCAACAAGTGGCACGAATTACCCGTGGAAAAATTGTTTCCTGGTCGGGCCGTGGTTTTGTCAGTTTTGCGTCCGTTATTCCAGGCGAGTTGCGGCGCCACGAAAGCTCGAACGGCATGCATGGTACCTACATAAACGTCGAGGAAGCATGCAGACAGACTATCCAACACCGCCAACATGCCCACCAAACCAAGTGCCGATGCTAAACTGTTCTCTCCGGTGAAGATCGGGAGTGTGACAATGCCCAACCGAATCTGTGAGCAGCCGTTTTTTCGTTCGCCCCGCAGAGCAGCTGACACTCAGCGGCAGTCATGGCGGCCCTGGCGCGGAGCCGCTCGACGGAAACAATTCCAAACGATATCATGCTCGAGTATTATATGCAGCGTGTACGAGGCGGTGCAGGGTTGATCGTCAGCGAGGCGAATCTCGTCAGCCAGCAAGGGTGCGTCTGGCCCCCCGGTTGTGATCCGGAGTGCGTCGCCGTGTCGCTTACGACATCATGTCAGCACGGAGTGGCCAAACTCGCCCGGCATCTGGAACAGCGCGCAAGCAGCTGGGTGGAAGAGGATCGTCGACGCTGTGCACAAGGAGGGCGGGCGCATGTATTGCCAGCTTTTCCACAGTGAGTGTTTGCTCCTTTGGGGCTGCGGGCGCAGCTCACGGATGCAGCTGGACGTGTATCGCACCCCGAAGCGCCTCACCAAATTGCATCGGGAGAGGTGAGCGCCGCCCTAAACTGCGAATATTTGTTTTGCCTAATCTACATTGAAGCCTATCTGGGGGCCTTCCGCGATTCGCGCCGCAGGAGGGAAGTTCCGATTCCTGCCAGGTGTACCGGGCTATCAGATGGTCAGTATCTTGCCGTAGCGGCACTCTGAAAACGCGCAGCTGCTAACCAACTTTTGAAGCCGACGGAGATCCCAGACCCAATGAAGATCGTAGAGTTGTTCAGGATTGCTGCATTGCACGCGAAAGACGCCGGATTTGATGGTGTCGAGAGTGAGTTGCGTCTGTAACCGCGCTTTGCCGGATGCCTGACTGCAACTTCTCTACCACAGTCCATGGTGCTAACGGCTACCTGATCCATCAATTTATGGATCCCAGCGCAAACCAGCGTACCGATAAGTGGGGTGGCAGTCCGGAGAACCGTGCCCGGTTCCTTCTGGAGATCTTGAAAGTCGTATGCGAGATCTGGGGTCCGAACGTTGGACTCAAGATAAACCCTGGTATGTTTTCATGCAAGTCGGAGGTCCTCCATCTCAATCACTCTCGCCAGGGGGCGGATACAACGACATGGGCTTTCCACTCGACGAGACCATCGCGTCGTTCGGCTATCTTCTCGCCAAGGTTGACAAGATGGGGCTTGCATACGTCTGCATCTTGCAGTACCTCGATTACTTCGATACCGCCAAGCGCGGGACGGCGCACGACGTGTGGGAGACGTACGCGCCGTTCCTCAAGAACACGCCGGTAATCCCCAACGGCGGGGTCACCCCAGAGCAGGCGCTCGAGTGGGTCGAGAGCGGGAAATATCCCGCGGTTTTCATCGGCATCCCGTGGATCTCGCACCCAGATTTGACCCGCCGCGTCAAGGCTGGAAAGCCGCTCGACAATCCGTTGGACGGTCCACATACCCATGGCGGGAATTTCGAGCCGTCGATTGGGTACTTGGACTACCCCGAAGCCACGTATGATTAATATTAGAGATTGACGAAAATAGGAGCCAGCACATTTCTATGCGATGAACGACTGACCTGTGGGCACGAAAGTGTTGCCCTGGTTTTGAGTGTTGAGGCCTTGAGCCGTGGTGATACAGCGCCGAGGAAGTTTTCAAGACGCTTGGTTTGTTCATAGATCCTCAGACCTCTCTCGCCGCCAGTCCGAGACTGCTGCACCGCTGCCAGCCCTAAACTTTCGATACTTCTCTTTGCAGCTACAACCTCGCAGTTGATCTGAACCTTGCAATCTACGATGGATACAGTCGTTTGGAAACTAAGCCGAGCAGTAGTTAAATCAGTACTGTAGGTTGGTGACTTTTTCGTCCGTGTTATAATTTGGTATAGGACCCGGAGAAGTGGACGTAGAATTGGTAGTATGGAAGTGCATTGCGCAAGATGTCTGTAGTTCCGATAGGTATGGTATGTGCTAGATTAGAAGGTCAGGTTGAGATGGACGGGTCGGTCAATGGATTGGGCTACGGCCCAGGCGATGTTGGCAGCGGACGGATGAATCTTTTCTTGGAAACACCGCTCCAGACATCCGATTCATCGATCTCGAAAATGATGTCGACCAGAAATGGGACGGAGGTGGCTCCATTGACGCCTAGTCGCTATATATGGGATTGGTAGGGCCCACACCAAGGACCAAGAGGACCCACTACACGCGAATTCGACTCGAGCGGGTAAAACTCGGAGAACGGATTCAGCAGTCGTGCATGCCCTTCGCCCGCATCGTTCAGGATCAGCCCGTCGCGCTCCTTCATCGCGATGTATAGCTTCACCCATGAGCACAATCAGAATCGCCACGCATTCGCGCACGCCGATAAGACACTTACCACACCGTTCCGCACACACACCATCGCATGCTGGCTCCCAAGCGCCGTCTTGCCTCTCGGAACAGTGAGGAACCCGTTATCCAGCTCGTCCGTGCGCCCGCTCCCGCGCTTCGCGCTCGCGCGCCCGATCGTCACCGGATCCGCGCCATCGATGAGGCACAGCGTCTTCGGGGAGAAGCGCGCGAACTCCGATTCGGCGGAGGAGGAGAGGGAGGACGACGCGCTGTTGGGTGGGCTGGACGTCGCGAGCGGGAGGAGCGCGGGGAGGTGCGTCGGGGAGTCCGTCAGCGAGGGCGGGCGCATGTGCACGTATCTCACGCTCATCGTCGTCGTCTCGAGGCGGGGGGTGTGAGGTGTGCCCTGGGCTGCGCAGACGCGTCGAGGGGTGGCAGTGCGCGTGGATGGGTGTCCGAGGGAACAAAGACACAAGAGGGTGACACGTCTGTATGGAGGCCGGGAACAGCATGCTGATTCGCGGCGCGAAATGAGATCGCTGTCTGATTGATGGATCGCTGCACGTGTTCGGCATCATTCACGGCATATCACATTGTACTTTGTTGCTTGTGCTCTGTAAGGTTTATAAATGCTAGTTAATGTACACACTAGTTAGATATCATATTGTATGTATGTATTCTTGTTAACAAGCATTGAGTTCCTCTGGTCCTGAAATTGATCGGTCACGTGCAGTTTTGATGAGTCAGCAAGGTCGCCGAAACACTTTCACGTGATCCAGTCTCATTATTGCGGACGCCCTGGGCAGGAATCAATGAGTGTCCTCTATAGGCATGTCATTGTTCAAGCTACTTAAGTAGTGCTGAGTCTGTAGTCCAATGGTACAACTCCGACCCGGTTGGATGCTCGCTTCCTTGGAATAAGCTCAGGAGGCAGCGATCCCCAGGAACTAGACCGCCAGGGACTCTGCTAAGGCATCGAGAAATGCCTAAATCAATTAGATTAAAACAGTGCCGCTCCAAACCGGCAGAAGAAATTAAATATTGTTTGAAAATTGCAACCTGTCTAGACCTTTGTAGCAATAAGCCTGAGCAGTCGAAGTAATGCTGTCGAGCACTCTGAACACGAGATTTTTGGAATTGTACCAATGTGCACAACACTTAAATGCAGATGACTGGTAGATTTACAGTTTACCTTGTACTCAGCAATGTACAGAAGTGACAAAGACTACATAATCAGGTTACTGTGAATTCTTCAAACTGTTGCGCTTTGGGTAGTAGATACTTGGCTAAATCCTCAGTGGCACTACTTAATTAGCTTGAACGATGACATGCCTATAGAGGACACTCATTGATTCCTGCCCAGGGCGTCCGCAATAATGAGACTGGATCACGTGAAAGTGTTTCGGCGACCTTGCTGACTCATCAAAACTGCACGTGACCGATCAATTTCAGGACCAGAGGAACTCAACGCTTGTTAACAAGAATACATACATACAATATGATATCTAACTAGTGTGTACATTAACTAGCATTTATAAACCTTACAGAGCACAAGCAACAAAGTACAATGTGATATGCCATGAATGATGCCGAACACGTGCAGCAATCCATCAATCAGACAGCGATCTCATTTCGCGCCGCGAATCAGCATGCTGTTCTATGGAAACCCGGAGCGGTCTGCTCATGTCAAATGGTTATGCGACGATGATCTTTGATAAGCGATGTCAAGACCCCAGAACCATTACACTAAGCAACATTACGAGCACACAAAACCGATAGATTCAATGTATTGAGTACTAATACTGAACGCTGAATCGGTGGAAATATCACGGCCCGCAGACATAAATTAAACAGGGACTTGAGCAAGGGGTTTGAGGCATCCAGTGATGATCAGAATGATCACGTGCAACAACCTTGACGAGCTCGCTGACAAATCCATTGAGATCTTTCAGTGCACGTGATAGATTGATTCATCACGTGCCAGATCAATTGTGGCTGCTTTGTCAGCTCAAGCAGCTTGCTACGTCATACTGATGTGGCCTCTGATCAACTGATTGCGGGGCCAGGGTGCATCACTGCTCGTCAACGCAACTAAATACCAATGTGAAGACTCTAGGTACTAGTAATCTACCACTCATCTGGCTCAGCATCGGGACGTTCCTCATCAGAGAACCAAGCAAAAATCTCCTCGTCGTCGTCGGTGTCTGTCTCGTTGTCATTGATCCGCGACTCAACATTGTCAATGAGCTGTTCGAGCGCGGCACAGTGATCCAAACCTGCCAAAGTGAACATGAGGTGAAGATTCGGGTGCAACGACTCACCTAATCCAGCACCAGCATTTACACCACCCATGTAGTATGCACCATCCTGTCCGATCACGTCTTCACCTCCTCGAAGTGGACGCAGGCCGGCAATGGGTTGAATCTCGTCACAATATTGATCCGCAGCTTGCGTAAGAGCAAAACCCCAGATCTGGTCCACACTGGGACCCGCGGTGCCCGGGAGCTGATCTAGCTCCTCGAAGCATCGCAGGAGTTGCCTATAGACGTCCCAGCATGTTTGTCGAGTCACTGGGGGGCTCCCAAGGTCGGCATAGAACCTGCTGATGTACTCAGCAAAATCCGGCGGCACAAGGTGGAAGATGTTGTGAGCTGGTGGGGCGTACTGCTCTCGTACGGTGTCAATGTGAGCTTGATTGACTTTCACCTGCATAAAAGAACATTGTCTCGCTCATTATGGGAAACATGAGGGGGGACCAACGTACCTTGAAGTCCAAAATCGCGTACTCCTCTGGGAATTCCAACATGTGCTGCGGAACACCATGAGGCAGGATTTTGTTGCGATCACGACGCTTGGCAGTCATATTCACGCGTTTTTGGTACGCTTCAAGCTCGGCTTGAAGCCAGGGGATGAAAACCCAACGAAATATAAGACTGTGAAGTTGATCAGCTATAAGAGAGAAAGATACAGTGATTACAAAAGCGCACAATTCGAGAACGATCCCTGGGTCATACCATCCGTTGTCCACACCTGTATCGAGGATATCTTCGAACCCGGGCGTAAATTGGCGACGCATCATGCTCCAAGTGATCTCGGGCATGACATTTTTCTTCTCACGCATGTAACGGTGCTTGTCAGGGGAGACGTGTCAGCAGGATGAGGTCATCGGCATTGATCCGGCGGTGTTCCGGCGGTGATCCGAGGGTTATCAGTCAGCGGTGTCATGCTTCTTACGTCATCTACTTGTATATAGATAGTTGCTGGGGATCTCTGATCCCCAGTCTTGTTATCGACTTGGCCCCTGGGCTCCACTCCCCTTACAGTGCTGGGACGTTCCTGCAAGGTCAGGATCATGGAGATGGCGAAGCGTCGTGTGTCCATTTGCGATTCCGACGTTCTCAGAGCCAGGATCGCTCTGGCTTACTAAGGGAATGACTGGAACAAGGTGTCAGTAGCATTAAGAATGAGTAAAATCTGTACTTGCATTGAAGATTTTGAACCGCGTCAAGATAATAACTCAGAATTAGACGAGGGTTGCTATTATTCCACCAGATTTTCATCCAATGGATGTATCCAATGAATGGATCGATCCCAGTGTGAAGTGCAAGACCAAATTTATACTTCCATTTGTCGTGCTGGTCCACAGCCCAGATATCGTTCACTCCGGCAGCCCAGAAACGTTTTCGCTTGAAGTGTCCATGGCGACGTTCACGGACTAGATGCGGCTCGTACGCACGAAAGTATTCGATCACGACACTCCTGCAACTGGATGAAAACGACGACTGATCTGTGAGAAAAGAAACATGTACCGTGGAACCAGAATGTCCTCTTCATGAAAGAGCAAGTTCACCATGTCACGGGCACCGGCACGAGGATACACAATACGGATTCTCGCAATAGGGCCCATAATTGAATCGACAGTGTGACCCTGCTTGCGAACCCGAAAGAAACCCATTCGCTCTCGGAGTTTCTGAAAGGCTTTGATTCTGCAGAATCCTCAAAACAGCTGATCTGAAGCAAGATGAGCGACGTACTCAAGTCTGTAACGGGAGAGATCAATATGATGTTTCTTTAGTTGCTCCAGAATATACCTGTCGCTGTGCTTCATTCTCCAATAATACTCGATCAACGTCCGCAACTCGGGGGTCTCAGGTGCTAAGTGAGGGGATCAGCTATTAGAATTGGATGTGAATCTTGAAAAGCTGACGGAGTGGTTAATGTTGATTGGGCATTCTCAACGAGACGGCAGGAGGTTTAGATGAAAGAGACGAGTAGGAGAATCAAGTACAGAATTGATAGTAAAGAACTATCGAGAGGCCCTTGCCTTAAATGCGCACAGATTATGTGCTGATACATATCCATTGGACGTAATTGTGAAACCCGTGAAAGTTCAATCCAGCGGAGCTTGCACCCTCTCATGGCTAGTCGTTGGTTGTAATGAACCTCCGAACTTAGCGAGCTCATGGCCAACACGCTGTGATCACCAGGTGTGGCACTTATGGTCCTCGAGGTGCGGCACTTCATTCCTTGAGGCACCAAAATGACTCCGTGAACACGGTCTGCTGTACTACCAATTTAATTTCAATATCCGTGTATCTTGCACGTTCCTGCAAGCGAAATGAGGTAGTGCGTGGATCTCACATGTAATTATTAGATGCACCGCTCTGAGTCCGATACAATTGTGCTAAATCACCAGTTATAAGCACACAAACTTGCTGTAAGTCCTAGTCGTCTCCTGCTACTGTGATCTACCTGCCTGACCAGCACAATTCCAGCGTCAGAAGTTGTCTTATTCTCTGTGGTGGCCAACTTCACAGAGCAGCGTGTTGCACTTCACAATGTCCCCGGTGCCAATAGGGTTTTGCCCTCGTGGCACCGGAGAGTTCTGTTGAGGCGGTCAATCTATTTGCGTTGGACAGAAAGGCTATTTTGTTTCTAAGAGTGGCAAGCACAATGCCTACTGTGTTGTGTGCTATAATTACTACTTGTCCTACTGTGATCGCCAACGAGATACATCAAAACCTAGTTTATTTTGCATTTTGGGACCCGTGGTGTACTAAATCGCCAGTTATAAGCGCGACAACTCTCTTGAAGTCCTCGTCGTCTCCTCCTACTGGGATCTACCTGCCTGGCCTCATGTCTCGAGGACAGGATTCTCAGTGTTGGAATTCTTCTGTGGCGGCCAGTTTCACGGAGAAGCATGTTGCACTCCAGGATGTCTCCTGTGGCACCGGACAGTTCTGTCGAGGCGATCAATACATTCGTATTGGGCAGAAAGGCTATCGTGTTTCGGAGAGTGGCAAGCGCAATGCCCACCGCATTGTGTGTTATAATTGCTACTCGTACTACCGTGATCGCCAACGAGGTACGTCAGAACTTTATTTAATTCACGTTTTGGAACTCGTGGTGTTAACATCGGCACAGACTCTCAAAGTTCGCATGCTGCTGGACCTCCGCGATCCTCGGCCCCAGCTCCAGATGCCAAAGAGATTCAACGCATGAATAATCAGGGCCGTTTGGGAGGTACGTGTCACAATATCCAATATCCTCACAAGTCCGGCCTCATGTTGCACCCATGTAGATGTCTCGCGTGCTCAGCAGCACGTTTCGATTTTTCCTCGCTCGGGTGGCACAATGGGCCCACCGTCATCTGTTCCCGGTATGTCTCCCATCGATTCTGGTGTCCATTCAGGACTAAATGCCAAATTAATTTTTAGCACGCCCGATTGTTGCAGCTCCGAGTGCCTGGGATCGTTCTCGCAACTCTGATATTGTGTCTCAAAAAGGCTCGAGGAGTCAGAATCAGTGGTCTGACAAGGGATACTCGAAGAATCACGCACAGTACCAAGCGTCTCGTGGCTCATGGGCACGCTCAAGTTATGTGGGGCGTTCTCCAAAGATGTTGCCCATCCTGGTTGGTATTCGATACGAGATTCTCAAGAAACCAAGAGGCGAAAGCTATGGAGTGAGTTCCGACAGGTCTACAGTCCGATATTACAATCTCACTTTACCGCAGACCATCAGCGAAGGCAGCAAAATTCCCGGCGACGCAAGCGCCGAGTTCATCTTCAACCACGTGTTTGAGGTCCTGTATGACCGTCTCGTCGCAGATGCCAATTTCCAGTTCCGTGAGAACGAGCTCACTGTCCGGGACGTGACAACTTGGCAAGATTTCAAGGCTCTCCAGTCTGACCACGTGTTCTACTGGGACAAGTACTACAAGATCTCGGGCAAGGCGACAAAACCAGAATGGAAGGCTCCCAGGGCATCTGTTCAGATTGCTCTAGTGATTTCGGGCAGGGAGTGGCAACGACGCACGGAAATGTTAGCAGCGTCTGAACCTGATGTGCGTATTTCCACTCTTGTTCTATCTACATTAATAATGCTAACAACGTGAAGGCCGACTCAAATGAAAATTCTGTCAGTGCCACAGCGAGCGCCGTCCAGACTCGGGTCACTCGGTTTGTACGTGATCCATATGAGTCGTGTTGTGTCCGTAGTGGATAACTTTCACAGACAGCATCCGTCTCGAATGCATCTGATCAAACAGAGGCCAGCACCATCAGGAGTCTGGCTCGATCCACTGATCGTGAGGCAACTAGGGCGCTTTCGCAACGCTCTGGTTCCTCATCATCGAGTGCCGTAGTTCTCGGAGCAGCAACATGGTCCCCCGATAAACGCCATGAACGTACACTGAGCCTTGGTGCTCCTTCGACACCTCCCTCGTCGCCACAGCTTCGATCAAAGTGTTCACATCCTGGCTGGCGCTCACCGGATGAGGCGGACTTTGCCCGGCTTCGAAAGGTGGCTAGTGTTGGAGGTCAGGTATCTCGATCAGGCACTTGCGGTACGGAATCTCATGTTCCAATCAACTCACCTTGGCTGAATTTGTCTGCCTAGATGTCCCAACTTGCGAGCAGATTCTATTTTTCCGCATTTATCCCAAAGCCATGGACGCACTGTTCACTCAGGACGAGGCGGCGATGCAGTTTGTGTGCGATCCGGCTGTGGCTGAGCCAGGCACACTCAGTGTTGTCCTGTCTGCTGCTTTAGGGTCTGGTAGTTTCAAGGACGCATACAAAGGTTTCCTCACCCTTGTTCGACCATCAACGTCTCCCACTGGGCTCGGATCAACTGTGAATCAACGCGTTGCGGCCAAACGGATGATCGATACAAAGGCCAGTCGACGTGATACAGTCGGAATCAGACGGTTCAGTCCGGCAGTCGAACTTGAGCAGAGCATTTGCGAAGGGAATCTGCTGCTTTGGGCAACCTCACTGTTCGACCTCACAGATACTTTCGTCCGTCATCAGCTCAGTAAGCTCGGGGAGCCGCCCTCCAATCTTGTCATCCCGGACATTCGATTTGTCGAGGGCGGCGTTGCACAAGTCCACAACACTGTCACTGGTACCAATGTTGTCCGGGCATCATCCCTGCGCCGTTCTTTCATCATTGAAGAACTGATTCCCTCTCGCTTTGTCAAATTTGTCCATAATCGCGCTGCTGTTCCTCATTTAGATCCTGATCACCCGTCGTATCACATTGCGCTCTATCTCTGTTTCACGCAGCACGTTCAGTACGTGTACACTGGACGGAGCATGTTCTTGTCGGACTATCAAGGTGAGCATTCACTCGTTGTGCGACTCCCACTGATTAATTTGATCAACCAGGCTCTGAATCCCTTCTCACGGACCCTCAGATCATGACCACTCCGTGCGGCATTCATTTTGTACCACATCACACTTTCACTCATCACTTACAGCGAGATTGCCAAACAGCGTGGAACTCCAATGTTTGGCGGTGGCAACGTCAGTGAGCTCTTCAACGTGTTTTGTAACCAACACGTGTGCTCCGATTATTGCCGGTTCTTCGGTCTCAAACCCCTTGCTCAAGTCCCTGTTTAATTTATGTTTGCGGGCCGTGATATTTCCACCGATTCAGCGTTCAGTATTAGTACTCAATACATTGAATCTATCGGTTTTGTGTGCTCGTAATGTTGCTTAGTGTAATGGTTCTGGGGTCTTGACATCGCTTATCAAAGATCATCGTCGCATAACCATTTGACATGAGCAGACCGCTCCGGGTTTCCATAATTATCAAAGATAAGATGAGATCATCGTCCGGCAACATCCGGCCCGGTTGCCGATTGGCTGTCTAACATCTCGCTCATTAAGTATCGGCATTCTGCGAGGCAGATGATTTGTATGATTACGATACCTCACATCTCGCAATTTGGCACCCTCGTCTACTTCCTCAGATCATTGTCTTTGTCAACATAGAAGGCACGAGAAACCGTGTCGTCATGAGAGCGATCAAACATTCCTAGTCATCATACAACATCGCAACCCAAAATCTATTGGACGTTGATTGAGAGTTGTCCCCTATCCTGAACGTTCAAGAACCGCTTGTTTCAGATCCAAATTCGCAGTGTCTTCAAGACTGGACTCGAACAAGGTTGCATGAAACATGTCATTTGGCTACGAGCTTCATTACACATCTAAGAAACCGAGTAGTGAGGAACATGGCTTCCGAGGAGCCTCTTCAATCGAACGCACTGAGATTTAGGATAGAGGTTGGAATATTTTAAATGAGACTAAGCGCCCCAAACAGGTACTGACACCCCTGAAAGTGCGCATATTTACATAGACTCGGGGGCGGCTAGTCTGGTTTCATTGCATGATCTCCTCAACTGCATTCCTTCCCTCGGAGTTTTTGAAGAATAATACATCGCCCTCGTCCTCAACGAATCTGCACTGTGTGAAGGTTGTCCACAGTGCAATCAACGCCGGCTACAAGTTTCGTGAGCCCTCGAGAAGCGACTGACGTGAAGCATGAACAACGCCAACCGTTTCGTCATGTCGATAATGCTCGCCGAGAACAGGACGGATCGCACGTGTCACCTCAGGGAGGTTATCTGCGCCGCAATTAAGCGGGTGGACATCCATAGATAAAAACGCACAGAATGGTATCCCGCTGAAAAAATGGTGTGCCACGTGGTCTGAGCCGATCTACCGCGCAGTTAGCTCAGGGCGGGTGGGTGCGTGAGGATCCGCGCACATGGTGCAGAAAAAACCGGCCGACCCAGCCGAACAGTGGACGATCCACAGTCGCGAGCGACCCGCGCGTGAATGTCCATGCCGACGAGCGGTAGTACGGCACAGCGGGCGAAGCGTGCTGCAGATATGTCACAGTGACGATCCTGCCCATCCATAACCCGTTCACTCCGTCTTCGTCGTCGAAAATTCGAGGCGACGCACCAATTATGCGCAAACTACAAATCAGGTTGATCGCCGCGGAATTTCGTAGTCGGATGAGCTCACCAGCCACGGAAGGATGTATAGTTTTACCAGGGCACCAATCCCTGCCCGGCACGCAAAAAGGCAAAGAAGACCGAGCATAACGAGCACCGCGGCATCGGACACGAGGATCGACAGGCCTGGCGAGGTTAATCGTCCCGTTGAACCTTGTTTGATGGCATGCACATACGTTGAGAGGAGCGGAACAGTCCCGAGCTGGGATTGTAGTGCTGTATAGGACTTCCATGTCAGTAGCCCGACTCATGCATCAGCGAATGATGGACGGACACTGGTCCAGGGAGGATATTTGCGATTTCCTTTCCGATTATGGCTGCGTGTGTCGGTCGATGGATGCGGAGAGAGAAGTGCCAGAATGAGCGCACAGTAAGTAAAGCTGGAATCCTCTTGGGGATGCGGATGAGTCTACCAGTTTCCTACCTCAAACTACGGAACACTCACAGGAACTGCCTCACGACGAGCTTGAACAGCGTGTATGCTGGGGTATCGTCTAATACGTCCGTGTAGTCTTCTAGACGCGCAGTCGAAGCCGGGGGCAAGCCCAGGTCCCCTCGGTATGGAGCTGGAATCTGGTGTGCAAACGTCGGGGCAACAGGACTGGTCGGGGACCCACGTAGATACGTCTCGTCGCGATCCAGATGATTTGTGCCCTTCTGCAGAGCAGCGGATAGTCAGCACATGTCGGATGTTGGGCCAAGAACCACAACATACATGGTGCGCCCGATGCGTTGCTCGCCATGCAAAATACGGCGTGAGCACGAACGTGTGCAGACTGAGCCCGAGCACGGTGTTCACAAGCCGGTGAGGTGACAGGGCATCATGACCTGCTTCGTGTCCTGTAATCCCCCAACGGTCGGTATATCGACTGGGAGCGAAAACTGTAAACGCACCAAGACACCAGATACCTGCGAAGACGAACCCCTGCCACGCGCCGTACATCGTCCACAGCATCACTCTGACACTCAGACTCCATCCGACTGGGATCCGGGACGCCAGAGCGTAGAAGAGTACACCGATGAGTACATGCCGCACGATATATGCTATGCTCTTGAGCGTCGAGCGCAAGAACAGGTGGGGTGGGATGGCGCGCCGGATGGAGGCCGGCGTCAGCGAGGCCGGCGGGAGGACGAAGGTGGATTGCATTGGAGTGTCCGGGTTGAGAGATTAACTTTGTTCTCTCTCGTTTTATACGCGCATCGATTGAATAAGGCGATCCGACTTACGTCGAGAGTGAAACTCAATATGCGCCTCGCTTAAAGGCCGAGCCGACGGCGGATCCGCACTAGATCCAGACTCAACGGAGGGAACATCGACGGAGAGTGGCCTCTTGAGACGCGTGGGTGAGTCAGACTGAGAGCCTGACGGCGACGCTGGCAGAGTCTGAGAAAACTCAAGCACACAGCATGCACGTGAGCAGAGTGTGCATCAAGATCACGTTGTCAATCTCACGCGGAACATCAAATTCGAGTGTCCTCAATTCAAGAGTACTCTGCAGACACTGACAGCATGTAAAAATGAAATAGTCGTCAAGATCACTTTGGAGAGCACTTACGATCCCTGCGCACCTGAACAAGACGCGAGCGCGCGAGAAAACCACGAAGCTGAGAGATGAGTCGTGCACAGAGATGCTGTTCAGGCTGTTTATACATCTCTTCTAGATCGATGATTATTTGCGCACAGGGGCCGTCGTACAGGTCAAATATTCGAAAGAAGACTTCTAGTCATATATCGCCTCGGGATAGTCCAGGAACCCGATTGACGGCTCGTAATCTCCTCCATAGACGTGCGGACCGTCGAGCACATTATCGAGCGGCTTGCCCGCCTTGATGCGGCGTCCCAAATCCGGGTGCGAGATCCACGGGATGCCAATGAGCACAGCGGGGTACTTCCCGCTCTCGACCCACTCGAGCGCCTGCTCGGGCGTAATCCCGCCGTTGGGGATGAGCGGCGTGTTCTTGAGGAACGGCTTGTAGGTCTCCCACACATCGTGCGGTGTCCCGCGTTTCGTGGGGTCGAGAGAATCGAGGTACTGCAGGAGGCAGACGTACGCCAGTCCCAGCTTGTCGATTTCGGTGAGCAGGTAGCCGTAGGTCTCGATGGTTTCGTCGAGTGGGAAACCCATGTCGTTGTATCCCGCGCCTGGATCGCGTTTCTGACATTGAGGTGCTGTGCAGGCAAATGAAGACATACCAGGGTTGAACTTGAAGGCCACGTTCGGGCCCCAAATGGGGCGGACGACCTTGAGGATCTCGAGCGGGAACCGCGTGCGGTTCTCTACGCTGCCGCCCCACTTGTCAGTGCGCAGATTCACGCTAGGATCGATGAATTGATGGATCAGGTAGCCGGTGGCACCGTGGACTGGGGACCGAACGTTAAAATAAGTCACGGTACGGATCGTGAGTATAGGCAGAGTCAACGCACTCTCCAGACCGTCAAACCCAGCTTCCTTGGCATTGAGTGCGGCAATCCTGAACAGCTCTACGATCTTCATTGGGTCGGGGATCTCGGTCGGCTGCGTGACGGAATCAGTTAGGACGCTGTGTGAATGGCGGAGCATCAGCTCACAGTCACATAACCGGGAATACCCGGCAGGAATCGGAACTTGCCACCTGCGGCGCGGACGGCAGATGGGGCCCAGACAGGCTGTGTTCCGAATCATGAAGAGCTTCCGCTTCATTGGATAAGTGCACTCACCTCTCCTGAGGCAATTTGATGCGGTGCATCAGGGTGACATACACGTCCAGCTGCATTCATAAGCCCCTTAAGGCGCGGCGTGAACATCGAGAGAAAACTCACTGTGCACAATCTGGCAGAAGATCCGTCCCCCCTCCTTGTGCACCGCGTCGACGACCTTCTTCCAGCCCTCTGTCTGCTCGCGACTCCACATCCCGGGGGAGTTGGCCCACTCCGTTCTAGATCATCGCGGCGATTCAGGCGGATTCTGTAGGAAGGCTAGACAGAAGGGTCTCGAACGCACCCTTGCTCGCTGACGAGGCTTGCCTCGGTCACGATCAGCCCCGCACCACCACGTACGCGCTGCACGTAATAGTCTCGCATGATGTCGTTGGGGACCGTGTCCGTCGTCCGGTTGCGCGCCATGGGCGCCATGACTGGTTCAGAGTGTCAATCGGGCTACTCGGGAAATCAAAGGACTGATGATCACATATCCTGGTCGGCATCGTCACGCTCCCCAGCGTCACCGGCGTAAACAGTTTGGCAGTCGATGGAGGAATGCTTGATATAGCCATGTCGATTTGTTAGACCCACCCCCACTCACTCACTGCTACTTATAGTGCATCTATCCAGCGAACCAATCAAGGCGATTTCCCGGTGTCACCGGCCAACCCACTGTGTGCTGAAGCCTGACGGGCGGAAACCGCGGTCCAATTCCGTGCAATGAATAATTGACCAAGCGGAATTGTGAATAGGCGCGGGCCAAGTTGTTGGATCCAGTCCTTCCACCGGTTGATGGCCGGCACTTCGGGCGGAATAACGGACGCAAAGCTGACTAAAGCGGCAGAAACAGGGACGAACATAGGGGGATACGCGTGGTGTGCCGTTCGGGCCCGGGCCGGCTCTCCTAGGCTCAGGCTCTCGTGGATCCTGGGCCCGGAGTCGAGCCTCTTTGACATGCCCGGGCGTTGAGGATTTGACGGCGTGTTTTGGCCCATCAATCCCCAGTCATTGGTAGACATGGCATTAGAATAGTTGCTGATAATATTAAAAAAGTCGCAAACTTATTTAGCTTGCTTGCTACAGGGCATCATAGCACAGAGGCAAGCAGAGCAAGCTTTGCTCCATGAGACGGCTCTACCCTGTACCACCCGGAACAGTGTTTAATGATGTTCTGAGAATGATCAGCCGCCATTTGGAGTATCTCCGTGAAAGTCTATGACTGGAATCTTGAAAGCCCACCCAGCCTGCCTATCCGTCGGGCGCTTTGACCGCCCGGAAACGTGTGCTATGACTCTCGGGCCCGGAGCTCCGGCCTTCGCCGCCCCAAACTAACCTCGGCTCCCCGGAGTGGCAGAGGAATCCCACAGAATATGTGTCAGTGGTAAGCATGATACGTGTGCACGTCCACGCGCTTAGAGCAGAAGAATTGTCAGGAGGAATGCCGAATGGTGGTCCCCCCTCCGCGTTATTGCTGCCGCACGAGTGCCGATTTTCCGTGTAGTTGTCTTTTTACACCGGCAACGCAACGACCGGCGACCTAATACGTGGCCTCAGCATGATCGAGGTACCCGATACACGTCTCGTCACCTCCTCCGTAGACTAAAGGGCTGTACAAGACGTCATCGAGCGGCTTACCCGCCTTGATGCAATGCTGTGGATCCGAATGTGAGATCCAGGGCATGTTGAGTGCTCTCCACTCCCCACCCACTCCAGTGCCTCTTTGGCCCACATTATGCCGTTGGGGATAAACCCTACAGTCCAGAGGAATTGCGTGTGGATATCCAGCAAATCTTGTGACGTCCGTCACTGGAAGAGGTTGGAGTGCTGGATGGCTGGCAAGATGCAAACGTACGCAAGTCATTTCGCGAGCGACTGGGAAAATCTTGAGAGAGCGAATCGTGCGCAGTTCTCCGGACTTCCTCTTCATTTATCCACTCCACCTTTTAGTGGACCAGCTTCGAGACTGAGAACTCTCATGGCTCTCACTTGACATCCCATAAGTTCTCGACGCACTTAGCCCGATCGCCAGCTGCTATGCTTCGTGCGAAGTCGACCCTCGCTCGTTCGTCGTCTCCAGTCTTCCGTCTTGCGAAGCCTCAAGTAATGGGCAGGACCGGCGAGAAGGTGCATGTAACGATTGGAATGACGGCGGGCACTGCCATGCAACAGTCGCTTCCACAGGATGCATCATCTGTTGTCGCTAGTTTCCTAGTCGGAGGAGCCTCCACATTCGCTGCATTGAACCTCCATCGATGGCTTGAGTTGTTGATTGCAATCTAGTTGTATGAGCATTTGTGACCTGATTCTTCTTTCACACTGTGAGTTATGGCATCAGGAGGACTCGATTGCACTGAGAAATTCCGAATCGGAATAGAATAACCACTACGGATCACAAAGAAGACCCTTTATAGGCTTTGAGCACGATGGACAGCCCACCCGACGACACCCGTCCACCCTTCCCATCCGAAACAAAAGAGTTCGGTCGGGCGAGCTGCCCTGAGATCACCGGGCTGACTGGCTCTGTACCCGGCAGGAACTCGAAAGCCCGGAGGAGACTGAACAAGATCACCTTTTGTCTGCAGGAAAGCGTCCATTCAAATGCTTCAGATGGGTGGAGAAGTGAACCGGACTTACTCGGCCACTGAAAATTGAAAGCCGATACAGCTGTGAGCGCCGGCGACGAAAGTCAATTGATTACCCCACACTCCGGGAACGGAGTGCACGGCCTCAGGCAAGTTATCCCACCGTTCGGGTCTGAATGAAAAGAAAGAGTAGAAGGGATCAAACCGCGATCTAGGTTAAAGAGGACTCGCACTTGAACTCCAGAGCATCGTCACCCCAAGTCTCCTTGTCGATATTGATGGCCTGGATCGGGATGGTAATGCATTGCCCTTTCGTAATCCTTGCGTGCGTCAGTCATCCGATACGTTGAGAATTATGAAGAGCGGAAGGAACTCACGGAAGAAACTCGTGCGACACGCCCCACCGGTCCACGTACGGCTTGCCAAGTGGCAGCACATCATCTTGCAAGGCTGTGCGCTGAACAAAGGGCACAGGAGAATACAGCCTCATAGCCTCCTTCACCACGTTCTCGAAAAATGGCAACCCGTTCAGCTCATCCATGGTCGGTGTGTCGGTATCAATCGAAAGGAGCTCCCGGCGCAGCTTGTCTTGGATCTCGGGATGATGCGACAACGCATGCAGGGCCCAGCCCAGCGCAATGCTGCTGGTATCATGGCCAGCAAGGAGGAATGTCGGGATTTCTGAGATTTTATCGTGAGTAAATATAGGTTCGAGTTCCACTCAACGGTCAAACGTACGAGCTATGACCTCATCATCACTTAAACGTTGGCTGTCCTGGATGTCCGCCGACATGTTCGCCTTTACGAGGATGGAGAGGAGATCACGCCCTGACCCCAGATCTTTCTCTCCGAGCACCCGAGCCTCGGCTTTGGCCTTGTGCAGAAGCTCCGCTCCCACGGAACGCAGAGTTTTTATCCCAGACTGAGTATTGCGCCAGCCGGGCAGCGGCTTCCGGTTCGAATCGTCAACGACAAGTCATGATCTCCGCTGGACACGTACAAGATACTGGAGAATTGGGACCAAGCCCTGGGCGAGCTGCACAGCAATGTTCAAGTTGGCGTTCGGCCCGCGAAACAGCATGTGGAAGGCCTTGCCGAGATCGCCTTCGTTCTGGCCGCCGGACTCGAGCGAGTTGAATTTGTATCCAAAACCTGATCAAATCGCTCGAGGTGGATTTCTGGAACTCGAGACAAGCAGGACACACCGGCCTGACCCATGATATCCAACGTGACTCGACGGAACATCTCGGCAAGATTGATGGTTGCGGTGCCACCCGCTTTTTCAACATCTGCCGACAACAAGTCTCGCAACTGCCGGACTTAGTGGTTTCCAGACAAGACAGAAATCGAAAAAACCCACGAGAATCGCATTGTCGAAAAATATCTCGTTCATCAAACGGATTCGCTGCAGGTTAAATGCAGGGTTCTAGGACAAGCCTCAGACGCGTCACATGCACAATCTGCGGACTTACAAGAATTTTGCGCTGTAAAAGTCGGGGTCAACTACTGAGATTTCGTTCGACAGTGGAGGCAAACCTGACGTCTATGTGGATCCAGGCTGACGGATAAAAGCCCTTCGCCGAGGATACGGCTTAGGCTTGCAACAAACTCGGGCGTCCTCGAGTACAGCGATGCGTGGGAGAGGACATGGGAAACAGCCTTGAGGTCAGTCGTGTGCAGATCATTGACCTGCAAATGCGCGTGAGTAAACAATCATCAAAATCCTCCAAGATTCTCTGAAAGTTACTTACCCAGAAAAGTCCCTTGGCCATGAAAGTCTCGCCGTAACGTTTGCGCCATTGATCCCCCTGCTCTGGTACATCCTGGAGAGTGATTCAGGGGCCGCAAATGGGAAGAGACATAGGAATGCGTACCGAAAATACAATGGAATGCCCGACGACAAAGTTGAATGACTCCGGGCCATCGATAAATCGGAGAGGGGACTTCCAGGTCCGATAGAACGCCCTAGACAAGAAGAGAACGCCATAGGCGGAGATAGTGCAGATAATCGGGAGTGCTATAGTGTTTCCCATCGTTAACGGTTTCAGGAGGCGGAAAATTGTTTTGAAATGCGGCCGAGAAAGACTCACTTATATACTTTCCAGACCTGCACCCTGAGCACTCGTTGCAAATCTCAACGGCCCGCCAAATAAGAAATGATGACCGACCTGGCGGCCGATTTTCCATGCTGCGGATTTCATTTGTCATAGAAAATGACCTATTGTGAGCCTTCCGATCACCTTCGAAATAGGCGTCTATATGTGCGGAAGACGGGAGCAGAGCCAGTAAGAGTTTGGCACGTGCACCTTTATTTCTATCGGCGGCTGTGCAAGACTTCTAAGTCCACCTAAGACCGGAATATATACATACAATTTGGTTACTGTTTAAGCTCAAAGCAGTCCGATGAGGAGCCGGAGTCTGCGGAGTCTACGTGGAGAGTGTATCCTAGACCTCCTGGGATGCCCAGACGGTATGTAGCAGACTCTTCTGAGCTTCCAAGGACCGTAAAATGGGCCTCTTGTCTAATTGTATCTACCTAACAATGGAACAAAGTTTGTGGTCAGGACTTGCGATGGTTACTCAATTTACTGAGATTGATGAGGTTTGAATGTTTTGAATGAGAAAAAAGATAGGGTGAAACTGAAGGAATCGACTCGAGGGGAGTGATGGTCTCACGATTTTGTTCGGTTCCGCCGATTTTTTGGACCCTGACCCCGCACTATGGTTTCGGCTCAGATGTTCTGGTTCACAGGTTTTTCACAGGTTTAAACTGGTTTGAACCACCACACCAAGGGAAAAAAAATTAATCAACAAATTGATTCCTTGTGCATCAAGCATCTGGTCTTCTTCAAGAAACACTGCACTCCCAGGTAGGCTCTACTATGGAGGCCCGCAACAGCATGCTGATATGCAAGGACTTCTCCCCTGTAAGCAGCAAGTTTGATCATTGATTGGTGATCTATTGAGCAATGAGTTTCGTCACATGTTTGTGAACCAGGACCCCATGCACCAGGCCTTTTTATGATTAAATTCCTCTTTTATTCCCTTTTGTCCCTAAGGATATGGTGGGGATTCTTTCTACACTACTTATATGATTGGGCTGGCCGCTCGTGGGTTTCCTTTCGCAAAGCTTTGTCCATCCGGTGATGGGTGCAGCTGGTCATGCGCTGCTGGCCGCGGCCGTGCTATGGTATGATTAGCAGAAATGGAATATAATTACAATACCAGTTCTCCCTTGTCGTGCCTAATGTCTGATTGTGCAGCGGGTGTTGCATCTTGGTCAGGTGGGGGCCGTCTGGGTGGGTGCGGTCATTGTGGGGTCGTTTCCAGTGGGTCTTCCACTTTGCCAAGGGTGGTCCCGAAGCGTCCGGTTTGGGCGATGAAGCGTAGGAGGTGACGCGTGAGATCAGGTTGTGATAGCAGCTTTTCCAAATCCTGCGCCTAACCCTGACCCCCTATACCGGATCCATCCGTGTAAACCTTCCATTCTGCCCTGTCTTCCCTCTCCGCATCCATGGCCGCCTCTTTTGATCCCCATATGTCAAATGTTGTTTGGGGCCTTCTGTATTGCACCGCCGCTATCTTTTCCATTGCCGTTGGGTTAATATTGTATTCCTCAAGTAGGGCTCATAGCAGGCTTTATATTTCTTCGGTTTTGTTCAGTGTATTTTGTGCAGCGCCTGGTGTATGGGGTGTGTCTTCGGTGTGGTCACTAGTCGTAAGGCCGCTCAGTGGCAATGCTTGTCGACTGTGTGCTCAATTGGGAACAGGTTTGCGTGTGCGTCCAGTGCATCCGTTGCTGTTGTGGCCATCCCTCCTGTAATGAGGATTGCTGCACGGCGCTGTATTGTTCGCAGTTGTGGTAGGATGCTGTGCATCCTTGACTTCCGGTGTTGACGTGACGTGGGGTTTAGGAAGATGTCTACTCAATATAGCAGCCGTGGTAAGCAGGTTGCAATGTATAGGCGCCGCATTTGTGCCGGTCGTATGCCTTTTGCCGGCCTCGCGAGACAGTCGACTCTGGACAGCCACATCTGTCCCTTTCTTAAAATTGTTGCACATTGTTCTTTCCACCTTAGCTGTTGGTCGAGATGGATCCCTAGCAGCTTGACAGAGGGGGTGGGTTTGATGATGTGCATGCCCAGCTTTAAGTTTGGCTGGGGCTCTGGTACGCGCTTGGGGGCTGAAAAGTGGCAGGCATTAGCCGGCGCAAGGCGTCTAGTAGTTGGTACTTAGCCGGTCCAAAGATTGCATTGTGGCTGGCTGCCCACTCGTCGATGCCTCCGCCGCCGCATATGACCTTCCTCAGCTTGTTGTGAGTCTTGTGGAAGGAGCTTCCCATCGTGATGATTGTCATGTTGTCCACAAAGGTTACGCTGTGTTTGCCATGGGTTGGCCATGGGATGTTTGCCAGATGTGTGTTGTAGATCATGTACAATATGCTGGAGTGGGGGTCACCCTGGTTGAGTCCGCCTTGTACCTCTATGAGCTCCGATGTATAGTCGTCGAATGCAATTAAGGTCTTGCGTCCCTTGTAGCGCCTGGTCATCCATTGGGTGTGTTCTTTGGGGATACCCATCATGCGCATGTCATGTATAAGTGTGTCCAGTTCTACGCTTGGAAAAGCACCTTTTACGTCCATGCATAGTACGCTAGCAACCTCCTTGCTTCTCCATGCGTCCATCACCGTCTTGACCACCATGTGTATCACGTCTGTCATGGCCTGGCCTGACCTTGCTCCATATTGGGTCGCAGGTAAGACACCGGCCTTCTCTGCTTCCATTGTGATTTGCATTGTGCGCACTGCATTTTCTAACCCCGGGTGTCCTTTTGATAGGACTATCGGCCAATAGCTTGCTGGGCTGGTGTAGTCAGTTCGCCCCGGCTTTCTTAGCACGATGAAGTGCGTGTGATTCCAGTCCATTGGGTAGTAGTTCAGGTCATTGCCGGCTCTGAAGATCGGGCCCAGGCGGGGAACATGTATGTGCGTGTTGTACTTGTATACGCAGTTCGGTATTGATCCCAGTTGCCATGCCTTGTATGGTTTGAGCTTTGCTATTGTTTGGTAGATTACAGAGTCAGATAGGGGTTTCCAGGTGTATGCCGGCGGTGGGTACTGCTGGGGGGGATCATTGCTGGTTTGGTTGGTCATAGGTGGGAAAAACTCCTGGTGAAAAGCTTTGGCTTTGTTGGGGTTGGTTGTTGCCATGCGCGTTGGGCCGTCAGGTGTCATTTTGAAGCAACCATTGGGAATACGCACTCTGCCACCGTCCGTGGGGGGCCCTTCTGCGAGCTTTTGTGTGTTCCATATGTCTGCCTCTGTCAGCCTGTTGAGCCATTTGTCCCAATGGGTCTTCTTTACACTTGCTATGGCTCTCAAGAAAGCGTTCTGCAGGCGTCGTGCGAGTTCGGCCTCTAGCGTTTTCCTGAATTCCTGCCAATCCGTCGCTCTCCAGTTCAGTCTTGAAGGTTCTGTTTCCGACGTCGAGGTGGAAGGAGAATAGGATCGGGATGTGGTCCGTTTTTGTGGGGTGTAGTGTAGGGGCCGTTCCGCATGTGATGAAGTTCTCCGCCATGTCTTCTGAGCAGAAGACATTGTCTGTGCACGTGTAGTTCCCTGTTGCATGCGCCTTAAGCGTGGGGATGTCTTTCAGCAATGTCATCGCCATTTTGTGTCGGCTGAGCATCTGTAGAAGTTTTAGCGCAAGTTGTTGATTACGGTTTGTAAAGAGGTGATGATTCCATTCTTTGTCCCAGATCGGGTGGTGTCGATTGAAGTCTCTGGCCCATATGTATGATAGCTGTCTATCTGATGTGGGTTGGTTCTGTGGATCAGCGATGTATGCGGCTATTGCCTCCAGGCTTTTGTTGTGTCTGCAGTCGTTGTATATGTTCATAATGCGTATTGTGCGTTGATCGGTTTGTAGTTCTATAGCGGTGATGTCGGGGGAGTGGATTTTGATTTTTGTCCACTTGGCAGATGGTATTGATGTCCTGACCAGTATAAGGGATTGTGTTGCCTTGGGGTCCAGGCTGTGCGTGGTGGGGTATACCAACGTGAAGTGATAGTTCGTCCTGGAGACGCCCCTGAAGTTGATGTTCGGTTCTTGAATCAGCGCTAAGTTGTAGCGCGATGGCTGTAGGGAGTTTAGCATGTCTAGTTGTGCGTGGAGGGACTTGTTGGTGTTTTTTTGCCACGTGCTGATGGTTTTGCCCTGCCAGAAGTCTGTGCCCTTGTTGTGGTTCATCTCCTGTTCGGCGGGGTTGCCCGCAGGAAGAGGGGGTTTCCGGTGCTGTGTTCAGTGACTTGATCAGCCCATGATCCAGACTGAGGTCCAGGGTATGGTTCTATTGAGTATGGCGGCAATAGCGGGCGTGTGGCGCGGTGTGCTGGTTGGAAGGGTAGCGTGGTCTGCTGCAGGATTGGCCCTGGCCGTGTCTGGTTGCTGAAAGTGCGCGCCCGGTGGGTGGGTTTCTGAGCTTGTGGTGGTGGTAGTTCCGTGCGCGTGTTTGGCCATTGCGTTGCTGGTGGTGTGGTGGTGGTGCCGGTCGTGGTTGTGGTGTTTGCTGCTGGTGTCGGGCGTGTTGTTGGTTGGTTGCCGCCCTGGAATGTGCGTCCTTGGTGCTGGATATCCGGTGTGTTTGTATGTGTAGTCTCCCAGGTGTCCGGTTTGTTGGCAATTGGGTAGTATTGGTGCTGTGCGTCTGTGTTGCATTGGTGATTGTCCCATAAGATCTTGATGAATATCGGGCAGGCTCGGTCAGCAGCCCTGTGTCTGTGTGCTGGGAGGTTGTTGGCCCTGCAGTTTGAGCATGCTATTTGCTTGTCTGTAGCGGCGCATGTGCTGGTGCGGTGCATCTCTCCGCATTGTGTGCAGGTATTGTGGATTGAGTTGCAGGTTTTTGCAACGTGTCCCGTGTTGTAGAACTGACATTTGACGCATCTCAATGGTTCCTGTAGTAGTTTTCTGCAATTTACCTTTGTGCACTCCACGAATAGTCCGAATCTTATGGCTCTATTTGCCGCGCTTGCTGTTTTGAAGCTGATCATGACGTGGGCCACCTGCTGTCCGCATGTCCTTCGCTCCTTTGGTTTGATGTATCTCGTGCTGACAACCTGTCTGTTCTCGAGCCTGTTGATGTCCTCCAGTTTGCTAATGACCGCAGGTGATCCCGGGTCGAAGGTTACTGGTACAAAGTCCGCTACCACGGTGTAGTTGTGTGGGGTGTATGTTGTGTTGCTGCCTAGCGCTCCCAGGAAGGTCTGCATGGTTTCCGGCTTTTGTATCCATTCAGCGCCGTCTGCCATTGTCATGTGTATGATTAGAGCGCCGTTTCAGGTATGCTGGGATGCCCTGGCTTTAAGCTCTTCTGGCCCTTTGTCATTGTTTGCGTTCTTGTGTGCCGCGGCTAGGGCAATGTTGACCTTTGTGAGGGTTTCCCTGTTGTTTAGATCTTGCCATGTGGCTGTTGTGTCATGTTCTGGGCGTATGGTGATTTGTAGCCTGCGAGCTCGGGATTGCGCAAATGCTGTTGCTAGGTGTGGTGGTGGTGCGTCGCGCACTGCGTCTGCGTATGTGACAGTGCGTGCCTGGGATGTGTCCGTATTGTAGGCCGCGGCTTTTGCTGCCCGCAATGACACCTTGTCTATGTGTGCTTCAAGTTGTGTGGTGGCTTGTTCCAGGGCCCTGCAGTGTTGCTCGATGGTGGTAGTAAGCTTTGTCGCCATTGTTGTTGGCTGTCTGTGTCCGTCTTTGTTGTTGTTGGGACTGGCGAATTCTCCTTGTAGAATTCTGAGCACTCCTTGGATGTCTTCCCCTAATTGTTTGATGTGGGTGGGGCCGTTGAGCGTTTCGACCAGGTGTGCTACGGTGCGCAACGCATTCGCAACTATCACTGATAGACCTCCTGTAGCTGCTGCGCAAAGTATGGCCAGGGTCAGGTTGCTTTGCGTTGGTGTATCACTCACTGTCTCTGTATGAAATCCCTTTGCTATCAGACTTTTTCTTGCGTCCTGGGTACTTATAGTGCTGAGGTCTACCCACAAGTCCGTTTTGTATAGCTGCTCCCTGGTAAGGTCCGTTCTTAGGTGCATCTCTTTCAGAGGCATTGCTCTGGTGCCCATGGTTCGTTATGTCTGACTGGCGCTCGTGGGCACTGTGCTTGCGGGTGTGCTGCTTTGTTGTCCCCCTGCGCCGTACATCTACTCTTGCTGTGTCAAGTAGGATAGGTGGTATTCAAGCTACTAAGCGCCCGCGCCGCTACGTGGCCCATTGTGCGTCTGCGAGGTCGAGATGTGTTGATTGTGGGCCGCCGATCAGGTGCACGAGGTGGTAAGAAGCCAAAAGATCAGCCACATCAGGCCTTATGAAGTTGGTTTCCAGAACTAGCTTAGAGACTATGTAGGTAGATACAACCTGTGAGTACAACAAGGAGATAGCACCCTGTTTGATCCTGGCCCGGGGCATCCAGCAATGATCAGAAGAATCACATTGAAATGCTGAGGGCGCGCTCACAGGTGAACCTACTATGAAAGTAAACCCAAATATAAACATGTTCACACTCCTCGTAATCAGCTTCTCAGTGTGTGAAAGATGTGAGGGCTTTGGGGTGGACAGAACACCAGTATCACAACTCTCAATAGACCCAGATCCAATAGTCACGGAAGACGAAGTCAACAACAAGAATTTATATATATAGCAAACAGTGGTGTCTCAACCAATATCTTCTATACAAACAAAACCAACACTAATCTAACCACAACCAACAATATAACAAGTCAGAGCTTAATACAAAGTATTAAGATCCCTTGTAGCGACAGCGTCCAGATGGCAACGCAAAGCCCAAATATCGAGTCGACACACTGCCAACCAATACAACCAATATACTGAGTCGATGCACTGCCAACTAGTAGAACCAAAATGCCATGTCGGCGCACTGCCAACTAGTAAACCAAAATGCCGTGTTGACGCACTGCCAACTAACAGCCAATATCCAATGTCCTAAACCCGAGCACAACTTGTCGATGCACTGCCAAGCAAGAAGTGTGGAACCAAAGTTCTCAAGTTGATGCACTGCCAACTGACCAAAACAACCCGAGCACAACTAGTCGACGCACTGCCAAGCTAGAGGTGTGGAACGATCTCAACAAAGCCCAAAGGCGACGACACCAAATGCCGCAACTAAACCAGATGCGGCGAATCCGACTTTCTGATATCTCAACTCAAACTCAAATCACAGTAGCTACAAGTGCTCAGGGAGCAACTCGTCGCGACCAGGCAGGGGTGGCAGAACTTCTTAGGGTGGAATCACGCGGCATGCAAATTGTACAAAACAATCTGAAATGAGAGTGATTCACAGTCCGGTGATAGGCTGGCTACCAGACACGCTCTGCACCAGCTCTGTAAGGGCGTATTTTTGCGCTTTTTACAGAGTTTACTCTTGAACCATTCAGTGTATTGTGTCGCGGGTGACAGTGTTGCGCTCAGTAGGACTTAAGGGTCTACTGCCCAGTCGACAACTGTGGATAGTGTCGACGATAGCAAGGCAGTCAGACCACTACTGTGGAATTGGTCTTATGAGTCTACACCAGGCTCAGGGCTATTAGTGATAGACACTCGGACCGTGACAATTCCCCAAAAGGGATCTATTGTTGCGGCGACTTCTCAAAAGGGGTCATTCTCTGCAGATGGGGACTTGGGCTGAAGGGCTGAGCAATGCGCGACGTTCTCAATAATACAACTACTACTGGACAGGACTTGGCGTTATGAGATTGAACCAATCTTGTCGCGGCAACTCCCAGTTTTGGGTTGGACGTTTCCCCAGATCGTGCTACGGCGACGACTTGTCACATGTCAGGATCCATTTGATCACGGGACATTGTGGACGCATTGCAGTGACACTTCCAAGTGTCACGGTGAGTTGCGCCCATACCCAAACACATCAAAAGCAACACGGGCTAGATCCGTGAACTGAACCATGTGAGGAACGTCTGGCGTGCCTAGGACCATACAGCTTCTTGGGACGCCCACGTTGGACTCACTTGCCAAGACATACCAGTTGGCCAATCCATCACATCGTATTCCAAAAGTATGATGCGGTAGGTTGACCCACATCAAAAAGCACCATATGGACAATGGGGCGGGGTCCTGATCAGTCAGGACTTGTCCAATTGTTCAACTTTTTCATTACCATAGAAAGCAACTGATCTTAGATAGCATAGCTACTATGCAGTTGTACAGGACTTTACTAAGCATCACCGTAGACAGTATAAGTAGCGCATCGTTTCTTTGTATTGGGGGGCTTTTCCCCCGGACTGTGAATCATACCCATATCAGATTGTTTTGTACAATTTATGTGTCACATGATTCCATGTTAAGAAGTTCTATTATCCCTGCCCAGTTGCGACGAGTTGCTCCCTGAGCACTCCTAGCTACTGTGATTTGAGTTTGAGTTGAGATATCAGGAGGTCGGATTCGCCGCTTCTGGTTTAGTTGCGGCACTCAGTGTCGTTGCCTTTGGGCTTCGTTGAGATTGTTTCCACACCTCTAGTTTGGCAGTGCGTCAACAAGTTGTGCTCGGGTTTTGGACATTTGATATTGGCTGTTAGTTGGCAGTGCATCGACTTGACATTTTGGTTCTACTAGTTGGCAGTGCGTTGACTCAGTATCTTGTCGTATCAGTTGGCAGTGCGTCAACTTGATATTTTGGGCTTTGCGTCACCATCTGGACACTGTTGCTACAAGGGATCTTAATACCTCATATTAAGCTCTAACTTGTGATATTGTTGGTTGTGGTTGGATTAGTGTTGGTTTTGACTGTATAGAAGATATTGGTTGAGACACCATTGTTTGCTATATATAAATTCTTGTTGTTGACTTTGTCTTCCGCGACTATTGGATCTGCGTCTATTGAGAGTTGTGATACTGGTGCTCTGTCCACCCCAAAACCCTCGCATCTTCCACACACTGAGAAGCTGATTACGAGGAGTGTGAACATGTGTATATTTGGGTTTACTTTCATAGTAGATTCACCTGTGAGCATGCTCTCAGCATTTCAACGGGTGTCACTGGAATTTGTTGCCCAGGCTCTGGTGGAGAATAATTAATTATCAAAACAAATGAGGTTGTTGTGACGCACCAAGTCCTAAAACCGAATCAATTGGCCCATTGTTGCGCTTGAAGGGCTTGCCTCAACTGCTGGCTCCACACTGTTGTGCAGCAGATACATCTGCCACCCAATAGATGTCACCCACAGTGTAGCTTGATCAAGGGGAAAGAACAGGTCATGGCTCTCATTCGAGACCGCAGCCGTGAATGCCTTCAACAGAGAATGTCAGTCAACTGTATAATAAGTGCCCAATGAACTCACAAAAGTTTGATACTGCTTCAACTTGTTGAAGAAGATGTCAGCGGCTTCCAGGAACATAGTCTAGTTGAGTTAGGTCAGAATTGGAATATAACAATGCAAGAACTTTTCAAGAAATGAAAACTCTGAAACCTGGACCCAGGTTTTGAAAGATAAGCACTCAAAACAACTCATTTGAACAAGTGAGCAGAAAAACGTGCATATATTTGAAATTGCACTAGCATTCATCAACACGAGGCAGTCAGGAGTGCTATGCTATTTTGATTAAGGTTCAAAGGTGAGTAGAGTGTATGAGCCCCTGGGATAAGTGCTAGAATCAGCTTGCAGCAGCAGAGGAAGAGCAAATGGACAGCTGTCAATGTCACCAGGTTCCGGGTGGGTGATCCCGGTCCTGGTTGTGCATCACTGAACATCAGAGATTGCAGATGTCAGAATGCGATTCTGCCCATCAATGTGTGAATGTTACAATCAGAATGCAATTTGTGCAATCGCATTTGCACACTCTGTGTCATTCCTCGGTAGAAGCTTCTGGAGCATATGCGTGCAGTCTTGAATTGATAGAGATAACCCCCTTGTGCCCCTAACCCGGACCTTGTGGTGCTGTGATCCCTGATAAGATAACCCGATGTCAGGATAAGATAAGATCGATCAATGGAATGATGAAAAAGTGGTTGAATTATGACATAATACCTGCCGTCTCTTCCAGCACATTTCCTGCCTAATGAATGGGTCCAAGAGGTTTAGATTGCACTAAGTATTATAAAATCTACTTGCTAACACTAACAAGATAACGGATCACATATCAGAACCTTGATAAGCTTTGAGCACCATAGAAAGCCCGCCCGTTGGCACCATTCCACCCTTTCCATCGGAAACAAACGAGGATGGTCGCTGGAGCTGCGCTGAGATGACCGGGCCAACCGGCTCAACACTTGGCAACAACTTGAAAGCCCGGACTAGACTGAACAAGATAGCTTTTTGTCTGTAGGAATGTGCTCATTAAACTGCCTTTGTGATGCGGTAAAATGATCAGGCTTACTCAGCCACTGAAAACCGGAAGCCGATGCAGTTGTGAGCGCCAGCGACAAAAGTCAATTGATTACCCCACACTCCAGGGATGGAATGGACGGCCTCCGGGAGGTTATCCCACCGCTCAGGTCTGTGCAGAAGGATAGACCATAAACAGTCAAATCACAATCCTGAAGCAAAAAGAACACGCACTTGAACTCTAGGGCATCCTGACCCCAGATCTCCTTGTCTCTATTGACAGCCAGGATCGGAATTGTGACCAACTGTCCTTTAGTGATGCTTTCGTATGTCAGCGCCGTGGTAGATTCTCAGACAATGAAAGAAACGCACGGAAGAGTGTCGTGAGATACACCCCACCGGTCCACATACGGTTTGCCGAGTGGTAAAACATCATCTTGTGACGCCACACGCTGAACAAAGACTGCTGGAGCGTAGAGCCTCAAAGTCTCCCTCATCACGGTCTCAAAGTATGGCAAAGCGTTCAGTTCCTCCATGGTCGGTGTTTCCGTCTCGATAGAAAGCAGCTCCTGGCGCAGCTTGTCTTGCACAGCGGGATGCCGCGACAGCGCATGGACTGCCCAGCCGAGCCCGATGCTGCTAGTGTCATGCCCTGCAAGGAGGAACGTCGGGATTTCTGCAAAGATTACGTGAGTGGATGTCATTTCGAGTTTCGCTCGATAGTCGAACGTACGGGCTATGACCTCATCATCGCTCAAACGTTGGCTGTCTTGGAGATTTGCCGACATGTTCGCCTTGACTAGGACTGATAGGAGATCTCGGCCCGAGCCCAGATCTTTCTCTCCGAGTGCCCGAGCTTCGGCTTTGGCCTTGAGCAAAAGCTCCGTTCCTACTGTACGCAGCGTCTTTTTCCCAGCCTGGGTGTTTCTCCAGCCAGGAAGGGGCTGAGATTTGCATTGTTAACAAAGGCTCGTGTTTGATGAGACTTGCTGGCCATACGCACAAGATACTGAAGGATCGGCATCGCGCCCTGAGCGATCTGCACAGCAATATTCAAGTTGGCGTTCGGTCCGCGGAACAGCATGTGGAAAGCTCTGCTCAGTTCTCCTTCATTCTTGCCGCCTGACTCGAGCGAGTTGAAGTTGTAGCCAAACCCTGATCAGATGGCTCAATTTGGGATTCAAGCACTTGAGACGATAAGTACACACCGGTCTGTCCCATGATGTCCAACGTGACCCGACGGAACATTTCAGCAAGATCTATAGTTGCGGTTCCACCGGCCTTTTCGACATCTGCCGACAAAAAGTCTCGCAACTGATGCAATTAGTGGCTTCTTAGACGAGACAGGCATAAAAAACCCACGATATTCGCCTTCTCAAGAAAGACCTCGTTCATTAAACGGATTTGCTGAACGCTAAACACCGGGTTCTTTCCCACTCCTCAGACTCCATCCATATTTAATGAACGGACTTACCAGAATTTTGCGCTATCAGCATCTGGGCATCAGCTACAGAGCCTGTGGGCAATCATGGAGACGTACCTGACGCTTATGCGGATCCATGTCGACGGAAAGAAGTCCCTCGCCGAGTATACGACGCAGACTTGCAACCGATCCAGGGTTTTTCGGGTACAGCGAGCCGTGGCTGAGGACGTGGGCGATAGCTTTGATGTCGACCGTGTGCAAGTCATCCTCCTGCACAATGTGTGAGCGGCGTTTTGATAGAATTACTCGAAGATGCATAGAGATGCTCTTACCCAGAGTAGGTTCTTGGCCATGAAAGTGGCTCCGTAAAGTTTCCGCCATTGGTCCCCTTGCTCTGGCACATCCTAGCGAGTGAGTCAGACGCCGCAAATGGACAGAGAGATAGCATTCATGCCCACCGAAAGCACGACGGAGTGACCGAAGACAAAGTTTGATGTCGCCGGGCCATCGATGAATCGGAGTGAGGACGTCAAGGTGCGGTAGATCGTCCGAGCCAACAGGAGAGCGCCGTAGGCGGAGATACTGTAGATAATTGGGAGTGCGATTGTGTTGCCCATCTTTTGCGATTTCAAGAAGCGGATAAATGTTTTGGAATATCGCTGAGAGAGACCAACTTATATATTTCACCAGTTTGTAGCCAGCGGGCCGCCAAGTAAGAAAGCATTACCAGCCTGACGCACAATCGGCTGGGCCACGTAACACACGCCGAATCCACCTGTCATAGATAATGACCTGTGTGAATTTGCGACCAGCTCAAAGTTTAGTGTTTGTCCGTGTGAGAGCTAGAGAAGACCAGAGGATTTTAGCACGTGTGAATCTGCTTTTGATGTCTGACTGTTTTTAGCTCAAAGATTACATGAAAGGAAGCAGAAGTATGCGAGCTGCGTATCTTTTATGCCTACCGGTACGCTTTGAGAACAGAAGTGACTCGATGGGAGAAAATGGATTGGAATGTCCGGACTCGCTGTCCAGCCTCTGCGATTGCCCGATACGAGTTTGTTTCGCACAGTTACGTCTCCCTTCTCCTCGTGATTGGAGCCCAGGAAAATTCTTCTTTTGTGGCGAGACGATTCTACCAGTGTGCTCTGCCCGAAGCTCGGGAACACGTTGCAATATGTCACTTTCTCCATTAGGATAATTGATAGCAGTGGTTGCACGTTTCCCGTCCATCGTCGTGCCATTCGGGGATATACAAACGACGTTCGCAACTTTTGGCCCTTCCTCCACACCCTCGACGTGATATGAGTTGTGCCATTGCACCTCGGACATTATATCTACCGCAGAGATATGCGACGAAGCGACGAAAGAAGCCCCGTTCCCCATGAGATTTTTGTTCCTTCACATCGGTAGGTGCATGAAGGGGTTTTCATCAGCCACCACCGCATTGCACATGCAATGTCAGCCGGGTCGCGATTCACCAGGGAAGCTGAGTAATGAGTTTGCCATTTATCCGGAGGAAAAATTCTTGCAATTCAAACGATTGCGCGCTTATAGTAGAGTCGGGCTGGTTGGAGAGTTCGGATCTCAACTTTGCCCCATATACAATTTCAATTTGGAAGCGATTGGCCTGTCCCATTTTTCGACGCCGAACATTCTTAAAAATACTTTGACTGGGATCAACATCGTTGGTCCTCGGTCTGAAGCCATACTAAGCAGTATCCGAAGTTTTTTTGCATGCCCCACACCCAAATCGATCATCGGACTTGCTAATCGTGCCGGCCCACGTGCCGCACGGCCCGTCCACAAGAATGACGAATTTGAGATAACTCATCCTCAAGTTCCAATTACGTCTGGTTTACCGACAACTTACTCGCAGGTATAAAACATGTGCCCTTCAGATCTTAGCAGAGTCATTTCACACCCTCAACTCGTGCCATGCCCTCTCGACACATCCTGACCTTCCTCGCTCCGGCTTGGGGCCATGCACTGCCTTATATTCATCTTACGACTCGAATGCTGGCCTCGGATCCGGAGCTGGTTATCACCATTGTGCAGCACAAGAGCTTTGGTATGTGCTTTCAATTCGTACGATTCTCTATGCCGATTGCTATAGTTGGGAGAATGTTGAAAGAGCTGGAATCATGTTCCTATGATGTCTGCAGGTTGAAGATTGAGGGTGTAGGCGACGCCGAGTGAGTCTTAAGCTCGATTCTGGTCGACTAATCTCATTCGGAACAGCCTCCAATCATCACCGGAAAACATTAAAACGTGTGTGGGGCAGCTCGCAGCTGGATGGCTCGAGATTCTCGCCAGCGCAGTTGGCGGAGGATCAGATTGGCCCAGACCTCAGACATTACATGTAGGCAGGCTTTTCATTCTGTACCAGGAAGCTGATCATCCGGAACAGATGGATTTGGGTGGAGGAGGACTCGTTATTAAAGAATCGAAGGCATTGTTGGGACCGGAGGGCAAAGTTCTGCTCTGGTGCTCCACCGGGCTCGCAGCATGCATGGATTATTTTGCCCCATTCGACTACGCCAAGATCGCGCACGAGATATACATTGACGAGAGTAGAAGAGGAGGGAGAACGATGGAGGACATTATCGGCGACGTGCGTACTGTTTTCCTCGCTCACTCAGTTTGTTTTCATGTCAGCTCATCCAGGTCGTGTGGGCCGGTAATGGAAGCGACAAACTCGACGGGAGGATCTTCGAAATCTTCGGTGGAATGAAAATATACGATCACGAGCGCACAGCACAGGGCGCCGGGCCACCGCGCGACTTTGCTTTGGTCATGGTATCCGCACAGGAACTGGCGCGGCTATGTGACGGCTTCTTTTGTCCCACCAGCAACCCGTTGGAGTCCTCAGTGATTCCCCTCGCTCGTGATTACTACAAACAGCGTGGGCAAGAGCTGTTTCTGGTCGGTCCTCAGATGCACGATGATGAGTGGGAGGCCCCGTCAGCAGGTCCCGGTCCTAAGGATGAAAGAATGAAAACTTTCTTGGATGATGCGCGCAAAACACACGGGCCTAAATCTGTGCTGTACATCTCTTTCGGGTGCGTCATGGCGACTCGCTCATTTCAAAATAATAAACTGAATTTCCCTCAGTTCGTTTTTCTTCCCCGCACAGACACCTCAGCTGCTTGAGGCGTTGGTTGACGTGCTGCTCAATCTCGATACCGTCATCCCCTTCGTATTTGTCCTGGGGTCGGCGATGGCTTCTCTGCCGGAAATAACCATCGATCGCATTCACGCCAGCGGCCGAGGACTCGTATGCGCTCATTGGGTCGATCAGAAAGCCGTCTTGAAGGGTGGTGCAATCGGCTGGTTTTTGACTCATGGCGGCTACAAGTCAGTTCAGCCCGCCCTGAAAACCTGACGTGAATGTTGTTGAATCATTGCAGCTCGTTGACTGAGGGGCTAAGCCAAGGAATTCCGCTTATTTTCTGGCCCATTGGAGCAGACCAAGCTCTCAATGCCGCTGTTTATACGACGGGTCCCTGTCCCGTCGGAATCGAGCTATTTCAGGTATTCCAACCACACTATGATTGCTTGCCCAGTAATTCACGATACAAAGATCCGATCTGGAACTCAACTAGGTCCTTCGCTTCGTCCCGAAGCACCCAAGATCACAGGAACAGTTGAAGACGCGAAGACCGAGTTCGAGCAGGCATTCAGGGATCTCAAAGGACCCAGAGGCGAACTCCTTAGACAAAACGCCACCCGCATTGCAGAGCTTTGGCGCGAGGAGAGAGTCAACGGGGAACCCGTAAAGGAGATCGCGAGGCTGACGAGATTCTGAAATAGATCTAGACTGACCATTAGACACCGAATTAGTGTAGAGACCCGTAGATCCTGTTCATACCAATCGATGCCGATTGGTCTCTTTCTCTTTAGCTTCACAGATAAGCAGTATACACAGAGACAACAACAATAAGCACAACAACAAAATGCGATATATATGCTACAGATGCACTGGTGCTACACCTTCACCAACTTGATGAAAGGAACCTACCGACCGCGCGTCCGACTTCAGGGGCATGTGTCCATGTCAATGAGTGGGTAGCGCCCTCGATATGGATAACTTGGACTTGAGGCTTCCTCTGCAATGGTAAAACCGAATCAGTAACTAGACTTCATTGCAGACAGAAGCCACGCACAGTAGCGGAAGCAGTCTCGATGTGCTCTCGAATGCGCGTGGCGTGCGCCGCGGGTACCGTATCATCCGCCGTACCCTACTCATCTCAGAGATCTGGAAACTGTTTCGGAGGAAAACGACGCACATGGACCAGCAGGACGCGTTTCCCGGCCCACTCCGGGCTCTGGTACGCCCACTCCAAGCCGACAACTGGGCCTGAGCGCAATGAGGAGGAAACGGCCCAATTGAAGCCAGCGAGGTGCGCAGATTGCAGCCGGACCAACGCGTGGATCGGTGCAGGATCCAAGGCCGATACTGGGGGACGCCGAGAAGAGGATGGGTCCTGTGACTCGATGCCGTCCCAGTCTGCCGTGCGCTGGGCAGCAAGCCGCCGAAGGTAGGAGTATATCAGCGGGTTCGCAGCGAGCGTCTGAACAAGCGGGGAGGACATGAATTTCGAGGTGCGTGACAGATCGGAGGACTACGTGCACACGTCAGAGGCAGCGAGACGTTATCGGGCGGGGACGCGTCACGTACCTGGAGGATACCCGCAGCCGCGATGAGGACGACGTCCCGTTCCACAAGCGCCGGAAACATATCGACAAACGCAGCGGCGATCGCCCCGCCCATGCTGATCCCAGCGATCCGCGTCTTCGTCCACCCGACGTGCTGCAGAAGCAGCGCGAGCTGCGTCACGTACAGCTGCGTGTCGTAGTCGATACCGCGCGGCGCGTCCGAGTATCCCCGTCCGTAGAGGTCGTATAGCAGGATGCGGTGCCTCGGCGCTGCTGAGAGCAGGTGGGGGAGGAATGGCGACCAGATCAGGGCCGGGACGGAGAGGCCATGGATGAGGACAAGCTGAAAACACAAGTGAGTAGGTGAAGAGTGGGAGAGGTTTGCAAATCACCTTTTTGCCGTTCTTGGGACCCACAAACCAATACCGCGTCTACGGAGGCACCACTGTCCATCAGTGACTAGATCTCGCCGAGGGAGTAGCACAGCCCACCCGTCCGAGGGGCAAATCCGCCCAACCACCCTCCTCGAGCCAGTCCTCAGTGTATATTCTCCTGGCGCGCGTATCGACAGCGAGACTGCTCAGCCCCGGATGGACCGCGGGCCGCCGGGACGGGGGTGTCGGGAACGAGGTGAGGAGATAGAGCGAGACGATGAGGGGCGGAACGAGGAGGAGGAGGTAGGTCAGAAAGCGGGTTGCCCTGACGCGCATCGTGCTGCGTGCCACTCGTTTGGTGAAGACGCAAAGCGATGCGCACAGTTCACACGCGTTTTCGGGATGTGTGTGCGCATGTGACTTGGTTTCGACAGGCGGCAGTGCAGCAGATGATTGGATCAGACCGCCCATCTTATCTTTGATAGGGTGAGCGACGAAGACACGCCATTTGTGGTTTCGCACTGCAAGTATCAGAGAAAGGATTGCGCTTCCAGATATCATCACTTCTCTTGATCTCATCTAAACCTGAGGGATTTCATGATACCTCCGGATCCTCAGATGTTACTGTAAGATGTTTCCAGGGTCAAAAGCAATACACTAGACTCACATGCAACCCCGCTCGCCCATTGTCCTGAGTTCATTCACGGCTTCTGCCCCGCTTTTATCAAACGATGATCTGTCCGATGAGTTTAGAAGGTCGAGAGACAATGTGGACCGGTCACACGGCGTCGCCCTGAGTAAGATTATGGCCCACATGTAGTCCGGCGCGATGAACTTTGAAAGGACAATGGTGCTCTCATCCGCAGGGATGGTGCCCGGGCTTAATAGTCATACTGACTGGATTGCAATCTATATGACTCGACTACAGCGGCACATGTGAGGAATTCCTACAGCGAGTCACGGGCATACCGTGGGGCCCCATCGCGCGAGTCATACTCGAGTCCCGACAGAGTAGCTTCCCACGAGGCGGGCCGCTCGCTACATATGTCAACCCCCAAGGAGTAAGTAAAGCGGCGGGTGGCGGTGAGCAGCACGGAGAGGAGTATCCGGTCCCTCGTTCCGCACTTGCCGTTCCCGCTGGAGGTAATTCGGTGTTGCCAGCTGATGAGCCACTTCTCCGGGTCTTATCTCCCACATCCGGGTGATCGATCATGCCCGCCGGAACATCTGGTCAGCTGTCTTCCCGCCGACCCGCGGAAGTAAATCATCATTTCAACTTGCGCGCCTCGAGGCTCGGCTGTAGATGGTCCGCCCACATGCCATGTTTCCCCGGGTGGCGATGGAGCAAGGCGGTGTCACGGCATGCGCGCGTCGAAGGGTTCAGGGCAGAGGGCTGTACAAATATCAGCCTCGAGGTGCTGCCGACGCCGACTGTATCTTGAAGGCGAAGCTCCGGGTATCGAGTATCCGCAACCACGCGGCAGTAATCGCGCGTAGACTGCGTAAACTGTGCTGGTCGATATGTAAGAATTAATCTAAGAACTTTGGGAAAACCTATGCTCCGGAAATTTCCCGACTGTCCCAATCCAGGGCTACAACGCCATCGATTGCGAGCGAAGAATCGTGGTGGAACGATCACTGAAAGAAAGCTATCGACCGAAAAAATCAGTGGAGATCCGCAGCGGTGTTCGATTACCAGCGTGTTCAACCCCGTGAGGCGTGTGAATATAGTGCGGCTATGTGCGAGTGAGGCTGAAACTGATATTCAGAGTCATAGGCGATGCGGACGCGTGGAGCTCGGAAACAAGCCATGTTCGCGGGACACGTGGTCATCAGGTCAGAGGTGGGCTGACTCGTCACATGACTCCCGGTGGACTCCCCGACGTAATGAAGCTCTCTATCGTTCGGGTGAGGCTGAGTGTCCAAGGAGTTTCATCCAAAATTATCACATTCATAGCTAACTAAAGAGTTTCCGGCACCACCGGGACGGACAATAGAGAGTGTGAGTTTCAAGCTCCACACATTATTGGCATGCCTTTTTACTGAGTTTCGAGAGCATTTCATTGTCCAAAGCTTAGCGCACTGATGCAGAAGGCGAACGGTCGATGTGCCCCGACAGGACCGAGTGCATTCTACTTTGAGTCTGAATAGACAACACGCGCTTGAACAGACCGCAAAGGACACAAAGGAAAGCCTACAAGGGGAAAGATCTCAAAGCAGCAAGGACATCCCGTCCAGTCAGATGATTAGATTAGATACAGAACGGCATCGCAACGCGGGTAATGACCCGACCAGTAAGATGGAAACAGCCGCTCTGCCTCCGCCCACGCCGAGGACATTACGGACGTCGTCCATGTCCTTCATAAACCCATCCGATGGAGTATCAGTTCCAGCAATCCAGCAGGAGGTGCAGGCCAGTTGATTGAGTAGGAGCCGATAGCTGGTGCCAACAGCTCTGTTCGAGCAATTGGTCGATTGGGTAACCAATCCTGTTAAAAAGAATGTTTGTTCGACGGGTCGCTTCTAAGACATAACTCGAGCGGGAACGTGGGAATCACCTGGCAGAGATGACAAGACGTTACATTGACTCTGATTGGTCGTAAGTCTATGCGCAGACGCAGGTCAATTAGCCAGGTTTGTGTATGCCCCGATTAAATCCGAATGTTCGTCTTGAATACGTTTCGGCAGAGCCCGTCATTCAGCGCTATGGCAGACAGACATCTCTTTACCGAGAAGTGGTTCTTGAGCCCGATACGGTTCGTGGATTCCTCCAAGGACAATTGTGAACGTGCGCCGAGTCCTTCAACAAACCCTCAGTGTTCTGGTGCCTGATCGGTACATTCGTCGTGTGTGCCTTGACGATGCTCGGCCGCAGCTCGACCGAATGTATTACTTCAACACGCCTCGTAAAATCTGGTGGAAGCAGAGCCTGGACTAGAGCGCCATGGAAATCGCAGCGTCATGATCATCACGCCACGAGGCTCGCAGTCCCGATCCGGATAATAACGTCGCACTGAGCACAGCTGCGCACTGACATCTGTCTCGGTGCCTCGTACTACCACCCATCCAACAAGGAGGCGATCGGTCTCCAGCCTTCCAAGCGGTTCCCCACCGGCAGACCCCCGAATGTCACACAGCACCCCCCGACTGCACAATGAACCCCCGGATGTATGAGTACCCGACTGAGAACAAGGTACGTTCCTTACGCGGTCTGACGTCTGACGGTGTCGTCGTGTCGGAGGAGATGAACAGCAGACTAGAAGGGACCCTTCATTGCTCGGCCAGCGGAAGAGCAGGTTGCATCGGAGCCGTCAAGTGGATGATCCGATTTGCATGCGCAAGGGCCAAGGGAACTCGGTCGACTCGGTGTTGCTGGGCGGACCGTCGCGCGATTTTGAAGCAGCGGAGACCCAGCTGCACATGTATCCAGGGGAATGAGCCCGTCGCTCGCGGATGGCATCCTCTGAACAGGGAAGGGGGTTGTCGAGCGGAACGCGAGAGGAGGTTGTGAGTGGACAGTGATCCGGCAGCGCGTGGTCCATGGCTGTGCAGCGAGACGCGTTGTGTCGGCTAAGCAGGCAACTAGTATGTGGCGTTGGGACTGTCTTCTAGGCTGAAAAAGCGTCTGTTAGATAGCGATTGCCATCCAGCTTGCAGCCTTTCGCGGTATATGGTCAAGCAGGATTGATCTGATCGATCTGATGGCATGTGACAACACTGCCAAAGGATGATGTCATTCAATTTCTAGACGTGTCCTCTCACAACTTGAACCACCATCGAACACTCTCAGCGACATCCCATCTCTCCATTGTTGGAAGTTTGGATTGGTTCCGCCAGATGCCGTCCTAGTTCTATCTGTGGGACTCGAGAACCAGAGCCGTACCTTTGCGACTTCACCCATTGTTCGTCCCGGATATCACACACAGGAGTGTTCCGAAGACTCGGGGGAAAATCCGGACATGCACCTTACTTCCATCGGCGGATTTTTCTATGCTACGGAGTATGCGCTGGTAGACAGTGGCTGCTATGACATATGCCGTTTCGTGCAAACAACGGTTGGAGGAGGAATTGGACCCACCCCGGAAACTATGAGCGGCATCGCGGAGATCTCGGTGTCATAAAAACGTCTCTGCACTCTAGTCCCAATCTGGAACCCACGTGCGACAGTGCCTGTGCGCCACCTGGGTGCATGGCAGTTTAGATTCTTTCTTTCACGGCTACGGGGTCGGTCTCTCTGAACGAGTGCGAGGAACGCATAATAAGCATCGTGCAGCTAGTGTCTCGGCCCCGGGAATAACACGCTGCATCCGGTCTCCGCACTATCTGCTCTATATCTGCAACCGACAGCGAGAGAAACGAGTCAGGGTCGGTGGGAGAGAAGATGAGATTGGGTGTTGGATGGAAATGATGTTCTCGATAGACTGAACAATGGCGAGCCGATGAAACCGCTGAGATGATCCACTAGCCGCGGGCTGACCTCAGTGAGAACGATCCTACCATCTTAGAAACATAATTGTATGCCGCGTCTGTGATGTTTCAGCAAGATGATTGGTGGCTCCTAACTTGCCACACTGAGCTAAAGTCTATCCCTCTTTTCATATTCTCCATGATTTCAAAGATACAAATAGGAGAGAAATACATGAGAGAAAACCACGACTGCGTCGCAAATTGTTTCGATGAGACGCCCAGTACGCTGAACTCCATTGGTCATCCTTACTCACAGCATCAGCCCCGGAGCTACTTCGCCTGGAGGAGTTCACAAATTTCTCTCACAAGACCCCACCATGCATGTACTAGTATACATCAGAATTCCAGTGCGCGCACAAGCGAACGAGCGCTTCGACCAGGACCTAGCTTGCGGGGGCCCGCCGCGGACCGCTCGGCGCAAGCCTAAAACGGCCGAGATCAAACATCAGTCTAGTGATTCACGGAACTCCGAGGAGAGAGTAGATGAGGCCTTACACGTGTCCACTACATTCGCAAACTTAATTCCTTGTGAGACTGGAATTTGAATTCGGAACCCGGATATGCCCCCAGTTGGAAGAGAGATCAATTTCATCAGCGCTCGGAGATACAAAGAAATCTGCGACGGAAGGTGGGCCGACGGTGGATGCCGACAACAAAGGGCTTGTTCGGCAAGCGGGATAAGCTGCGTACCGCATGACCGGCTCGCATACGCCTTATCGGGCAAGCTGAAAGTGATGGGTGGATTGATGCAGTGATGGGAGAATTCGGGGTTCTTCGCAAGTGCCCTTGGGCTGCCAGATGATGTGGCTATTCCAGGTTGGCCTAGTGGGCACCTTACAGCGATAGATTATTTGAAGATTTGAGATAGTGAAGGCATCTATATTGCGTGCGTAGATGAACGCACGCTCTGACTAGGTGAGCTATCCCTCACCCACGGTAGTTTCCTTTTTGGGCCAAGACAAGAGCAGCTAACATGAGTGGCCAGATCTCGAGATCTACTTCGATCGGCATCATCCTTGAAAGCCTGGCCCTAACACAGTCATGCATCTATCGGTATATAATGCGTTCTCTATTGTGTCAGGAAATCCCTTCGCGTCGTGAGTGCCGTAACTGTCCTCCCTGATGCCTGCTCTCCGGTCCAGTGCACGCGCTGCCCGTAGTGTCGGTCAGTCCTCTCTCTCTCTGCTCGGGGGAGATCATAACCAGCTGACGGAACGAATCCTAGCGCGGGACTTGATAGTGGCACCGGTACCCCGGGTTCAGTTCACCTTTCCCTCCTCGCACAATCTCAGCGATTCCCCACACGACTCGCCCTGCAGCTCTCCAGTCGAGCCTGAGCTCGGTAGCTTAAGTCGGACGAGGGCAGACTGTCGTGCGTTTCCTGATATGCGCTTCAGAGTATCTGATTGATCGTTTTGAAGGGTTAGGGTCCACCTCCTCTTCCTCTTCCTCTTCCTCGTCGTCAATCTCCTCTCTCGCATCCTCCTCCACTTCAACCTCTCCGCCGAGCTCGGAATTCTCATATGACGCACCGTCAACGCCAACGAAGCCGCCGCTGAGCGTGCTGACGCGGACGCTATCCCCAGTCTGTGTGACGGTCACCCCCAAAAGCACACCACCGCGCGTATCCGGTCCAGCCGCGCAGTCCTCTCCTCTTGCATCCTCTCCCCTTTCATTTTGTGACCATTCGACGTTCGATGTCTCTCCTCACGAAGAAGAACGGCGTCCCAAGCGTGGCGACGACGACTACATCAAACGCCCCGAAAACTCCTGGATGCTCTTCCGGCGCAAGACGCTCGAGAGCTACGCCGCCGACAAGGGCAAACTCCTCGCTTCGCATCCGTCGAATAAATCCTCGGGAGCAGGGGGCAGCGGTAAACCGCGCCAGGCGGACCTCTCGAAGATGATCTCGGCAAAGTGGCGCGCATTGGGCCCGGAGGAACGTGCGGAGTGGGATGAGCTGGCAAAGCAGCGGAAAAGAGAGCACGAGCTGAGGTACCCGGATTATGTCTTCCGGCCGCAGCGCGCGGCACGACCAAATTCGAATCGAGCGAGGGACGAGGGCGGCGCGAGGAGTGGTGGTGCCGGTGGGAGGAAGCAGCATCAACGAAGAGACGTGGAGAAACCCCAAGTGCTCGAGTTCGTCGTACCGTCAATACCTCCAGCCCAGGAGCAACACCAGCAGCAGCATGGTGCGCCGTATATGACGGTGGAGGTACCGAACATCTTTGCCAGCCCCGCCCCCACGTCTCTTACCTCCGCGCCATGTTCCCCGCTCGATCTGCTTCTCGAGCCTATCACACCCCAGCAACAGCAATCGATGTCGCCTACCTCGCTTGTCCCGATGCTTGCATGCAACGCGACGCTCGCCCTACAAGATTCATGTGCGCAGTGGGACTTCCAGCCGCAGGTCGTCAGTGCCCAGTTCTCCGACAGTCTGCAAGTGCGTCCCCTATCTGTGCCATCCCTCGGGCTGTCCGCTGACATGCTGTGTCTCTCTGTGCAGTCGTCTGACTTCTTGCGCTCGATCTTCGTCAACCCCGCCCCGGAGCCTTTCGCCAGCTACGTCGAGCCTCACAATACTCTGCCCGCATGCTTCGATCCGCTGCCGTCGTCGTGCGGCGACTACACCTCTGCCTGGGAGTCGTCCTCGCCCTGGGCAGGTCAGTCCCCGTTCCCGTTCTCAACTACGCAGCCAGTGTTTGGCGCGTGCGATTTCGACCTGGACAAAGTTCCCGGTATCACTGCCGGCTGGGATTTCGCTACTGGTGCTCTTCCGGAGGGGGAGGATGGGGCGCCCGTGATGTACCCTGGGTCGGAGTATCTCTTGGACCCGTCATGAGCCGACCACCTTCTTCCTTCCATTCCCGTTCCTTATGGTCTATTTATGGTACCTCTGGATTTTTCATCTTGTATCTCAGGCCTTCCCGCTGCGACTACCCACCTACCACCCTCTATCGCTGTACTCATTGCTTTCGTTGTTGTATCCCGCATTTCAATCACCCCAATGTACACTTAAGAATCTGCGCATTACATCCTACATAATCATTGCTATTGACTGTCCCGCTTTCTGCTATGATGCTTCGAGATGCACTGGGTTGTGCATCCTTGACTAGAGACAAATGTGTGTGTGTCATTTCAGCGGCGTATGGATCTTTCGGTGGCGCGGGGTTGGCAGTTGGTGGCGCGGCGCTGCAGCTGCATCAGAATCTCTGGTGCTGACTTGAGGTCGCGCTGTGGGAAAGTCTCCGAACCCTGGTTTTCATCCTTCCATTCTCGCGAAAGGATCCATCAACTAGTCTGATGCGCGCCGTACCCCCGGAGCGTGTCGCTCGGGGGACTCCGAAAGGAGCGTTGCGTGGTTGGTCTGAGTCGGGATCAGAGGCGAAATTGGGGATTTCATGTCCGGTTCGCTTAGCTGGGTGCTATTCAGGTGAGCACTGAGTAGGCAGGTCTAGGTACCTCCTCTCGTGAGTAAGTATCTGAGATCAACTGGTGCCCCTGGTTCCACACCGGGGACTGAATGCATTTCTGGGGTGAGCGTCAACACTCGTCGCATGAAATCCCGACCAAATGAGTGTTACAGCATCTTGAGGTGGATTGTGAAATGACTTGCACTAGTACCTATTGTCTCAGCGACGATGAAGTACTCCAGTCCCCTTGTCAACTGCTGTAAGCCACAGGTAAGGGCGTTTCGAAAGATTGAGAGTACTTGTCAGATGAAAGCCAGATTGTAGCATATTGGGCTTCATGGTGATAGCCTAGCAACCGAGTTTCACTTTGAACAGAGCAAGTATTGTGTGCATTGGGCAGATCGGAGGGAAGATTTCGCACCGGAGGCATCACTGATGCGATCAATATCACTTCGCTTTCTCTTCTCAGATTGTAAGTGACCCTATGCGCCGTGCACAGCTCAACCGTTGTCTTAGAGTACCATGCTTCCGCACGGTGACTCTCCTGTCTTTTGGATTCTGATCGCATGCCATCTATGCCTGACCCCGCTCTGGGATTCGGTTCCGTCTCAGTCCAATCAGGTACATCACACGTACTACCCAAGTCTAGGCATTTCGAGCCTCTCTGAGGATTACATTCCGAAGCTTGCTCGAGGAACTGTGACTTGGAATGGTATCTGACTCGTCAAAGGTACCTCCCAGTCAGGCACATCCGCGATTAGCATTCGTGAATCACTGGAAACGGATTGCTCTCATCCGGTGGCCACCCCACCCACATAAAACAGACCGCTAACTCCCGCGCCACAACTTCTGCCCACTCACCGAATCATCACGTGTAGGCTGTTATCTGTGGGCGCTGGATGTGTGGGTCCGCTGTCCCGAAGGGGACACACCTTGTGTTAGGTGGTATACCTTGCCTGGGAGACGGTGCTTGATTAACCATGGATTATTCTCAAGTGCCCTCAAGGTGTAAATTATATTGCGACGCACTTGGACCCGATCACCGCAGAGAAACCAGGTGGCTGGGAGATCATGGTTGCTCTCGTGCGTCCCTTTTATTGTGCCACACACGCGCTCGAGTACAATGAAGAAACCAGGCTCATCGTGGAAAGACGACATCGACATTCTGTGCTTGCATGAAATCTTACGGCCTCAAAATCTACATCGGCAAAGGGACTAATGCGAGCGGCGAATCCGCTATCTCAACAGTCAGCCCCGGCGGACCAGGCAAGTGGCGTGATGACACCATGTTACTTGTTCTTCTGATTTCTCATGAGCGCTCTGCCCTGCGCGTCGGAGATATGGGCTCCTTCCCTCAATTTCATGGGTTATTGGGTGGCGGAGTCGGGAAATTCATCCGAAGGAGGATCCGGACCTCAAATCTACGGCGCGTGTTTCGGTATTTCTTCGACGACTTCCAGCTTATCGGTTTCTCATCTCTGCATATTCAGGGTTACCTGTTCCATTTATTCCATTTCCAGACTCTCGCTGGGAGACAAGCAACTTTCCTCTTTCGGCACTTTGCTTGCTTACTTACAGCATGCCATGACGTAATTCTCTTCTGATTTCTCGCCGTTTTCTCGATGTTCGTGGGCAGAGGGCATAATGGCCGATTTCTTCTTCTTCCGTTTCGTGCCGTGTGCTCTGGACCCCCGTCCCGTGACACGTGGAACGCAAAGACAAGTCAGTTATGCTTGCCATCCGAACTCACGCGGTCTGACTCAGTCGGAATCTCATCTTCAAGCCGACGCGGAAGCTCTCCCACGCACTTACTGTCCTGACCCGATATTCGTCCGCGCTCGATTCTTGATCTTTCAGACTGATTTCTGACTCCTTTGACATTTCCGGATTGGGATTAGGCGATCACGGAACGAAGCGCGCGGTTCATGACCTGCTGCTCTGATGGCGGAGGGTGTCTGGCCGCCGCTCACGGGCGCGATCCGAAGACAGCTGTGCAGATTTTAGCCACGCTCGTCGTGCGGGATGCTCCGAGCTAACGGGCGCCACCGATGATCCCATTCATTAATATGCTCAGTGCACGTCGTTCAGCGGACGACGTCGCATAGAGCTGCATTCGCTCGCTGACCATCGCGTGACCAGGCCCAGGAACTCCCGGTTGTGTCTATCGGACGGAAGTGGAGAGACTCGGAGCAGGCTTCGTCGCTGGATTCACGCCGTGCTATACGATGCTCGACTCCGGCTTCGCCTGTCACTGGACGTTGGACACGCCCCCGTATTGCACACGACGACCATCGGGGTGGAACCCGAGTCTCCACGACCCCATTATCTTTGCCGAACGACGAAGTCTAGAGAACGACGTGTTGTCTTGTCTTATCCGAATCTGGAAGACAAAAGAGAACCACGATCATGATCGAGAGAGAAGCCTTCTTCCCTGGACCCAAATCGCAATTGTTCCTGTCCACACTTCGAGATGAATACCGGAGAATATCACACACGAGCAGCATTACGCGGATTGTAATTGGTACGTAGCGGAGGGTGTCTCGGTTTCGGTGCGTGTGCGTAATAAACGTGAAAAGCAGGCAAGTAATAACAGTATAGAACAGGTCGTGTGAGTTTCGTGGGTCCAGCTCGCAGAGGCGAGGGAGGTATGTAAAGGTGCTAAGTAGTAATAAACAACGGCAGGCGCTGGCACCAGCCGAACTGGGGCAAGGCGCTCGCGCCCAACGCGTTGCGGTGCTGGAGACAGCAAAAAACCGGGTAGATACGGTACAACAGATGTGAAAGCAAGGGATGGGTGGGGGTTGTGATTGTAGTACAATTGAGGACGGCCGATAAGTGGATAGAGATAGCTAAAGGAGTACATGCCGCCGTGTGAAGAGGAGAGAGGGGCGCTGGATCAGAGCAGAAACAAGGAGCGAAGAGAGAAAAGGAGCGTGCGAAAGCAGCGCAGGAGACAGACAGACAGACAAGGAGCAGAACAGCCAGCGCCGGTCGTCAGAGCAGAGGCGTCCCACCTGAAACCACGTCCTCGTCAAAATGATGAGAATGAGGTACTGGCAGCGACATTTCCTGGAACGGCGACCCCAGTCCAATGTCATTCCTGGTGTCTAGCAGGAAGTCCTCCCGAGAGTACAGCGGCGTGCTCTCATCCTCGGGCTGTGGCGGGGAAAGGTCCCATCCAGCACCCAGATTCGGGATCTTCTCCACGTCAAAGTCACCCAGCGCCGACCCCGCGTCAGCAATTTCGAACGTCGTCTGTCCGGCCCATGGCGACGTCGCGGCCCAATGGCTCGTGTAATCCGAATATGGCGGGGCGGATTCCTGCATCTCGTAATCTGCTGCAGAAAGCGACAGTGGAGAAGGCTCCATCGGCGCGAACATCGGCATGTGGGAGAACGTTGTCGAGGTCGGCGTGTAGGGCGACGAAGATGTCGACGAGGCGGGAGAGAAGAACGACGGATTGAGCTGCGAAGACGCAAAGATCGACCGGAGGAAGTCGGAAGACTATGGTGGGTCAGATATTTGCCAAAAGGGGGAGAATTCACGAAAACGCACATTCAGGCTATCTGCAAACTGCGAGCTCGTTGTCCCGGGCTGGTAATCCCAACCGCCACTCGGGTCATCAGGTGATATGCCCTGTCCATAGGTCGTGTTTTGCGAGATCATCGGTAGGAGCGACGTAGGTGATGCGGACACAGAATCGAGCATATGCGCTGGTAACTGTAGCGAGGACGAGGATCCCGGCCCAAATGGCGTATTGAAGAACACATTCGGCACCTCCAGCGCTTGATAAGGAGGCATACTCGCACTCCTTGGGTGCAGCATGGACGCTGGCACGGAAGGAACAACAAACTCGAGCTGTACCTCCCCGTTGCCTTGAGCAGCCGGCGCGGAAGACTTCCTCTTCCTCCTCCCAGCAGGAGCGAAATCGGCAGCATCGTCATCAGCAGCGAAGCTCCTCCCACGCGATGGAGGAGCAGGGCTCGAGTCCCGCGGGCGGTTGCGGTTGCTCGCGCGCTGGGGGCGATAAACGTAGTTGGGATACAACGCCTCGTGTTCGCGTTTCTTCTCCTTCGCTAGGTCCTCCCACTTCGCCCGCTCCTCCACCGACAGTGCCCGCCACTTGGCTGAGATCGTCTTGGAGAGGTCTGCCTGACGGGGGCGTTTGCCTGTCCCAGGGACGGGGGTGGCGGCGGATTCAGGCTCGGCGGCGATGGGGAGCGCGGGGTCGCCGAGGGTACGGTCTTCACAGCACTTGCGACGGAAAAGAATGAAAGCGTTTTCTGGCCGCTTGACGTAGTCCTCGTCGCCTCGTTTCGGCCGCCGATCTTCATTCGCCGCTGCGCTCGAGGTAGACTTGCGCCGCACAGGTGACGGCGTGGCAGAGTCCGAGAGGGCGATGGAGGGTGGGGAGAATGGGGACAAGGTACGCGTGAAGGCGCTGAGAGGTAGCGGTGCGGGTGGGGGTGGTGTGCGGCATTCCGTGGACGAGACGGAGGAGGAGGGAGAGTGCAAGGTCGTTGACCCTAACCCAGGCAATGACAGTCAGCGATCGTGCCATTTGGGGAATGCCGCAGACGCTGGGACTCGAAAGATGGCAACTCACCAAAAGAAGAGGATTCCGAAGAGAGCGCGAGTTTCCTGAGATCGGGCTCGAATGGAGAGCTGGAGGGTGACGCATACGGGGAGTCGGAAAGGTTATGAAGCGCGGGGAATGTGAGCGTTCGGGGTGTCGGGGAGATAATGGAGAGAACTGGGAGTCTGGTGGCCACTTCCAGTCCTGAATAGCTCCTTCAGTCTGCGGCACACGGGAGGAGAAGTGCCCGGACATACCACGGGAGGATGGGTGTGTCTCTCGGGTGCGCACGGCAGGCATCGCAAAGGTGGATAATAACAAACGGAAGAATTAGGTCGCACTAGGCAGGATGAATAGCGTACAGCAGGAAAAACGAGCGGGAGCTGGTGGCAAAAGTGGGAAACAAAAGGAAGGCGGTCTTGTGCTTCCCGGCTCACCCAACGCTCTTTTCTCTGCTGTCTCGTCTCGATATGCGCTCGGTCGACCAGAACAATTAACACAATAGTCCTCTCCCGTTATATACCCAGTCCTTTGTTACGCCTAAACGGGACGACTAACGATCGGCCAGATGATTATGGATCTCAGATCCTTGCCGTTTACAGCTGATTTGTCCTTGTTGATGTCCAAAAGCACTCGCGGTCCGGAACTCTGATTCGGCGGCTGCACCCCATTTCTCGTCTCTGCGTCGCGCGAACTAGTGCGAATGGCATCGGATTCCAGGTTCCATTCTCGGCTGGCACTAATCTCTCCATAATGACCCTCGCCGTGCTCAAATACGGTCTGAGAGTGGCGGAGGGCGCATCACGTCGACATCACCTTTGAGACTACCCGATTTGGTGCTGGAGACCCAGCCATATGGGACAACCTTCTTGGGCCATCCCCATTTCGTGTGCACGATCGGCGTCGTTCCCAGGCCTTTTCCGTCGATCGTGTCACCGACTTCGCACAGTCAAGTGGTGACTCGAGGCTGGTGCGAGCGCTCCCATGGCGAAGCGCGCTGGCTAGCCAGTGGGACGCACACCCGCCTTTCCGATATCTCCCGGAAAGACCAGTCATGCTCCGCCCTCACTCGGGCACGAGTAACATTAAATTTGGAAGCACGCATGACGCTTTCGTTGTCCGTGGCTTTGATTATCTGGCCCTGATAGCTGTGATTACGGCGAGAACACAAGCGTAGTCTGACCCTCGCTTACAGCTTTGGATGCACAAACCTGTGTTGATGGTTCGTCCCACGTTTGCGTGTCTCGGGAACCCGCAGCGCATCATCGGACATATCTCGCCCATCATTCAGTCGGCATGAGGTCCAGCTCGCGTAGTTAATATCGATTAGGCGCGCATACACTACACCTTCGTGATATCTCCTTTACTGCCTTTTGCGTACTGCATGTGTTTGAGCGGGACATCTTATCAACCAGTTACTTCCGCGGACCCAAAACATCTGCTCCACAGCTGAAGATAACGTGGAGCAGCAGGAGATTATCGATTATCGCTCGCGCCCTGAGGCGGTGGGTTCCATCGGCCACCGTGCCCTCGCTTCAAATGTGGCTCGCAGGTGCTGACATCAGGGCCGACCCTGAAAACACCTCGCCGGGCACGGGGCTCGACGTTTGGGGCAAGGTAACCGGGGAGTTAGGATAATGCGCAAATGAAGTCTCTCATCGTGTAGGTGTTTGCCCCGGTTGTCGAGAAACTCTTCGCTGGCTGCTCCGCTGGCTGCGATCAGCAAGACAGCATGATGATCAATGACAGCCGCCAACCGGTGATCAAGGGTTAGTCGCCGGATCGTCGATGACGAAGAGCAGAAAGCGCGCTACTCCCAGATTGTCGTGCACCCACAACTGTGCGGAACAAAATAGACATCTACTCTCCTGCAATTTATCATGCATTTCGCCTGGGTACCTGGACAACACACACCAGCTGCTCGATTATCAAGAGCGCCGTCCAGATCAATCCTCGATCTTCCAGGAAGGAAGTTCTACACATTTTCAGACATTCAAAAACATTTCTTACTCTCAGGGGAGTACCGCCTCTGTCAGCTTCTTTCGTGACTTTCAAGCGCATACAGAAAACTGGCTCTAACTGATAGTACATACAACAGATGGTCAGAGCCTAGGGGCCAAGTCAGTGAGTTGAGACATCGCGATCGCAATGAATCTGTCTCCGTGGCACGGGGATCGGTGCTTGATTGTTTCCCTTCGGGAAACCATTATGGGTCCCGGCAAACCCCGGTGACAAAGCGATGTGGGTCCACAGTACAATTAGCTGTCATCCTTCATCGCTTGATTCTCTGCCTGTCTTTCACTCCTTCGAAAGACTGACTGATCATCGTACGTTGCATGCCTCCAGTCTCGAAGTGACGCACTGCCATCTGTGTGGGAGGATCTACGTGTGTCCAGGGTCCATCAGCGGCTTGCAGGCTTCTTCCTTCTGTTGGGACAAGCCGCTGTCAGCGTCAAGGCTGGATACGGAACGTACCTTGTTCTTGGTGGGAGACGGAGCAGAAAACGAACATGTGGCTCTTATTGTGCTTGCTGGGAATGTTGAATACTGACGCTCGCACCACACATGCGCAGCGGGGACCCTGTGGGAAATTATGTACGTTTCTGTGCGTCAGCAATCTTAAGAGAAGGACGAGTTGGTGAGGCGAGAGCCATTGTCCCGATTGGGATTGCGAGCCTCGTGGTCTGATGGTGATGCGGTAGTGCTTCCCATGCCATCTCCTGGACGAAAAATGCTCCCCGAATCGAACTTTCGATAAAAACCTCCGATCTTCTTGACATTGGCGCGGCGGCAGCTCGGCAGGTCCCCGAGACTGTCAAAGCGTCATTAGGCGCGTGAATCTCGTGTCTCCGATAGGTGCATGTCTCCCCCAGCGATCTGATCCAGCCTTTTTCTCTCAGTCCACAGAGAACCTTCTGACTACCAGTTGGAAGGGAGTAGTGGAAGTGATGTTTGGCGGGTTGAGTAAGAATTGGGGCGCCGTCTCTTCCGGCGGATGGGAATATTATACTTTTAAAAAAGAGGCGGAGGCCACGACAGGCGCGAGGTCCTCCGCCAGGAGGCATTGCCCGCGTTTCCGCTTCAAACAGAAATATCATTACGTGAGCAAGCGGCTGGTTTCCTTCCCGCCCATTCTGGAAGTGTTCGGGAACGCACGGCACGTAAATCAATCACTGGAGGTGCAACGCCTGTCAGTCGTCGCTTGTGTGGGGGGCAGCCCCGAGACGCTGTTGGTTCATCTTCACCGCACATGATGCTTACTCCATGCGAGGTATGTCTCGTTCGGGACGGGGATGGGCGACTAGTTCGTCCGCGTAGTCCACGGCGCAGAGGGGGTCAAAGCGGCCATAAATTCCGTCTGCACGCAAAATGACTCGCGCCCAGCCTAGACTCATTATCTAGATAGGAGCTGACTCGACGCACCTTTCCTATTGTAGCCTGTCTCGTTGTAGGCTTTCCTTTGTCCCAGACGCAATGCTGTCATGGCGGGTGCGGTGTTTGTTGTTACTCACAGACCACCCATTGAACTTACTTGATTGGGTGCATTTTGTATCGGTTCATACCCTGAACAATGGGGTCATTGGTAAGATCTAAGAGTTAATGAATCTTGGACACACTGCTCAGATTTGTAGACAGTATGTCCGGCGAGTTCGGAAAAATCATAGCCTCGAGAGATGGGTTAATTCAATCATGAGCAATTGTACACGTGGTCTCCCCCAAATCGTGAGTATGTGAGCTCAAATGACAGTGAGACTCAGACTGAGAGGAAGCGCCACCAGAGGCTTTCGGCCGAGTTCCCGAATCGGAGACAGGGTCGGCATGTGATTGAACACTGCCACGCAAAACGTCAGGCCACGTGTCCATCCCTGCTTATTCTCGCTCATGGACTGCCCGCTGGGTCTCGCTCCACAGCTGCCTTTGCCGCTCGCTACGGGCAGAGTCATCTCATCTCGCTTGTCAACACCACGGCGGCATGCTCCGTCCGAGCTGGACAGGTCGACTTGACCGCTCTCTGGAATAACACAATCACGCGAACGCATAGCCTCCCTAGCCTCGCACGCATGACGAGATCCCAACCCGCATGCATGGATTTCCGACAACCCATTCATCTCCACACTCGCCTTCACGCTAACCGCTGCGGATCTCCACTCGCCGCTGTGCTATCCGGCGGGCTCGGGGCTTGTGCGAGATATCTGTCTGTTACGCGATTGATTGTCTAGGCTCTGGGACTACTTTCATCGATGATCTGCGCAGGATGGGTTGAATAGTTGTAAAATTAATGGAATTGCATGATCGACTTCTTAGGTTCTAGGTGGGCTCATTGACTCAAGGAGGGCGCGGCTGACGAGAACGGCGTCTGGTTTCTTGTCCGTCTACTGCACCAGAATTATAAACATCTCCTTCTCCAGGGAGATACGTCCGTTGAATATCCCATGCCGGCCGCTTTGCATTCAGGATCGGTATGGAAGACAAGTGGACTGTGCCTTGAGGCTGGTATGTGTAATTGCCCTTTGCCCTTGACCCAGACGTGCGATATGCCAATAATAATTCCATGACACCGCTACACTCCGTGCCCACTCGGGGAAACATAGCATATGGCCGACGCAGCTCTAACCGAGCCTCGAGGCGCGCGAGTTGATATGATGATTTACTCCCGCGGGTCGGCGAGACGACAGCTGACCAGATGTTCCGGCGGGCTTGATCGATCACCTGCATGTGGGAGATAAGACCCGGTGAATTGGCTCATCAGCTGGCAGCACGGAATTACCTCCAGCGGGAACGGTAGGTGCGGAACGAGGGACCGGATACCCTTTCCGTGTTACTCACCGCCACCCGATGCTTTACTTGCTCCATGGGTGATGATGGATCAGTAGCGAGCGGCGCACCTCGTGCGAAGCTACTGAGAGTGAGTATTGCATCCGGAAGCGGGATTAGTCGGGCTTATTCGGGCTACCCAACGCTCATGCCTACACAGCGCCATCCGCTTTGGGACTCCCATTGTTCGAAGCGAATTGAGCCACAATCAAGTCAGAACGAGTGCGTGTGCCGGGAGATCCTGTCTATGTGTGAGAGCACGGTGCTACTTCCCATTGTCCTTTAGAAGCTCGCAGCGAACTGTAGTGTGCAGCCGGATATCAAGGGAGTGGAATCTGCTCGAGAAGGATTTCGTGGGAGGATTGCACATTGTTTCTCGACCTGGTAACTCCGTGCGGCGGCGTAGTGCTTGATGAACTCAGGGCACAAGTTGTGAGCCCGCAGAGAACAATGGGTGAAATAGTCGAGGGTTTGGATATGGGTGAGAGACCGCAATCCAATTTGCATCTTCTCATCTCGAAATTCACCTGACTATGGTCTAGATGAATACAGCTCTGCAGACTCAATAGGTGCGTTCTTGATTCTGAATCTTTGATTTGAATTAGGGAATCGGACGTGACAGTGATTCTTCATGATATATGTGTGCAGGGAACAGAATACTCGAGCTCAATAACTTGGTTCGCACTGCTGAGCAGTCAGATGAGCCCCCGGTATTGCACGCACCAAATCACAGATCACGTGCTTTCAGTCTCGCAAAGCTTTGTGCGCATTGGCAGTATGCATCACTCTACGTCAGCAACCAGTACGCACCGTTGCGCCTTGAATTGCATCGTTATCACTCTCGTCCTCTCTTCGCTGTCGCTGCTGATCTCCCTCCCGTGCCTCAACGCCTTGGCAGATCAGTCTCGTTGTCTCGGTCCGGACACTGAACAGAGAGGTTTCCTATAAGGACTCGCTTGAGTGGGTTATTCAGACAGCTGTGGTATCTAGCAGAAATACCTTATAGTTCGTCCTATCTGGGGCGATCGAACGGTCGGTAGCAATGGTAGATATTGACTTTTCGAGTCTTCAACATGAGCGTCATGGAAATATGGGCTCAAATACATTTACAAGATTCAGCATTGTCTGGGTCGACTCTGCTTCGCGACGTCTGGACAGCTTCCAGCTGTTTACGATACTCGTATACATTGACCTTTCTGGACTACTTCGAGGGACGATGCTCTCATTGATCGTACTCAGCCGCTGGATAATCCGTGTATCCGATCACGGGATCAAAGTCTCCACCGTAGATGTGTGGGCCATCCAAATCATTCGCCAATTCCTTCCCGAATTTAACGCGCTTAGCCAGATCGGGATGCGTCATCCAAAGCGTCCCGAGGAAGACCGCGGGATATTTCCCACTCGCAACCCATTCCGCCGCCTCCCCAGATGTGATTCCGCCGTTTGGGATGAGCGGTGTCGATTTGAGGAACGGCGCGTAAGTTGCAAGAACGTCGTGGTCGGTCCCCCGCTTTTCCGGATCGAAGTAGTCCGAGTAGCGCACGAGGGAGACGTATGCGAGTCCGAGGGTGTCGATCGAGGACAGCAGGTGGCCGAACGTGGCAATCGTGTCGTCCAATGGGAAGCCCATGTCGTTGTAGCCCCCAGCTAGGATGTAATGTTTTGGCGGCCAGGCTGGGTGAAGCGGAGAGAGCGAACGCACCTGGGGTGAATTTCGCTCCGACATTGGGGCCCCAGATGTCCACTAGGACCTTGAGCAGCTCAATAGCAAAGCGGGAGCGGTTTTCGGGGCTGCCGCCCCATTTGTCAGTCCGCTGATTGGATGACGCATCGAGGAATTGGTGGACGAGATAGCCGTTTGCCCCGTGGACTGTAACGCGTGACTGGCTATTCACTGCGCATAGTGGTGCAACTCACTCTCGACCCCGTCGAAGCCCGCATCTTTCGCCTTCAGGGCGCCGAGACGGAACAGTTCTATCAGCGTCGCGGGATCAGGGACTTCGGTGGGCTTGAGCGCGTGATGAGGAAGATCATCGATTGTATTGGGCTCGACCGGCGCTTACGGTCACGTATCCCGGTACACCGGGCAGAAACCGGAACTTCCCTCCGTGAGCTGCGATGGGCGATGGTCCGTACACGGGCTGCAGGAAGATCGATAATCACGAAATGTGACGAGACTTGGGGGCTAGGCTAACCTCGCCTGACGCCTTTTGGTGTCGCGTCTCAGGATGGCACACTCGACCGGCTTCATATCATCGAATCAATCTGGCGTCCTCGTCGTCACCAGTAGCACAGGAGACGCACCATGCCACAGCTGGCAATAGATCTTACCGCCCTCTGCATGCACGGCATCCACGATGTCCTTCCAGCCGGCCACTTGCTCGGCGCTCCAGATCCCCGGTGCATTTTCCCACTCCGTGCTGCGTAGTAACAGTTCATCCGCCCCACCATATGATCGAAGCACGTAGAACGCACCCTTGTCTGCTTACTAGACAACCCTCGGTCACGATGAGCCCCGCTCCGCCCCGGGCTCTCTGGACGTAGTATTCCCGCATGAGCGCGTTGGGGACCGTGTCGGAAGAGCGGTTACGTGTCAGCGCAGCCATGGCTGTGGCAATGCATGAGACTGTGAATGAATGGATGGTGGAAGCGAGTGAGCACCAAGCCGGTCGCGAATGACGTGGTCTCCGAATTTCAAAGGCAAGAAGAGGGCTGCGGTGTTGTTTCTTGCGATGGTCGTGGCCATGTTGGAGAGCTTGGATCGGTGTAGATATTGGGGAGATGTGGGATGGTGCCTTTATATGCAGAGTACCACGGATCTGGTCGGGCAACGCGCGAAGGAATGTGAAAGAACCCGTGATGAGGCTGTACGCATGTCAGCCGATACCCAAGTCAGGACCGATTCGCGCACGGTCATCGCTCTAGAACGCCGACCGCGACTGAATAATGAAATAGAATGTCATTCTGAAAGCTCATGAAAGGGAGAGCGCGTGATATACTGTAGATGGAAGGGACGAGAAGACGGAGTTCCGACACCACTGCGATCCCATCAGATGTTCTCCTCGGGAATGGGGTGTGGACGCGGTGGTCCAATACGGCGTTGAGAGTCCCGTCTCCGGCCCCTCATGACCGAGCGGTAAATACCACGCTAAGCTCGAGTGGGCCCATTGATTTAAAGGCGGAGTGTATTCCCGCACGTCGAATGTCTGGTCATACATCAACCGTTCTGAGAGGGCCCCGGCTTCTCCATAGTGCATGTGATTTGATGCAGTTTAACCAGTTTATGACAGGCTGAGACTCTACCAAAGCTAGGCTCAAAAGAGGCGGCTGATATGTCGTGAGAGACCAACGGCGAAGCAAAAACGCAACATTCCTCGGGGTAGTCAGCTCCATCACTTGCGCACGGGATGCGTGTCTCACTTACCCGCGCAGGTGAACTGTGCAGGTCCGTCCACAAACCTACTTGCATCGAGTCTGTAGATCGATCAATCTCATCCTGGCCTGGGTCCTACAGCGACCTGTACGATTGGAGAGCGGAGACTTTGTGACACATGTGACACGTCACAACATCTCCGCTTTGTGCCTGGAAAAAATCCGGGGCAGATAAGCTGTCATGAAGCCAAGAGTCTGGGCGTGTAGCAAGCAAGACCTGAGATGCCTTCCAGTGACCATGAGTGGTGGTAATTGTTCGTCCAGGTATGATTCTGCGTGTATGACGTGAGGACCCTAGCTTTCCATAAGATCGCATACAACCCAGCTGACACATTCGAGAGTCATGGGCATTTTCGAGGGCCATCAATGAGCGCTTGGGGTCTATGTGGATGCAGAGATGACTAGGTAGCCATGGTGTGCCACCACTTGTGAAGGAAAGTTCCAGTGGGAAAAGGCAAATGAGATCCGGACATGGTACGCAGAGACATCAGACGTGGAGATGAAGTGCATGTGGGGAAATCATCACGTAGAGATCGAATTTGAGAGGTGAGATCGACTGTGAAGCACTGATTCGGGTCAGCATTCGGTCAAGCGTACACGCGGCGGCCCCAAACCTCAAATGCTCCAGGACAAAGAAAGTCTTGGCTTCACACGAAACGGTTAGCGCATTCTGAGCATTTGATAGCGACGAGGTCCGCTTGTGGAATGACAGGAAGCGCAGCAAAAGGACTGCAGTAGACCGCAGCGTGAGGGACGATTTTCAGCGACTGCTCGAAGCACATTCCTTGTCGCTACAGTCGTTTCGAAATAAGCCCAGAGGATGTGATGACTCCTGTGCAAACGTTACTCACTGGTCAATGCCGGCAAGAGCATGTATGCGCAGAACACCTGGTTCTTGTCAAAGTCGACCTTGAGGACAGAGAAGTGATCTATCGAATACCTGCATGACAAGCCACCTGCACGAAGGTCGTATCGCGGTATTTCCACAGCAGTGCTGGAGAGTCAGCGTTCGAGAGGCGGAGCGAAGAAAGAAGAAGACACGAGGACACGTAACTACGTACAGCAAGGATGGAGGTCAGTTGGCGTGCAGTAGATTGAGCTTCGGATGAGGGCTCTAGATCGTGTCTTCATGCTTCCTGCATTCGTCCAAGTCCAGAGCAATTTCATGCGTTTCGAGGGGCTAAGCTCGTACATACCACTCGCATTAACCAACGATTCACCATTGGCTGGAAAGCAAGTGTTTGTGTGGTTGTGTGTGGCATGATCAGCACCGGAACCGCACTGCAGCCTACCGAGAATTCTCATCTGGCCTCGAGAAAGGTCACGTTCCAGATCCAGTCAAAAGTCGTACCTGATCGAAAAGAAAAGAAACCTAGATAGGAATCCTCAATCGAACGTGCGCCCATTTCATGACTCATGATACGCATCTCAGTCGATGGTACCGCCCTTGCGCGTCACATCCACCATGTACACCTCCTTCGCGCTCGCTGGGCTCGGATCTCTCGGGCAGCCCATGCTGAACGCGCTTCTAGCTCAGAAAGTTTCCACAATCGTCCTCTCCCGAACGGAGTCCTCGACGAAGAGATCTTCGATCGGCGCTCAGTGCACTGTGCAAGTGGACTATTCGGCTCCGGCCGCGCTCACGGAGACACTCAAGAGACATCGGATCGATGCAGTGATCTCTACGCTTGCAGTGAAAGACGGAGGGATGGACGCTCAGCGCGTGCTTGCAGCTGCGGCGAAGGCGGCAGGTGTCAAGATATTCGTACCGTCTGAATTCGGCGTGACGAAGAATGGCCGGGCGGGGGGTGTTTTCCAGATGAAGAATGATTTCATTGGTCTCTCCTCCGCGCCAATATCTTCATGAAGCACTGATGGGTTTCCAGACTACCTGAGGGAGATCGATCTGCCATGTGCAACTTTCTATGCATGTCCTTTCATTCTAAAATGGTTTTATCTCTCTGAGAATACATGCCTCAGGTCGGGATGTTCATTGAATTTCTGCCGTGGCTGCTCAATCTGGATGAGGGTACAGCCTACCTCCTCAGTGACAGTGATGCGGAGTTTGGCGTGACCTCAACGAAAGACATCGCCGGTGCGTTCTTGTTGCAAATCTCGGGATCGAAAGCCCAGGCGTTGTTAATTCGTATCTCCAGACTTTGTGACATATGTGCTGACCCACCTCCCGCCGTTTTTGCTGGAGAACCAGACATTCACCATACATGGCGATCGTACCAGTCTCAAACGACTGCCGCAGCTCTTACGGGCAGATACAATCGAATTCGTGCATGAAATACCTGGTCCAGCTGGCGATAGGAAGGGCGCGTTGCAGAAGTTGATTTCTGCGGGCGCCGCAAGCGAGGAGGGTTCGAATGACAATCATCTGTGGCCAGAACACCAGTGGCTTTCGATACGAGACGTACTTATGTCTAACTCTACGCATTTTTAGAACGAAATTGCAACGATGACATGTGTATCGATATTATGAAAGATGAATCTGTGGATCTGTCAGTGAAGCAGGTCACGTTGGTCATCATCAATACGTGAGGCTGGGAACTTGACAGGAGAGCGACCGGTGGACGATTCCCCTGTTTCACAACCTGCCAGGGCAATCAAATGCGGGTCCTTCGGAGCTGCAATGCCAACCCCCTACTACTTAAACATCTGCCAGAACCGTGGAAGGTGCCGACCTGGTGCATGGGGTCGATCTCTCCTTGGAGTCTGTCACTTTTTACGGTGTACTGGAGAGCAAAGCGATTAGGGCATGCTTGCAACCGCACTGTCTGATTACAAAAATTTCTAGAGAGGAAATGGAATCTTTGCAGCAGCCGTAACTTACGTGAGATAATTTCCCGTATCTCAAATATCCTATCCGCAGCTACAAAAGTTCAACATGGATTCATTTGGAACTCACGAGCACATCCACGCTGCGACAGCAATATTTTATCGAATCCTGCCACATGTCCATGTGATCGCTGCAACTAGACGGGGGTCCACGCGAGGGTCGGAAAGGATAAAAATCGACTCGTCTTCTCCTTCCAAACTTGCCCTGATTGGAAAATTGATTATTGTCCCTTCAAAATTTTACCAAACGAAATTTGAGAACTGGGAGGATGTGAGGTTCTGCGCTTGAAATAGAGCACACTCATACAAATCTTGTATAGATATCGATGACCAGCCCATCATGTTATGTATTAGTGTACGAAGGGTAGGTGGCGGGCAGTAGTGGAGGATGGAAAAGATAGCAATGGCAAGAGAAGATAGATGTGTTGAGTATTTAGAGAGTAAGATGGGCGATACTGTATCGGTGCCTAGCTTTCAGCTGGTAGGACCGCATGGGACTCGTATATTTGACTAAAAATGGGGCAGAACTAGCCAAGATGGAAAACCCGATAGCGGAGGTAGCGATACCGTAAAGCACCTCGGGCTGGGAAATCCCTCGAAACTGAAGTATTCCGAAAGGAGTCGAAATTTAAAAGGGACGAAGGGGACTTGCGATGAAGATCCGGCTGGGAAACTAAACGAGCGATGACGGGAAATTCGTGGAGCGACGAGAGCGAGTCCCGAATGGGACGAGGCTTTTAGGTTGATGCCATCTATTCTACGTTTTATATCACTCGGCAGTGGGTAGTTGTCAAAACACGGAAGAGCTCACAAATTGCTCATCAGGAAATTCCGGGCTCCTAACTGTAATTGACTTTGTGGGAAACTCTCCCAGCCGCCCATCGAGAAAGTTGTCTTTGCAGAACTCATCTCTGGTTTTCTCTGTAGTCTAACTAAAACACAGTGATCTTCTGCTGGCTGAGCGGTTTAATAATGTCATCCCCTATGACACAAGGACCCCGCGCCCGTTACAGAGCACGGAGCTCCGACTAGCCGTGTGTTTCTTCGCTCTTTGGTCATATACCGCGCGACTGACCAGCGGCAGTGTCACCAAAGGACAGGTTTTCACCATCCCGATCCTTGCTATCAATACAGACAAGGCGATTTGGGGTGAGGATGCCTTAGAGTTCAAGTACGTGTCCCCTGTCCCCCTGGATCGCGGATTGATCGCGTTCACTTTCAGACCTGAGCGATGGGATAACCTCCCTGAGGCCGTTCAATCGATCCCCGGAGTGTGGAGCATTCAATTGACTCTCTTTGCCGGTGCGCATAGCTGTATTGGCTTCTGATACGCTTTGGTCGAGTAAGCCCTCCCATTTTGCCGCACTACTGGAGTGGGGAGTCTTGTAGCTAGTCACGTGTGTCGTAGCTTAGTCATCGATCCAGCTTGGCTCAGGCCACCTCGCACCGACTCACCCCGCTTCTGGAGTATCCCTACTCCACTACTTGTGCTATTGGCTCAAGACGTCCCCACAGACAAAAGGCTATCCGGCTCAGTCTCCTCCGTGCTTTCGAGCCCCTTCCAGGTGGAGAAAATGTTTGCCCGTTGATCACATCCCAGCTGGGGCGACCATACTCATTTGTGTCCGATGGAAACGGTGGACAGGTGTCGACGGGTCGACTTTCAATCTTGTTGAAAGCCCGTAAAGATTCTTCATTGTGATTTCAAGTCTTTCTGCAATTCAAATTCAATAATATTTGGTTCAATATCAAGTCCACTTGGAGCCACACATTCACAATGAAAAGCAGGAATTGAATACAATTGGCTACAGATTCAGACACATCGAGATACATTGGCAAATTACATTAGCTCATACAACTAGGTTGCAATCAACAACCCAGGCCGGCGATGCAGGCTCAATGCAGCGAATGTAAGGGCGCCGACCAGGAAACCAGTGACGACACACGATGCATCCTGCGCAAACGACTGTCGCAGACCAGCAGCACCGTAGTAGTGCAGGCCGTCATCCTCGTGGTCAAAGGAGATAGATTCAGCGAACTTGCGCCAAACCTCGTCGTCAGCGTCCTCTTCCGTCATTCTCGTCTCCTTGCACTGCTCTGATGTGGACGAGATTCCGTGCTCATCCGCGATACTTGTTGATTCGCAGGACGGAAGACTGGAGACGACGAACGGGCGAGGTGTGATTTCGCACGAAGCATAGCAGCTGGGGATCGGGCTGAGTTCGTCGACAGCTTGTGGGATGTCAAGCGAGAGTAATGGGAGGTCTCGGTCTCGGTCTCGGTCCTCCTCATCTCGAAGCTGGGCCACTGACATGTCGAGCGAAAGAGCCGGAATATCAGACATCCCCTCGTTGAGCGGCCAAGCCATCGAGAGCCGACCCAATGGAGATGCATGCGCAGGAACGTAGGTTACCGGGCTAACACCACCAGATCGCAAAGACGGAGGCGGAGTCGGCGGAGGCGTTGGCAAGCTCCAAGCGCTAGCATTGACAGCGGAGAAGATAGTCGGGGAGAGTTTGGGCGTGGCAGGAGGTGTGTAGAAGGACGTAGATGGTGAGATGGGGGAAATAGACTCGCCGACCAGCGGCAGGTCGCATTCTGAAAATGGGGGAGACGGCGGTGCGGTCACATTGGACGAGGACGGAGCCAAAGATACATCCGGATGGCGCGGCACCAGTCCACCCGTCAGTCGACGATGCCTCCACACCTCCTCTCGAACGAGTTTCACGATTGCCATCTCGACTTCACCATCCGCTGCTGTCATCGGCCATCGAGCTAGCGACTTGGCCATTTCCACCACTGTTTCCACAGCTTCATCAGCATCGACCTGCGATGCCCGACCTGAGCCCATCGTCCAATAGAACCATCCACCGACGAGTGTCAGTGCAAGTCGCACGGCACCCTCCGCGCTATCTTCGTGCTGTTTGTCGTTCGGGAGGGAGGCGAATACAGCGGAAAGGTGCGCGCAGAATTCGTGGAACTTGGCTGTCTTGGATGTGGGATGGTATGCCCAGGATACCCGTGCGAGAGGACCCGGTGCGCCATGGGAGAGGTGATGTCGCTGCGGTGCGAGACAAAAGCTGGGCAGCTTGTCGAGGATGCGAAGAAGAGGAATGGACCCAAGCACGGCGGACTGCGGGATTGCACCGTGGATGAAAACGGTCTGCGTCTCTGCTGCGTGGCGCTGCCATTTCACGTGGTTCTTCTTGCGGCTGCGTAGGACGGTGAGAACGATTGCCACGTACTGCCTGCCAATACCCACCTCGCAATGGGTACACCACGCAGCACGTCCAAAACGACTACCGCGCGCTTAAACACGCTCGCGCACCTCGCATCGATCACGGCGATCTCGACGTCGTGTTTCACGCCATAGTGATATCGCCGCACGGCTTCCCAGAGCGCCCAGTAGAAGCTGAACGAGGTCGATACGTAGGGCGAGGACTGCCGGGTTGTCCAATCGAGATGCGTGGCGATCGATTCGTAGTTGGGCTCAAACAAAACCTCAGGCAAGAGCTCCTCCGCGTATTCGTTCCATCGATTGTCGAATCTGAGACCAGTGAAGGGGACACCGAAGTGAGTACCTGACTTGGGAGTGTATACCCGGAAGAGGAAGCGGTTCCAGCCGTTGGATGTGAGCGAGCAAAAGGAGGCGCAGGAGGGAATGCCGTGCTGAGGGAGAGACATGGATGGAGGGGGTTTCGCGGGGAGGAAGAGGATAGGAATCCAGTCCTGCAGTGGCACTGGAACGTTTTATTGGTGCGTTCTCTTCATATCTTCTCATCCACCACACATCTTCAGCGTGTATCATCCACCCTGCCTCACCCACATGGAGTTCGATCCATCTCGAGTCCACTCCATGCGTCCATTGGATGAGCGAGAAGCCTATCGGTAAAACGTTTTTCGTGGGAAATGATTCCGGAATTTGGCGCAGAGCAGCAACCCTTGATCTTGAATCGAGTGGCAGGAGGGGAGCACAACAAAAACGAGGCGTGGGTCATGTCGGGGATCAAACTTAGCCGGTAGTATAGATCATTGTGATCCCAGAGCACAGCTTTAAATTCGGGGGCTCCAAGTTTCAGTTTCAAGCCCGGCCATCCAATGATTTGTCCTCCGTGTGAAAGATACACGTAAGACTCAGATAGAACTCTCGATACCGAAGGGCCAACGATTCTAGAAATCATTTGGATGGACCTGTTCTTCAAAAGTGGGATAGAGCGATTGCATAAATCTTGGGATCAAGATATCTCCCATCTGAAAAGCCCGAATCGAATAGAGAATGCTCGAGCCCAGTGTCCGGAGAACTCTATTTCAGCTGTCACTCCTCAACTCAAATCCGTCAGTGCGACACACCATGACACATAGTGAATGTCGACACCCACCCCGCACTATGTCGTCACACCGGACATTTGGGCCCGCGTTAGAAAGAGCGCAGCGGAAGGCAGGTTTTTTTTAGTATCCTGCATAGGTGATATAGCGCTGCACCAACTCCATGCTGGCTCGATACGCACGAAAGCATAGTAACATTTAGGCAGCTCAGCTTGCTCCTTACTCAATGCGTTGCATCTGTGAGATGAGAGGAGAGAAACATTTGTGGTCAATCATTTGGAAATGCAAGCCCAGAGAACCAGCCTAGTGATTTAGCTCGGATATCGGAGAAATAGTGGCAGGCCTGAAAATTAACGGTTCATAACTACACGAGCGACTCGAGCCCTTTGATTTTTAAATTTGCTAGCATGGTGCGTAGAAGAGCTAATGACCTCGTGCAATGTGGGGCATACATTCAGAATTCAGGGGCTGAGCACGGTAAGCCCATCTTGCTAAGCTCTCAAGCTCCACTCACAATAGAGACATGAATTCTCTGCGAAGCAATGAAGGAGTATGTGAGCCAATGGTGGGTAATACATTTGAACAGCTGAGATTCTCGTGGTCTATGATACGGCCATATGAGATGTGATTAAATTTACTACGCAAGGGAGTCCCTCAACTCCCTAGAAGACGACAGGTTTGAGTGCCGTTGGTTGTAATCTATGGGGGGATCGTCTGGCATGGGCCTACAGAATTCGCCGCGGGACCCCCGCAGGTCTGGCCCAGCGGGACCCCTGAAAAATCGAAGTCCCGCTCTCGACGACGGCAGAACATTTCAATGTTCTGTCAACCTTAGCATAGAGTCTGATACAGTAACAAGATATCCCAATTAGTTGCATCACTCGTAGTGTTGACATTGTTGAGGACAGCAAGGTCGAAGAATTGGGTCCCGCGGGACTCTACTTAAAGCGGGACTAAACCCAGCGGGACTCCAGCGGGAATGGAAAATGACCCCGCGGGACTCCAGCGGGAGTGCTTAACCGGTGTGCGGGACTCCAGCGGAGGTCGAGCAGGTCCCGCGGGACTCCAGCGATGGCCCCACTCGACCCCGCGGGACTCCAGCAGTCGTCTCACATGCCCCGCGGGACTTCAGCGGAGGTCCAGCAGAGGTCCAGCGGGCGTGAACACTGCGGGATCCTCTGCTCACCAACATAATCCGGCAGTGCTGCTCTATAAGGTCACCGCCGCACACCGCCGTCCCCATCGTCGTCTTACATCAACGTTACAGCCACCTCATCATCATCGTCCGCACAGCACATCGACTGCACAGCCGCCTCATCATCATCGTGCTCGTCGCATCGCACATCAAACTTCACAGCCACATCATGATCCTGCTCATCGTTCGCAACGACGACAACAAATATATTGAAAAAATAAGAGTTCTATGTTATTGGTTAGCCTGAAAGCTAGGAACTAGTAAAACTCGTCTTTGAATGATTAAAGTATTGGAGACCGCTCCTTGAATGGGAAAATTCATTCTAAGTAAACCTCAAGTTCTCAACCTGTGTGCATTCACAACAACCGGAATTGACCACGGGACGCCACTGGGCCAACCCAGCAGAGGCCTAGCGGACCCCACTTTCCGTCATCGTTGCCGACCATGAGGACAAGGCTTAAACTTTACACATACTATTTTATTCTATGAGGGGGTAGCTCTTATATATACTTGCCACTTGGTACTGACCGTTCTGAAGTCCAATGCCTGTGTAATGAGATATTTTCATTTTAGGTCAACTATGCAAGTAGGTTATGGTTTGATCATGCGTCTTGTCCCAAACCGCCATGATCTCTGATACGGCAGCAATCTTCCTTGCGGTTGCACTCCTTCTGTCGAACGTAGAGCGAATTTTCCATCTATTTCATTGGATCTGGGTCTCTGTGGCACGACTGTGCGGTTCAGGTCGGCCGAGTCGACGAGCCGTGCCGTATTGGAGTCAACAAGGTGAGTACCGCCCAGATGAGAATAAGTGAAACCATTTAACACATTACCTCAACAGGCGAGTTCCTCGGAATGGTATTGCCCCCTGATCAGAATCCACGTTCTACCAACAACGCGGTTGAACTAGTTGGACGTGGGTTGCCAGCCTTATTGACGTCTATTTAATCTCTTATTTGTCTCTACACAGAATCCATTTCCCTGCCGCAGACTCTACGGGATTGTCCGAGAAAATCTGCAACAGAATTGCACACTCAACTCCCGTTACCACCGTCCCGAATGGTCCTGGTCTGGGATGGTTGGCCTGACGGGGCTTTCTCCACGCATCTGACGAGTGAAGATATGAAATTAACATCCTCCGCCTCGATAAACTGGTCTTGTGACAGTTTGCGCATCGATACAGGGAAAACTCGGGCGCGGACTTGGCAGCAAGGGAGGGAAACACGAAAGATTTGTCGCGGTGTTTTCAAATGTGAGTCATCACAGTGTCCGTTTGAGATGCTAGCGGCCGCGGATCGGTCTTTCTCTGTCGGTCAAGCTCTCGGACGATATATTTGCTTATGCGGAGCGCGACTTCAATATGTCACCTGCGGAACCACCTCCTCAATACATCGGTATGCCGGGGGTGCACTCTTTGTGAATCGCGGCAGTCACACCCACACCAATTACACGCATGTGCTCAAGATTTCGAGTAACGGCACGTTCAAGCTGCCAGTCTTTGTGCCACGAAGGGAACCTGTCATTTTACAGAGTTTGCCAGCTCGGGACTTGGTGAGCAGTTTTTTCGCCTCACTGGCCTGACTGTCTGACCCACAGTGCAGACGACATCGGATATGGGCACCCCAGAGCCAACAACAGAACCCGAGGAACGACTCAAGTACACCACAAGATCAGAGCGCAGCCCCGACGGTTTTGAATCAACAAATTTCGGTGAGTATCACAATTTCTGAGCTATCTCACCATGTGAATCACTCCTTAAGGTGATCGTGAACGAGAGTGGTCAGACGAGGAGCGCCGTGAGATAGAGATGGATCCGGAAGCTGACCAGGATGAGGATTAGATTAGCCGGAATTTGAAATAATGTAACTAGCGTGCCTTGCATGACGACATCAGTGAATTTGAAATTTTTCCAGACTCGCCATTCCATCTTCGACGGAAGTCTTCGTCCTGCAACTGTTGAACGCGCAACTTCAGTGCTGTGGCCGTCAACCCTGACGATGCCACTGCACAGTCCTATTGTCGATGGCGAGGAGAAGAGACGACCGAAAAAACATGTCAAATTAGACGTTGAGGAAGCATTCAGGCCACGGAGACCGAGCCAGAAGGTTTTAAACATGAATTACTAGTCATCAATACACGTTGGTTTAGTATGATAAATGTCAAGTGATGATCTATACACGACGGCAATGGTGTGTGACATATCTAGTGTAGTCCTAGTTCGACCGGCAGGAGTCTTAGCCGGACCTGCGGTGGTCCCGCTGAAATGCTGAGGGCGTGCTCACAAGTGAATCTACTATGAAAGTAAACCCAAATATAAACACGTTCACACTCCTCGTAATCAGCTTCTCAGTGTGTGAAAGATGCGAGGGCTTCGGGGTGGACAGAGCACCAGTATCACAACTCTCAATAGACGCAGATCCAATAGTCGCGGAGACGGAGTCGACGACAAGATATATATATATATAGCAAACAATGGTGTCTCAACCAATATCTTCTATACGATCACAACCAACACTAATCCAATCCACAAACAAACGATATAACAAGTCAGAACTTAATACGAAGTATTAAGATCCCTTGTAGCGACAGCGTCTAGATGGTGACGCAAAGCCCAAATATCAAGTCGACGCACTGCCAACCGATACAACTAATATACTGAGTCGACGCACTGCCAACTAGTAGAACCAAAATGTCAAGTCGACGCACTGCCAACTGACACAACCAAAAGTACTGAGTCGACGCACTGCCAACTAGTAAACCAAAATGCCGCGTCGACGCACTGCCAACTAACAGCCAATATCCAATGTCCAAAACCCGAGCACAACTTGTCGACGCACTGCCAAGCAAGAAGTGTGGAACCAAAGTTCTCAAGTCGACGCACTGCCAACTGACCAAAACAACCCGAGCACCACTAGTCGACGCGCTGCCAAGCTAGAGGTGTGGAACGATCTCAACAAAGCCCAAAGGCGACGGCACTAAATGCCGCGACAATACCAGATGCGGCGAATCCGACTTTCTGATGTCTCAACTCAAACTCAAATCACAGTAGCTACAAGTGCTCAGGGAGCAACTCGTCGCGACCGGGCAGGGGTAGCAGAACTTCTTAGGGTGGAATCACACGGCACGCAAATTGTACAAAACAATCTGAAATGATAGTGATTCACAGTCCGGGGGAAAGCTTCCCAATACAAAGAAACGACGTGCTACTTATACTGTCTACGACGCTGCTTAGTAAAGTCCTGTACAACTGCATAGTAGCTACGCTATCTAAGATCGGTTGCCTTTTAGGGTAATTGAAAAGTTGAACGATCGGACAGGTCCTGAGTGATCAGGACCCCGCCCCATTGTCCATATGATACTTTTGATGTGGGTCAACCCACCGCGTCATACTTTTGGAATACGACGTGCTGGATTGGCCAACGGGTATGTCTTGGCAAGTGAGACCAACGTGGGCGCCCCGAGAAGCCGTATGGCCCTAGGCACGCCAGTCGTCCCCCACATGGTTCGGTTCACGGATCTTACCGTGTCGGTTTCTAGTGTGTTTGGGTATGGGCGCGACTCGCCGTGACACTTGGAAGCGTCACCGCGACGCGTCCACAATGTCCCGTGATCGAATGGATCCTGACATGTGACAAGCCGCCGTCGTGGCATGATCTGAGGAAACGTCCAACTCCAAACCGGGAGTTGCCGCGACAAGATGGTTTAAGTCTCGTAACGCCAAGTCCTGTCCAGTAGTAGTTCTATTATTGAGAACGTCGCGCATTGCTCAGCCCTTCAGCCCAAGTTCCCATCTGCAGAGAATGACCCTTTTCGAGAAGTCGACGCAACGACAGATCCCTTTTTGGGGAATGGTCGCGGTCCAAGCGTTCGTCACTAATGGCCCTGAGCCTGGTGTAGACCCATAAGACCAGTTCCACAGTAGTGGTCCGACTGCCTTGCTATCGTCGACACCATCCACAGTCGTCGACTGGGCAGTAGACCCATAAGTCCTACTGAGCGCAACACTGTTAACCGCGACACGATACACCGAGTGGTTCAAGAGTAAACTCTGTAAAAAGCGCAAAAATACGCCCTTACAGAGCTGGTGCAGAGCGCGTCTGGTAGCCAGCCTATCATCTCCCAGGAACACTAATTTTGACCTCCTGGTCAATCCCGCGACAGTCTCACTGCGTCAGGTCTAAGTCCAACAGTCGTCGTCTCGTTTATTTATTATTAAAGCCGCGGAGACATAGAGTTATGTTCCCACGTCTTATTCATTTGGTTGTTCGGTTCCTTCCGTGATCTGCCGCGATCAAACTTCTTCCGGCATGTTCACCATATAAATGCCCTCAATTTTCAGGGTCGAGAGTCTCCCTAGTACGAGACACTCTTGCCTTTTGACCACCATGTCCGCGCCCGACCAGAGCCCCCGCCCCCAAGACACCAACCGTGAGTGACGCCCAAGGCGATTACCGCGACTTTTCAACCACGCTAACCGTCCATCAGCCGTCACCGAATCAGCTGTCCCGGGAGCAAACCCGCCTGCCATCGACTGGCGGCAGTTCATGCCGTCCGTCAAGGTCTCTCCCATGGCTTGTCGACTCAACTCACCACCTGCCTAGCCCCGAGGCCTACAACCAGATGTTGCGGCAGATGGCCGTCGACGTCCGCCAGATCCAACAGGTGAGCTCCGTCTTAAGCCCGCTGGAGCGAATAGTCACGGCGATCAATGATTGCCGCGTCTGTTCGCTTTGGCCTTCCATTCTTTTCACTAACGTAAGGGCTAGCCGGCGCCTGCGCCCTTGACCACCAACGCTCCAGTCGAGGAGTCGTCGCCGCCCAAGAAACGCAAGCGAGTCGTCGAGCCCATACGTGTAATCTGTTTCATTCGTTTACTATGTTCTGATCGACCCCCAGGCGGCTCCAACCGAACAAGTCGCCGCCCCTTCGTCGTCCCGGCCTGCCAAGCAGAAGGGGAAGGGTGACGGCTCCAAGCCGCAGGCCCCTGCCGCCGTCGCGGGCAGCAAGGTCGCCGTCGCCAAGAAGTCGAGCGAGAAGCCGCAGGGGAAGCGGCCCAAGGCGACTCCTGCAAAGGAGCCCAAGGCATCGTCGCATGCACCTACTCGTAAGTGGCCTTTTCATTCGGTTCACCGAAGTCGCGGGCACTGATCTATTGTAGCCGCTACTCCGGTCCCTGTTTCACAGGAGGCACCCCCCAAGCGCGTCCCCAAGAAAACGCACGCAGGTGTGTGCACCCTATGTCTTATTCCTTTGATCCTGAGACTAACCACTTGGTCCCTCCCAGCCCGGATCCAAGCACAGCCCGTGCAACCCGAGTCCCTCAGCGATGAGGAAGCCGCCGCCGTCGCCGACACTGCGATGGATGTCGACGACGAGGGGGTCCAGGAGGGAGACGCGTCATCGGCCGACGAGCTGGCCATGCAGGTAAGTGACCCAGTTCGTTGATCGCGATTCTTCGTCTCATGGTTGGTTTGTTTTTGACAGGGGCCCAAGTCCAAGGGGAAAGCGCGATCGAATTTGAGTGCGTTCTTCCTCTTGCCCCCTCTGTCGATTACTCACACTTTCGTAGCCCCGTCCGTCATCGTCATGGACGACACTTCCGAAAGTGGGGAGGAGACCGGTGACTTCGTTGTGGCCAAGAAGCAGGTCAGCGAGACCCGCGTCAAGCCCAAGGTAAGCCGGCTCCTTTTTCCCAGACCACGCCCCTTAATCCAGCTTCTTAGCCAATCAAGAAGGTCGCGGATGGATCATCCAAGTCGACCAAGTCCGTGCCTCCCCATCCGGTGCCGAAGGTGGAGGCCAGTCGCAAGGCGAGCGCCCCGCAAGCGACGACTACCCCGACCCCAGTGGCTAAGGTGAGACACAGATCTTGGTTCCCAGACGTCGACTAACTCGTTTTTCTTTCTTTTCTAGGTTGCCCAGGCGGCCCCCGCCGTTACCAAGACTCCACGCAGTGAGTTGGGCAGGGTGGCCGCGACCCTTGGTCGCGAGCGGAGTGTTGCTGCGGCCAAGGCCGAGCTCAAGGCTCAGAAGGCAGAAAAGTCCGTTGCGGCGGCCAAGAAGAAATCTGACTCGGTGAGTCGCGACTTTTTCTTGTCGTCGACTTTTTACTGACTTGACTGTTTCTAGACTCCTGCGAAGGCGTCGGCTCCCACGCCCCGAGCTCCGTTCACTCCCGCCGCCTACGACACCGAGGCGCTCCTTTCGGTGGCACGCCAAGGGTTCGCGGGGAAGTTGGAAAGGGCCGGCGTCGAGGTGCCAACTGACTTCGTGCGTTCTTTTATCTTTTTCTCTCATGCCTCGACGACTGACTCCCTTTTTCATAGGAGGTCGCGCCAAGGCCCTGCGCGATGTGCGTGACGCGGCAGCGCGTCTGCTTCAAGAGCGTCGACGGGCGCCACGGCAATCGGTGCGCCCCGTGCGTGCTTTATAAACAGACTTGCACCAATGGCTACAAGCCCTCGGAGCAGCTGTATATGGGGCAACGCTTCGGGTACATCGCGCAGATGAGCGCGGACGGTAAGAGTCCACTCTTTTTCATTTCTATTTTTGATCGTTTCTGACGGCGTTTTCAGACCTCAACAAGTCCGCCAACCGTCTCGCCGACACCTTGGACGCGTACGGCGGGCTTCTTCGCACGGCCAACAAGATCCGCGTCCTGGCCATTGGCCAGTTCCGCGATTTCGTTGGTCAGCTGAAGGAGCATTTCGACGACGGCTCGGACGAACGCATCAAGGCGATGTTCGTCCACACCGCGACCGAGATCGACGCCGCCGAGATGGCCGACATCCGCAAGGGTGTTCGGATGATCTTGGCCCACGGGGACTTGTTGGATGGCGAGGCGAACGAGCGGTTCGCGGCACCCCCTGCCTTCTTCGATCCCTTTTTCTATCGCGAGATGGAAAAGATGGAGAAGCAGTTCCAGAGGGAGATCGAGAAGGCCCAGGAATTCGACAAGTCGGACCCCGCGACCGTCCAGGATCAAGCGTTCCAACCTGGCGAGGATCACGAGATCGACGTCGCGCACTTGGCGAGTAGTCGTACCCGTGCGCCTTCCTCGTCGCCCCAGCCTTCGCCATCGCCGCCTCCTGTTGCGTCGTCGTCCCAAGCCG